TTAAAGTCTTTTATAATATTTCTTATTACTAGAACTCGAAGAATAGATTAATAAGCTAAAATTAAAATTAATTTTTAAATCGCTTATTATTATAGTAGAGTAAAGATTATAGATATTATAATTACTATATTAATATAAATATCTTAATAAAGAAGATCTAAGAGATCTATCTTATACGAATCTTATTATATATCGAGTATATATTATATCTAATACGAAGTTTATTTTCTCGAAATCTTAGAAGCGCTAGCTTTTTTATATAGAATAATAATTAAAAAAGCTTATTTAAAACGATCTCGAAGATGATATCTATAAACTTATTAAATCTACGAATAAACGCTTATCTCTATAGAATATATAAGCTATTATAATAGATAAAGTTAAAAATCTAAAACTTACTAACGAATTTCGAATAACTTTTAATTATTTACAAGTTATAGAGTTTTTTCTAAAAGCTTATCTCGAGCTAAGCTCGAAAGTTTATAATTATCTATTTAATTTATATTATAAATACTTATTCTTAGCTAATTTAAAGTATACGTATTTTATAATATCTCTATATTCTAATAATAAATACTATTTTATTTTTATTATTTTAGATATTAATTAGATATAGCTTATAAGAATATAATAGAGATTATAATTTATAGACTTTATTATAACGAAGCTAGCTTATAAAGTATTTAATTCTATTTCTTTAAAACCTTCTTTACTATATTCGCCGAATTCTAAGATTTTACTACCTCTTATATTTTATATAAATAATTTCTTTAATAGCTTTTATAATTTCGAGGATTTATTTTCTTTTCTATAATATTACTTCTTTTCTAGAGTCGAGTAAATTAAATTACTCTTATTCTTTAAGAAACTATAACTATTTATATTATTAATTAAGATCTTTAGTATAACTTATATTATTAAAAAATATATTTATATTTTTAAAAAATGGATTATTAAAGTAGTTAAGTAATTTATTTCTTTAGATTAATCGAAAGTTCAAGATTTCTTAGAAACTATCGATATTACGCGTTGATAAATAAAAAACTTTACGAAAATTATAAGATCTCTTTTTAGACTTATAGAAAAGATAAAATAATAGTAAATTTAAATAGAATAGCTATTCTTCGAGATTCTACGTATTAAATATACTATAAGAATAAATATATATAATATTAATTTAAATCGAATTATTTATATATATATTAATACTTTTAATTTTATAGCTAGATATATTATTATATAATACTATATCCTTATATTATAAGAAGCTACTTTATTAAAAACTTTATAATCTTAAAAGTCTATTATAATAGAAAAGAATAAGAAAGTATTTATCTTATATAATTCGTTTACTTTTAATTCTATTTAGAAGAAGTACTTTACTTATAAGCGAGAACTCTACGCTATTATTATATTTTATAAGAAGTATAATTACTTATATAAGTACTCGTATTAGTTTACTATAATATATACTAATTATAAGTCTTTTACGTACTTTTTCGACTTAGATCTTTATAAGGAAATTTATAAATATTAAGCTAATAAACTTTATTATTTAAATCTTACTATTTAGTATATATCGAGGCCTCGAAATAAAGCTATTAACGGCTTATCGAGAACCTTATTCGATATTAAATACTTAGAGAATATTATAATTATACGAGTATAATAGAAATTAAAGAATTATAGCCCGAAATAGATCTAGAAGAATAATAAGGATAAATTTAATTCGTTTTTAGTAGCACTTATTAAATCGAAATAACTTAAAGTTATTAATAGAAGTACGCTATATAATATTTCTTCTTTCTTACTAAAAGCTATTTCTACTATAAAAACTATAAAATTATCTATAAAAGTCTTCGATAAGATTAATAAGAATATTAAGATTTAAATTAAAGTTTATCGTAGTAATATCTAATTTAATAAAATCTATAAATTTCTTATCGTAGAATCTTTAACTCTTATTATTACGCTACTTCGAAAAGCTTTTAAATATTAAATAATATAATATATTCTATAAATCTTTCGAGAAGATATATATTTATCTTATATATCGAAAGAAAAGATATTTACGATATTTTAAGAAGTTTATAATAAAAATAGATATTAGACTAAGATTAATATTCTAATAAGACTATATAGCTATTATTAACCTAGAAAAATATAAGATATTAAAAAGTATATTATCGAGTATCTTAAATATATTAAGTATAAACCTACTACTAGATCTTAGTCTTTATATTCTATTAAAGTTATATATTCTTTTTAGCTTATAAGAATAAATTTTATAAATCTACTTAAAATTACTAAAGTAGAATCTACTTTTATATTTATAAAAGTTTACTATATAAGTAAGTTTATAATTCTCTTTATTACTATATTTATTAATATAAAGAATATTATTTAATATTTTAAATTATTCTTTACTATATATAGAAAGTCTTATATCTACTATCTTAATCGCGATTAATATTTCTTTAATAATAAATTAAAAGAATTCTTAAGATTTAAAGATATTGTCGTTTTATATAGCTCTTCTAATACTTCTAAGAGTATAGAAATAGTCGAGATCTATAATAAACTACTAGAAGCGGTGCTTCGTAAGAATTCTCTTTATATCGAATTAAAATAAAATTAGCGTCTATCAAAGACTAAAAGTTCGATTAATATACGAGTTATTAAATACTTAAGAATCTCTTCTACTAGTATTCTTTTCAGACCGCTATTAAAAGCTTCTATTAATATATCTATCTATCATAATTTCAATCGACATTCCTTCTCCAGACTTGCGCTAGGCTCCATTCGGGCTAGCTCCTTAGCGGCTTGGCACTCTGATAACTTCGGCACACATGTTACTTAGCAACCTTTATAGTTAATATTCCATTCATATGACACCACTAATATCATTATTCGATATACGGTTCATTCCCTGACATAATATTAACTATTTAATATAGCCGTGAGCTAAGCTATTGTTGCCTGCCTGCTCCTGCCTGCCTGCCTACCCTGCCCTGCGGAGATCTCTCGAATATCGACTACTCAATCGCCTTGTTGTGGAGGAGATATCCGAACGATTCCCTGCCTGCCTACCTGCCTGCCTGCCTGCCTGCCTGCCTGCCTGCCTGCCTGCCTGCCGCCCTGCCCTGCGGAGATCTCTCGAATATCGACTACTCAATCGCCTTGTTGTGGAGGAGATATCCGAACGATTCCCTGCCTGCCTACCTGCCTGCCTGCCTGCCTGCCCTGCCTCTACGGGGATCTCTCGAATATCGACTACTCAATCGCCTTGTTGTGGAGAAGATATTCGGACGATTCCCTGCCTGCCTGCCTACCCTGCCTCTGCGGGGAGATATTTCGACTATCTCTCGCTTACCTTACCTGTTACCTGCCTACATCAGTGGAGAGATCTCCACCTAATCCGTTATAGACTCAGATTAAGAAGAAACCCGTCCTAAATCATCATTAACGATTCAGCATTATTAAACCCAGATTCGTGACCTTAACACTACTATTCAGAATCTCAACACAACCGTAACACGACTTCGAGAGTCACGGGACCTTCATCGTTCCAATATAAAGACTCTCACTACTACGAACACGGAATTATAAGCCAAAATTCAGGCCTTAACTATTAAAGAAGAAACGGTTACTTCAACAAAGCCTCTGGATTTCGATATAAATAAACAACCAATCAAATTAAAAGTTATCAAGACTGGGACGCCTATCCCTACTATCCTTATTATCGAGAATAATAAGAAATACTCTAATGTGCCTTACTTCTATGATAAAAAAGAGAAGTAGGACGAGTGGCGATTCCATCTAAACTTCAAGTTTCGGCAAAGTGCTATATTATTTCCCAGTGAAAAGATAAAATAAACTATATTCGAGACTACTATAAGTTAATTATATTCGATATACTTAAGATACGAGTAGATTTACTAAGCGAGAATCTCTATAATATTATAAAAGAGATAATTTTAGAGCTTTATAATATGTTTAATGATTACGATAAGCTAATAAAGAATAATACTCTACTTTATAACCCGGCGTTTATTATAAAAAAGAAGAAGGCATTTAACGAGTTCTATACTCGATTTTCAGCTATTATTACGCTATTAAACTATAGCGAAAGTCATAAGATCGCTATACTACGAAGACTCATTACTCTTAAGCTTCGATTACGAATCGCCGATATCTTATTATCTTTCTTTCGCTTAGTTATTAAGTATTTATAAAAGACTAATTAAGACCTTCGTTAATTAAAAGCTATGTATATAAATGTGAAAGAGATTAATAAATAGGAGTTCAAATTAAACTCATTACTCTATTCGGAACAGCTAAAGGATTAGCTAAAGAAAGAAGGTCGATATTTTAAATACCTTAGCTATGGTCATCGGCTTAATCAGACTAAGGCATATATAACCTCAAAGGCATTATCGTTTAAAGAGGCAAAGGTTATTATAGCCAAGGAAAAGGCTGTAGAGAAGGCTATAAAGAAGCAATAACGGTATAGACCTTGCCTACAGCAGTAGTAATAAATTTCTCCTCCTTCCCCTAACCAGCAACAACCGTTCCGCAATGCGCCAAAACCACGAATCCATCACACCACCTCTCAGCACCCCACACCATTACTTCAAGCACCTTCCCGGGCTATTGCCCCACATTAATACCCCTATTACCTGCATCCGCAGGTCTACTACACGAGATTTAGCTCAATACCACAATCGGACACTAAAAGTGTCTACGAGAAAAAGTTTAAAGTTATTATTTCAGGGAGTAGCAAATATGCTTTAGGCCATAAAGGCCAATACACTATAGATCATAACGATCGTCTCGCTATTGCCACCTCGCCGTCGCTATGATTTAAATTATAGGGATATAGCTATTTAAGCGACAAAGACAATCGTCTAGATAGTGGACTATTTGATTGGAAAAGTTTGAGGCAGCCGAAGGTTGGCTGCTCTGGGTCTGGTCTGAGATACAAGAGGTACCCTTTGGACATGCCGCTTCCCACATTCAAGACCGTCGCCGGCCTCTTGCGCCTGTTGAACTGGGGTTCTTCTTCAGAGCTATACTACCCCGAGCGGTTTTCGAGGGGTGCAGCTTTCTCCTTTGCTATGGCATCATCCATTCCGGGTGGCAATGACTTAGGGGTTGGCCCCGTGGGTGGTGGCAAAGGGTTTGGTATTGGGACCTTGGCAAAAAGGCTTTACCTGGACAGTACCCGTGAGCGCATCCATTCAAGTGATGCTCATGCGCACCTCGAACCTGGTCGATGGGCTATTGTCTTGATTCATGAGGCCTTTGATGCTCCAAGTCAGCGTTATCTTGACGAATGCCAACGGGGCGGAGTCTGCCGGAGCAGACTCTGGCAGTGAGGACGACAATCCGCTAGAGCAGCCAAAAGGCGGGGAGCAGTCCATGGAAAGGGCGATGGCCTTGCTTCTGGGACCTGAAGACCCATTCGAGGACAAAGGCAAGAACCAGAACCTGCCATTCCGAGCGATTAAGAGACTGAGGTACGCACTCGTCACACCATCCATCGAGTCAAATCCATCGGGTCATAAATTCATCGTGGCCGATATCCCTACATATTTGGAGCATGTTATAGAGAAAATGCAAGACAAAGGGAATGCTGGAGATCTCCAGAAGCTGATCGAGGTGTGGAACAGCCGTATTGCTACCATAGACACCGCGGACTTTTACGGGGATGAGGTCATTCATGACATCTTGCCGAAGGTCTTTCCGCTCCGAGAGACAGCTCCATCTGGCTCTCAGCCCGAGTGAGCAGTGTATCAGTGGGAGTCTCTCCACTTGGTAGACGATGTTGTCTCCTTATGAGATTTCATGCTTGCAGCAATTAAGTAGAATGGAGAACCGAAGGTTCAAAAGACGCAAGCAAGTTATTCCTTCCTCTATTCCTTCCTTCCTTCCCGAGAAACCGGTTGATGATGAAGCCGTCGCAAACCCGTCGCTAAAATGCTCAGCTAACCACCCTCCCCCACCTGCAAAATTCGCACATCAACAACCGCTCTGAAAACATCCCCCCTCTTTGCCCCACAAATCCCCTCCAAGCGCGTAGCAAACCCCCTTCTCAACAAAACAGTACCTCATCAGTTCCGTCATGATCTGCCAAGTGATAACCCACGGCTCCGTATCGGCCGCAGAGATCGCAAGGGCCAGTTCTTCCATTTTGGCCCAGACAGAACGTACGTACCCGAGTCCGATCCTACTCGCGAGCCGGCGTCGGTTGCGCATTGTGCCGGACGGGAGGCGTAGACGAGAAGGGCGCTGGGGCGGCGTGCGCTGGAGATGTTGGCTTGGAGGGAGGACGTGGTTCAACGGTGCTGTATTGGGCTGGTTGGTATACGTGCTTGATATCTGCAGACGCCCTTCGGACTACGCGGCCACAGGAGAACAGACTTCGGAGACCAATGAAAATACGATTCATGCCTATTTTGCCACGTCATGTAAGTCTCTACATGCGTTTTCGAAGACTCGGCGGTGTACGGTGTACGGCTAACTTCAACCCGCTGTTGATGGTTTGATGCATAACGAGGATCTCTTACAGGAAAAAGCATTCTGGTTGAAAAGCCTTTCGACTCGCACTACATAGGAAAGTTCAGCAAAATTGGGCATGAGTCGCAGCAGTGCGACGCAACAACTCAAAACATATGCGAAGCCTTCGAAATGTACGCACAAGTCAATCGAAGTCTGTTCCATAATTAGATATCACATGAGTTGAGAGTTTGTAAAGGATTGTCTCATCGATCAAAGACCTCTTTGTCGCAGCTGAAAGCTAGGGAACTCAGATTTCTTGTCTTGCGCAAAGTGTTCTTTGTTGTTGACAGTAAATTTAGAACCAAGGGCCCGAGACAAGGCTGCTTTGCTCCGCTCAAAAGAAACCGACTCGCAATAGATATGTTGACAAAGCACACGCCCGGAAAGACGCCGAAAGACTAAATCTATTTCCATAAAGATTCTCAAAGGAACTTTTCCCAGCCTGGCAGTCTTTATCAAAATACCCACTCTCCACTCTACTTTTCAACCAGCCTCCCGCAACTTTCATCACCTACGTATATCTCGAACCCAACCCACAAATAACCCCCCATCGAAACCCATCCCCTCCAACCAACCTCACCACCAACATCCCAAAACCAACCCGCCTTCAAACCATGCACCCCCCTCACCACCCTCCTCACCCTCTCCACCGCCCTCACCCTCACCACCTCCACCCCCCCCCCAACACCACCGCCACCTCCACCTCCCCCCCTCCGCCTCCTCCCTCGCCGCCCTCTCCCTCCCCGGCGGCACCGCCAACCCGGCCCTCACCCTCGCCACCTACGCCGACCCCGACTGCACCACCCTCAACGCCTCCGACACCACCCTCCTCAACGTCCTCCCCCTCAGCTACGACCGGCCCAGCCCCCAGCTCCCCTTCTGGGCCTTCGTCATGACCCGCAACCTCACGGGCTCGGAACGTCTGACGTTTTACTCCTCGACGAACACGAGCAGAGATGCGTGCGCGGTGCCGGTCGGGAATCTGACGGCGGGGGATGGGGGGGCGGGGTTTTGTTTGCCGGTTGGGGGGGCGACGTGCTATAATCTTACGCGGTCGTAGGTTGGGGGATGGGTGGGTGGGGGTGGTTGGTGGAGGTGGATTGAATTGATTTGTTTGGTAATGGGATGGTGAGGAGGGAGTGCGTTGACTTTGATACTTCGGTCGCGGAATGTTGGAGTTACTGGCATTGGGATGGCACGTTGGTTGCAGATTTCTCTTGTTCTTGTTGCCGAGTCTTGTAGTGATTACCATTCTGTCTTGAATTCAGAAATTAAAACAGTACGTTTCCAATTACTCCCCGTGAGGAAAAAAAAAGTCCGCAGATGCTGCGATTGCACGGGGCGAGATATTCTCACTCAATACGGTTTCTTCTGAATTATCGAACAGACACTGACGATAGCATGAGGGAGGAAGAATTTGTGAACGCCTTGATCTGTCCAATCGATCCGGACCGGTTTGAGTTGGCTAAGACTTCATGTCCTGGTGAACAAACAGCGTCGGATCCATTTCGGATCTTAGGTGTGAGCGGCTGCGTCCTTGGTGAGCTAGTGATTCATTTATTTCATACACCCTCTCTATTGATGTAAGTTAATCTCACCATGCCACAAACTGCGTGCAGTTCTTAACGATAGTGAACTTAGCATGCCTTAATTTTAGAATGTCTTTAATATGATTATAATACATTAAGAAATAATATAATAAATTAAACATTGATCAAAGGAGAAGAAGAAAGTCAAACCTTGAAAATCCCAAAACAATCCCCCAAATAGTTCCCCAAACTTCCCTGCGGAGATGCGCTCACCCATCATGGAATTGGCTCGCCAGCCATGCTTGGTCCTAACTCGGGTTTGCCTGGGGACGCTGAGCCCATTCGGAAGACAGGCTCCGTTGTGGCAGCTGGGGTCACCAGCACCACCGTTGTTGTTGTCGGTCTCGCCTTCGTTGGGGTCGGTGAAGTTGTTTTCGGTGGTGGTGGTGGGGTTGAAGTTGTTGTTGGCGGTGGTGGCGGGGATGAAGTTGTTTTCGGTGGTGGTGGTGGGGTTGAAGTTGTTGTTGGGGTGGTGGCGGGGATGAAGTTGTTTTCGGTGGTGGTGGTGGGGTTGAAGATTGTTTTGGGTGGTGGCGGTTGAAGATGTCTTCGGGGGTGGTGGTGGGGATGAAGTTGTCGTGGGTGGTGGTGGCGGCGTGTTGAAGATTGTCTTGGGTGGTGGTGGTGGGGATGAAGTTGTCGTGGGTGGTGGTGGCGGCGTTGAAGATGTCTTGGGTGGTGGCGGTGGGGATGAAGTCGTCGTGGGTGGTGGTGGTGGCGGCGTTGAAAAAGGTTTCGCAGACGTAGTAGTACTTGAGATTACGGTCTTCAAGGTTGTCATCGTTTGTGAAGGAGATGGTATGGACGTTGTAGAAGGTGGGGGTTCAGATGTTGTTGTTGAGGGTGTAGACGTTGTAGGACTTGAAAATGTGGAGGTTGTAGCTTTGGGACTTGTTGAGGCAAAGAGGCTGTTTGATGATGAGAGACTCGTAGATTTAGAACTTATGATTGAGGATATAAATGTGTTTGATGGCGAGAAGGTCGTCGCTTCAGTACTCATCATGGAAGATGTGGATATTCCCGATGTCGAGGAAATCGTAGCTTTCAAACTTGTTGTAGAAGATAATGACGTCGTAGCTCCTGAGCTTGCTGTAGTAGAGATTTTAGATGTCGTTATTTTGGAGGTTGCATGTCTAGATGAAGTTATTAATGTGGAGGCGATGGATGTTGGGGAGGTCAAAGCTTGAGTCGTTGTCGGTGAGATCTTAGGTGTCGTTGCGATGGAGGCGGCCGATGTAGTCGACATGGTAGCTTTTGCTGTAGAGGATATCTCTGATGTTATGGAGTCTGTAGTCGAACTCATAGAGATGGAAAGCCTAGACTCTGCTGTCACAGAGGTTATGGGATCTGAGGAGGCCGTATTTTTGAACGTTGATGTTAAGGAATTGATGCCACTGGAACTTTCTTTCCTGGATGTCATCGCTACAGAGGTAGCGATTTTTACGGATGTTGAAATTTCAGATGTTGTTTCAGATGAAGTGGCCGAACTTTCTTTCGTCGATGTCGCCGTAGTAGTAACTTTTGAGGATGCGGTAGCTTCAGTTGTTTCAGATGAAGCGATGGAGCTTTCTTTCATTGATGTGGCTGTAGTAGAACTTGTGGAGGAAGTGAGATCATTGGATGTTGTAGAAGAAATCCTATATGTAGTTGGAAGAGTACTGGTAGGGCTTTGAGAGCTCGTCCCAGGGAGTGTTTGAGGGTCCTCGAGGCTGGACGTCGCAGTCATGGACTCCGCTGTTGATTCGGGCTCGGCTCCCGAGGCAGCATTGGCAGCAGCATTAGCGGCAGCGCCTACTGCTGCACCGACACCAGCACCGGCTGCAGCTGCTCCGTTGACATTGTTGTTGCTGTTACTGGTACCCTTGTTGTTGCTGTTCCCATCGCTGCTACTGCACCCTCTCTTATTCAAGGATCTTGAATGACACGATCCTGCATCTGAACCGCCTCCACCTGGATGCCCAAATAGCTTCTTGAGTGTGCTTCCAACTTTACTTGCAACGCTCGACGCGACATTCTTGGCTGCACCTGTAAGAGCACCACTTGCGTCCGTCACTCCTTGTTTGATAGGCTTTTTGGCGACCTGGGCAAAAGCTTTACCGGCGTCTTTCCCCAGAGCTGCTCGTCCTCCGGCAGCATCCAGACCAAGTTCACCAATTGTCTCAGCAGCTTCTCCTGCTGTCTCTGCATCCTTTCCAGTTGTTCCCGCATCTTCTCCTGCTGTTTCTGCATCTCCTGCTGGTTCCCCATTCTCTCCTGTTGATTCTGCATCTCCTCCTGTTATTCCTGGCTTAACGTCGGCAGGGTCTGGTTTGAAGAAATTGGGGTCTTCCATCCCCTGTTCAAAATGAGCTTTACCTCCGCTAATCTCATTCAAGGGCCTCAGACCTTTAGGGGCTTGAGGTGGTTGTTTGGGAGTCTCTGCATCTTTTCCTGTCTCCCTGGTCCCATCTTCTCCAGGTACCTGCATCTTCTCCCGCTGAGTCCCCATCTTCTCCAGTTGTACCTGCATCTTCTCCCGCTGAGTCCCCATCTTCTCCAGTTGTATCTGCATCTTCTCCCGCTGAGTCCCCATCTTCTCCAGTTGTATCTGCATCTTCTCCCGCTGAGTCCCCATTCTTTCCCGCTGATTCTGCATCTCCTCCCGTGGTTCCCGGCTCTGCGTCTGTGGGGTCTGGTTTGAAGAAATTGGGGTCTTCCATTCCCTGTTCAAACTGAGCTTTACCTCCGCTAATCTCATTCAAGGGCCTCAGACCTTTAGGTGGTTGTTTAGGGCGAGGAAATCTTGCGGGCGGATCTTTCTCCATGGGGGATGGGGGTCCGTCATCAGTGAAAGGCTTACCATCCATGGGTGAGGGAGGTCGTGGAGGATCTTCTGGGGTCTTGGCATCCGGAACCTTGTCCTCTGGAGTCTCTTCTGGGGATTCATCTGGAGACTGCCCTGGGGGTTTGTCTTCTGAAGGGTTCTCATCCGTAGGGTCCACCCTGTGTGGGGTTTTGATATCTGAAGGCTTAAATCTTCTCGGCCCGTCCTCTCCTGGAGTAGTCTTGAAACTTGGAAGCTTGAAATTTGGAATCTTAACACTCGGAAGTCTGATTTTTGGGAGATTGAATTTCGGAGTTTTCCAATTATCGATCACTTTTTTGACCGCATAAGGAATTCCAGCCGCGAGTGGAGCCCCAAGAAATCCTAGATATGCTAGGTCGTGAGATGATGTCGGACTGGCACTGGAAACGGTTGTCGAAGGCGCTGTTTGCTGAGTTGGTGAAACGGAAGACGTGAGCCCTGGAGATGTGTTGCCAGAGTTAGATACTATCTGCGATGATGTGGTGGGCTCTTGGGACACATGTGTCGACGCCATTTGGGAAGATGCAGAAGTCGATGAAGCTAACATCGACGATGTTGATCCAGAGCTTGAGGTCCCAGAGATTGATGAATCTGATGACGATGATATTGATCCAGAGTTTGACGACGCCTCAGATGTCAGGGAAGAGGTGACGGAAGACAGACTGCTGAGCACTGAGCTATCCATCAGCGATGCCGAAGTGGGCATAGAAGAGCTGCTGCCTATTGGAAGAGCTGGATTCCACTGACGTCGTTGACGGAGAAGTCTCTTGGGCAGCAATACTGTTAGAAAGTGGGTTCTCACTTGTCGTAGAATCTTCACTCGACATTGACGTCTCACTTGATGCCTGTGTTTGACTCGGGAAGGATTCTCCTGGAAAAGACGTCCCACTCGAATCTGGCGTTCCACTTGATAACGGTATCTCCGTTGACGCCGGTGTTCCATTTGATGTTGGCGTCCCTTTTGCGTTATTTGATGCTAGTGCCCCGTTTGACGTTGGTGGGTCGTTTGATGATGGAGCCTTATCTGATGCTGGTACTGTCACTTGACACTTCTGCGTTACCTGACTGTAGTGCGCCGTTTGATGCTGGTGTCTCCGTTGATGCTGGCACCGCATTTGACGCTTCTGCGTTACTTGACTGTATTACGCCATTCGATGTTGGTGGACTGTTTGACGGGTTTGGCCCAGTTGAAGCTTCTGTGTTACTCGATGCCGGTGCCTTGTTCGATACTGACGAACCGTTTGGAGATGATGTCCCGCTCGGTGATGGGGTCTCATCCGAGGAAGGGGTCTCGTTTGATGGGAGGGCCTCATTAGATGATGGTGCTTGAGATACTGAAGCTGAGGCTTGCAAGGAGTTCAAATTTGAAGTCGGTGTTCCATTGGATACCGAAATCTCATTTGGTGAGGGTGTCTCATGTGAAGACTGTACCTGGGATGCTAAAGCGGAAGGTTGCAAAGAGACGGCGTTTGAAGCCGGTGCTCCGTTGGATGCCGAGTTCCCATCTGATGATGGGGATTTGTTTGAGGATGGGGTCTTATTTGAAGAGTTCTCATTGGAGGAGGGGATTTCATTTGAAGACTGTACTTGGGATGCTAAAGCCGTAGCTTTCAAAGAACCAGTACTTGAAGCAAGTGCTCCGTTGGATATCGAAGTCCCATCAGATGCTGGTATTTCATTTGATGATGGCACCTGGGTTGCCGAAGCTTGCAAGGTGTTAGTATTGGAGACCGGTGTTCCATTTGCTATCGAGATCCCACCAGTTTCTGGTATCCCATTTGATGCCAGACTTTGAGGTGCTGACCCCGCAGCTGGCGCAGACTCAGGGATGTTCTGCGAGGATGGCGATTCTGCAGCACCGAGAGCCGTAGTTAAGGGTTCGTTAGAAGAGCCTGGAGCAGAAGGAGAGGCAACGGAAGAAGATAGCGTAATAGGAGTGAACAGTATAGTGGGCTGTTGAGTAGACGGGATTGCGGGATGAGAAGGAATGAGGCTAGATGCTAGGTCCAATGAGCTAGTGTCAAAAGCCGACGGCCCCTGGGTGACCGAGACTGAAGCCGCAGCTGTTGCTCCAGAGTCGTCTGAAGTCATAGGACCTGATGCTGATTTCAAAGTGGTCGAAGCTGTATTTTGTACAGATTTCGACGGTTCTGGGTCTGACACTGAAGCTGCCAGGTTTGTGGATGTCGTAGACTCCGGCTGTGCATCGGGATCTGACATCGTATTAGCAGGCCCAGAGGTAAGCAAAGCACCGCTGGCCTGGCCGCCGGATGATGAGGAAACTGCCCCAAGGCCTAGGGCAATGAGAGAATTTTGGGTGGTTGTATTGGATGTATCAAGGCCTTGAGAAATAGCCGCTTGGTTAGGAACGTTAATGACTTGGCCTATTTGCAGATCGCTTGGGTTCACCCCTGGGTTAGCAGCTTCGATGGCGGCGGGAGTTGTACCATATCTACTGGCAATGATCCAGAAGGTGTCACCTGCCTCAACTGTGACTTCTTTAGTATTCGTCGCGATCGTGCCGCCAGGGACGACTGCAACTACGACGAGCCAACATGCTGCCAAAACAAAGGTGATACCTGAAGAAGTGCGCATCCTGGCGAGAACTGAAAATGTAGAAGCAGAAGATACTGAAATAATGGCACGAAGTGAATGTGTCACAGAACGTCACCAATTTCTTGGGTGTGAGCCCTGCGCAAAACTACAAGAGAAATAAAGCTTATACATGGACTGAGAATACTACAGAGTACCAAAAAGAAAATTAAGATTGCCTCGTTGTCTACTTAGACAAAGTACTCATCAGTTGACGAGATTAAACCCCAAAGGCAACAAAAGGTTGTGATCAGCAAGTACTTTTGACCAATAGAAAAAGAAGGTAACAAGAGCAAATATAGAACAAGAAGCCCACTTGTATGTGCATCGGCGACAGTGGCAGGCTTCCGACTTACTTGGAAGGCTTTGTTGAGGAAATCTGACCCCAGTCGTTATTGATAACCTAATTCGTACTAGCGCTAGAGCGGCGGTCCACAAAGCAGTGTTCCGAGCCACCGCCTGCATCTCGAGCGTTCTGCATCTACAATGGACAACAATTACTTCGCATAGCCATGGTATGGACTGATTTGGATCGTGGTGAGTCCAAGCTCTGGAGCCTTCGGAGTGTGATCTACCCTTCCAGCAGCAAGCGTTCGCAACAGCAATAAACCGGCAGCAGCCTGCGATTAGGTTAGAATGGTCGAGCGGAGTATGCCACTTGACCGTCAGGTTGTATGGGTGATCAACAGTGGCGCCAAGGAGCAGGTAGGCTCGTACATGTCTTCCGCCCACTCAACCACCCAGCCACGTTTTCTTGGCCAAAGTGGCCAGAGTAAAAATGCAAATCAGTCGAGCAAAATCAAGTAAGGCGGCTGTACTAACCCATAAGCTTCTTTTCTACCAGAGACAAACTCTTCCTCGAGCGATTGCTTTGTCACTGCTTGCGTAGAAGATGAGTACTTGTACCGCCACGCAAGCGCAGACATGCGCCCTACAAGAAGCTGGAAGCTGATGACATTTGGCGCCGACGGCGTAGGCGCCACCTACGGCTCCACTTGTTGATGCGCACCAACGTGGATGTAGACACCTTCAGAAGTAAGATGAAGTTGGAGGTACTCCCTGCACACCGAGTGATCACAAAATGGACGGCTTTGTCATCGAGGTCTCTTACGCTACCGATGGCGAGTCAAGCGTCACCAAGCTGGGCGAGGCAACCCTGAAGGCCAGTGGTGTCATCAGAAATTCTTAGCATCGTGGCAGTCAATAAGGAAGTAGACCACTTGCTATACGACCGTACCTGGCCGCCCCGAGACATTCTTGCCAAACCTCGCTTTCGCTCTCGAGGGCGCACTGGTACCAAACCCCTCGTAAAACACTGCAAACAGTATCATATTGAGGGCCACAGCAGTCTCTGAAATCAATGTGTGTCAAGGCTTACTGTAGCCTCTTCTCACCCCGACAGGGCGTTTGCATAGCCTCGCTGTCATATCGGGCTAGCCCTTACTGTACACGGTGAGGTTCTAGCTGCAGGTTCAAAGCATCCTCAGTGTACCCAGCTACTCTGTAGGCTGGTATGCGTGACTGCTCTGCGGTCAGTCAATGCTCATTGTATACATTTCACATTTCACTGGAGATTTCGATCATCTGCACAAAGGGAACGGAAGGTGCGGCGGGACCTCCATGTTCCGTCAGCCCTAAAAATGATTACATCATGTCGGCAGCCAATCAAATTTTCTTTTTTGCACAGCCCGGGTTCGGTCTGCTAGTCAATTTGTCATGCCGCCCTCGCTGAAGCAGGTTTGCCTTCTTATCTCACGCAATTCAAAGACCTTTTGAGTAGCATTGAACTGAGTAATATACATCTTTCTTCTCTCAACCTTGGTGAACATAACCTTCTGCGTGTAATCTATATTGACCCACTCGAACTACAGCCCCTACTTTCCCATACGATTGCGACGCCACCATTTGGACTTCTATAACAACAAGCACCGCAAGGCTATACCATACAGCATATCCCATTTGTACAGTGCCATTCGCATGTCGAACCCCTACTACGGCCAAGGGCAGCCCAACGGCTATAACCCAGCAGGTAACTCTGGCGGAAGATACGAGCCCGACTACACCCCCGCCAACAACAACAACAACAACAACAACAACAACTACGCGCCATCGCCGGACATGAGCAACGGCAGACGCTACGACCTCGAACCCCGGACCCGGCGCGACCACCGCAAAGCCCCCCCGCTACGCCTCGAGCAGCAGCTCAGGCTCCTCGTCCGAAGACGAGCGCCCGGCCCACCGCTCCGCGAAGAAGGGCGCCGCCCACAAGGATCCGTCGTCGTCGTCGTCGTCGTCGAACCGGCTCGACAAGGCCAAGGAGCGTTTCTCGACGTCGGACCGGGGGGTCGGCGCGGGCATGATCGGCGCGGTGGCGGGGGCCGTCATCGCGCAGGAGGCGGCGCAGAGGAATGGGAAGGGCAGTATTGGGGCGACGATTGCGGGGTTGGTGCTTGGTGGCTTGGCGGGGAATGCGTTGGAGAGGGGGTATGATAAGTGAGTTTTTGATTCTTTGTTGTGGGTGGAGGGTGGAGGGGATGGATGGGAGGGAAGAAAGGATGGGCGAGAAGGAGGAGGGGAAGGGGCGAGTTTCGGGTATGATTGCTGACGGGTGGATTCGTGTAGGAAGCATGAGGAGAAGAGAGCAGTCACCGAGAAGTCTTCCGATAGGCGAAGGAATCATCGATCGTAGGCGCGAGTATGTTTGATGATCGTCTCATGGTGTTGAATAGGTAAAGGCGTGATAACGAGGAACACGGTTTGTTTTCGGGTTGTTTTGGGGAAATGTTTCTCGCTCGTGTATATGTGACCACCTACTTGTATACTATTTCACACTGCTACAGAATCCGCGGCTTGCTATTGGAACATCTAGGCCTGTTTCTTTCTGAAGAGCATATCTGCCTAATGAAAGGAAAAAATGCGCTACTCAATGGTGAGAAGAGGTACTAAAAGGATCGTGCAAGTGTAGCATCAGACCCTTGCCGCATCGATTACAGATCTATGCCAAGCTTGATGCCAGATCGATGACAGTCCGAAGGCTACGGTTCCCATGCTGGCGCGGTTCCGGACCTGAAACTGTCTCCTATTGAGAGTTCGTGCATCTTACTACAATATCGTAAGCACCACAGGTATGATCGATGATTTGACTCATAAAGTCTCTCTACTTGGTAGAATGCACGTCTCTTTCACGAAAGGTAAAGCTTTAAAAGAGAAGCTGTAGTTATGGCACGATTCTCGGAGCTCTTTTGGCAAAGGGCTACCACTGTATTCTGAATAGATGAAGAAGGCCAGCAGAAAACAAAGTGATGGACGTTGTGGCTAATCAGAACCCACTTTGAGCTTGGAAGCGAAATAGAAGCTCTTTCTCTCCTCCACCACAACACTTGCGACTTTAGTGTCTACCCCTCATCATCTTTGCCAAATTCTGAAAAGCATCCCTCCTTTTGTCGATAATCTCGTTGAAAGTGTCTGCCGGACCGATAGATCCAACGACGACTTGGTCACTCCCGGAGTCGAGACCTTGGTACGTTTCATCCACGTATGCGCGCACTGGCATACCGAGCTGTCGTCCGCTTTCATGGCCCATGTAGTCGTGTAATTCCGCTTGTAGACGTCAGCCCTATCGCAAGTACTTGGCCTCCGGACGAACGTGGACATACTTTGTACAGGAGGAGGCAATAGTTCAATGACCTTGACAGATGAGTCACGGAGCTGCTCGCGGAGACAGTAGATGAATGAGTTCAAGGCAGCCTTGGAGGCACAGTAGGCGGGAAGGGGAGCCGCGGGGACGATGGCGAGGTTGGAACTCGTGCTAGGCTTGTCAGTAGACCAGTTTGGGGTTGGTGGGGTGGAGCGAAAGGTACTATATCAAGCTCGTCTCGGTGTCCTTGCTCATGAGGAAGGGCAGAAACTTCACCGTCAGATCCACGAAGCAGGAGAAGTTGGTGGTGATCTCGGAGTGGAAAGCGGACAAGTCAACTTTCGCTGGCTGTGCGAGGTTGACCTGGCTTTGAACTCCGGCGTTCAGGAAGACGCAGTCCAGCTCGGGGTAGGTGTGTGTGATGCTATTGTAGATGGCTGTAAGAACATTGGTGTCATAGTAGCCTAGAGGACAAGCGTGGGGGGGGGACCAACTCTCTCACGAACGCGTCCATGTTCTGCCGATCGGTAATGTCAAATTTCGCGGCACTGGCCTTGTCTTTGCCATGTCTGTGGACGAAGTCATCGAGCCTGTCTTGTCTGCGGCCCACCGCGATGACTTTAGAGCCTTCCTGGACAAGACGGTCGGCCATTGCGGCACCGATGCCAGATGTAGCACCGACCATGAGGACGTGTTTGTATTGGAAAGGCATTTCTTGGATAGGTTTCCTTGTGTTTGAGTAAATTGGATGAGCGAAATGTTTGGGAGAGAGCTCATCTCTTATACACGATTCTTGTGGCTCTCGGTCGGCTTTAGAGTGGAGTCACATGATAACAACGGAACACCTACGCTTTCGGGCATAGTCAGATTCTATCGCCGACTACCTTAAGTCCGCGCTGTGTGGGGCAGCCTCCATGCGCAGGCTCTTGAATCTCGGCGGCATAGCAGGTCAAAGCAGCCTTTCCCGTCTTGACATCCGGGTCTGGGAGTCTTGCTCCTTATGGTACCTGTTGTAGCGGTGTGAGTGAGCGAAATCATGGTGTACCGTGGCAAACCCTCCAAAGCTTGCCTGCGGTGTAGAAAGAGGAAGCTCCGTGTAAGCTCCCAAATGCCTGACCAAGTCTCTTTTCTCACTGACGAGACATCAGTGTGACCTCCAAAGAGACTCCTGTGGTCAATGCATCAGAGCGACCCATATTTGCTCCGGCTATCGTGATACCGAGCAGCTGAGAGTCCGCGACGAAACCCAGGCGACCAGGCAGAAAGCGTTGAGCTGTAGTTCAAAACCCATCCCGCGCACTTTGGCTACCACTATCCAAGATAGGGCGAGGAACGCATTCTTTTTTCATTATGTATCCGGCTTCTCAAAAACCTATGATGTCCTAGAACCTCTCTACGAACATTCTCCATCGGACAGACCCCTGATTGCGAGTGTTGATGCCGTCAGCTTAGCGTTCTTCTCTTTCCAATTCGATTGCGAACAGGCTTCGCATATTTCTCGAGAAAAGTACCTATCTGCTCTGCCGCTGCTAAACAAAGCACTCCGTAGCCCTGAATCTGCGACGAGTGACTCAACACTCTCAGCAGTGCTCCTCCTCGACCTTTTTGAAAAAATCACGAACAACAATCCTCGATCGATCGGTTCCTGGATGAGTCATATCAACGGTGCTCTTGCCCTGGTCGAGATGCGTGAGAGCCCGCTGCTCCAAGACTATACGGGTCACCGGCTGTCAGCACGCCTGAGCACCAATCTTCTCATCAGCTGCGTCTCGGCAAATTCTCCAGTGCCGCCTGCGTTGATCAAACTTCGCTCTGATCTTGAGCCCTTCTTAAATAAGGATGATCCGAAATGGCGGCTCTCCGGCCTGGTGGTCAAATATGCTAATCTAAAAGGGGCCATTCAAGATGGGTGCCTTCTCAGCTTCGATATCATCGCTCGCGCGACCGAGCTTGACCATGAATTTGTGTCACTTGGAAAGCATATGGCTTCAACATGGCTCTACAATACGACATATCTAGAAGAAATATCGGAACGAGTGTTCGAGAAACGCTACGATGCGTATCCAGATCACCTCGTTACTCAGGGGTGGAACGTTCTCCGGGTCATGAGGATCCTATTGAATGACATAATACGCACACACCGCGTCTCCCCAGACACAGGGCCTTTTAACAACGGCTCTTCTCCCCGCAACTCAGCCATCGCGACTGGCTACATCAACGGCATAGCGAAAGATATCTGTGCCACTGCGCCTCAATTCACAGAACACGAAAGCCCCACACCGAGGAGCAAGACCTACTCCACGACCCAGAGATTACGATGCTACACTCTGCTCTTCCCACTCTACGTCGCTGGATTACATGCTAGCTCCACAACCCAAATCAAGGCATGGATCATCCAGCAACTGCGGTTCATGTCCGACGAGATGGGCATTCGGAACGCGAGCGTCGTCGCACAGATTTTGGGACAGAATGGCGGAACTTGTCCCTGGGATGTGTATGCCGTGCTTGGAAGTTATGCGTTTGCTGCTTAGATTGTACGAGCCATGTAGGATTGTGCGAAGAAGAGTCTTGATCGTAGACGGGGAGGCGGAGCTCTAGATGAAACGAATCATCGTTGGAAATTTATCGTAAAGAGCAGGAAAAAGCCTATGATCGAATGCCCTAATATTCTGGCACCTCGAATGTCGGGCTAATTACCGAATCATACCCCGAAACTATGAATCCTTACCGAATCATACCCCTAATTACTGAATCATACCCCACAAAATTTGGGGTATGATTCGGTAAGGATTAATTGCTTGGGGTATGATTCGGTAATTTATCAAACTTGCTGTGTAGATTATTGGGAGTAAAGAATATATATAAGAGTCCACAGACTGGGTGTAGACAGGCTGGGGGGTTAAATTTAGCCCACTATTAGCAGCAGCCCCCACGGGGGGCCCTACGACGGCCCTACGAGGGCCCTATTTAGGTCTAAATAGGGGTGTCTAGCTGTCAAGCGTAAAAAAGCCTGGTCCCGGGGGTGTCTGCCGATAGCCAGACACCCCTATTTGAACCTAAATAGAGACCCCGTAGGGCCGTCGCAGGTGCAGGACCCCGTGAGGGCTGCTGCTAACACCCACTCGGCTTTCATCTAATATATTTAAGCTGATAGATTACCCATTAAATACGGTCGGAGATATTTCCTCTTTTCTATGGTCGGATAGCCTAGATCGCGAATTTTCTCCTTTGCGATTTTTATCATAAATGGCAAATTACCGAATCATACCCCAAGTAATAATAAATTACTGAAACCAGGGGTATGATTCGGTATGATTCGGTAAGGATTTATAGTTTCGGGGTATGAATTAGTAATTAGCCCCTCGAATGTCACTACGCGGCCTCTAGTTGCCACACGGTTGGTTTGCTTGGCGTGCCGTGCGCGTTACTGCGCTAAACCTACTGTGGGAGTGTGATTGGTTCAATTTGATTACACAATCACTTCTATGTTCGCCTTTGCGCTGTTGCCTCAGTCCCTCCAAGTGCTAAGCTCGCTAAGCCCCTTCGGGTTAGCAGCTTCTGCCTACTACGGAAGTAGCACATGCTTCCTCCTCGACATTCCACCCCCTCCAAACTTACACCGTTTGCTTGTCATTCTAGCCAGCTTGCAGAATCTGCAAACACTCTGAGCAGCATCACATTGTCTGTCGCGATAACAAAGTTCGCCTGCATTGTTGAGAGACCAAGCACTTCCATAGCATGCCTGTTTGCATGCATAGAAGGATTCCCTGTCAAGTTAGAGTGGGATTTTCAGCACAGTGCCACTAGTCTCAAGTAGGCATCAATCCAGCTTGACCCCTAGACTTCACAGCCTACATTCTACCCTTCTGGCACCTACGTTGACCATTAACCATAGGCAACAGCCCCCACGGCAAAATTCGCAGCGAGACACCACGGATACAATCCTTCCTTCATCACAGCAGTTCGTCAGCATTCGAAACTCTTCACTGCATTCGACGTAACCATGGGCACTCGCGGATACAGAATCATCAAATTCAAAGGTCGTTTCTGGATCTTCTACAATAATTATGACAGCTATCCTGATGGTCTTGGAAAGTCACTGGTGAATGGTATCCCAGTGGATCCTGAAGAGTATCAGAAGTGGCTCCAGTCTCAGCGCGACTTCTTCGCCAAATGGGACTCGCTACTACAGAAACTCTTGATCATCCAGCCTGAGGATATGCACAAGCTCCGCGAAAATGAGCCTTACAGGCCTATCTTCCACGCTGCATTTGATGACAGTTTACCGCAAGATGCCCCACCCTTTTATGCATCGGGGTTCGCTGACGGCTACATCGAATGGACCTACACCATCGACCTCGACCGAGAAGTCTTCTCTGTTGATAGCGGTGCCCACTTCCGCCTGAAACATATCCCCCGAAATGATGAGTGGATTAAGGCGCTCTTTCTTGACACCGAGGGCAATCGATTTTTGCTACCGCAACTTCTTCCTGCAGATTCAATCGCTACTTTGTCGTTAGACCCGCCAAGCTTTACAGTCTCCACAGAATATGAGACGTTGCAGACGAGACTAGTCAGACCCAAGAGCCTTGATCACATCCCGCGCTCCTGCCTCACCGGACCTCGACTTCGGTGGATGTTGTTCGACTTCTTCCAACAATCACAGCAACGAGATCTTTGTGTCACTTTACTTGGCTGGCAAGCCCAAGATTTGCCGTTCCGTGAGCTTGCGTTTTTTATCCTCTGCCTTGCTGCTGGTGGCGAAAATCTTGCTCTAGTGGATCAACGCCACGCCCAAAAGCCGTATGGCGAGGGTTTGTACCTCGGAATGATAACAGGCAACGAGTCTGAGGGCGATCCAGAGTTGGCATCTTCGTTAGGGGTCGGGTATCACATGGATGGCTTACCGGAGGGCTCCGCCCCAGAGGAAACGAAGTACTGGTTCGAGGGAGCCTTGATCTGTCTAACACCACAGCTGGACTATCCTGGCGTTTTTGAAAAGGCCATCGCCAATGCTATAGAGTATGGACGTGCCAACTGTACCCAAAAATCCTTCAATGCAGTCCTCATATCAATTGAGCATCTGGTTCTGATCAAGTCAAGGCCAGATGGGAGTGTTGATCATACGGAACTCATGCCCCTGGTATCTATTAACACTAACCTTTCCAAGGACTCTCGGGCGAGATATGGCGATGAAGCGCTTGACGCATTCTATGATGCAAGATTTACCAAGAATATCAAAAAGATCGACGAAGATTTCGACACAACGGATGTTGAGCGAGTCAGGCAACATTTAGGCCAGCAGGATGGTAAGAGCGACTGTGGTGAAGACAGTAACGAAGACGTGAAAAGCGAGGAGCATGGTCATGAAGGGAAAATCGGGGAGGGAACGAAAGATGTTTACGTAGAAGCGAAAGGAGAGGATAAAGATGCGGTGAAAGAGTCTGAGGAAACGGAGGCGAGCGAAGAAGATGCGAGAACGAGCGACGAAGGGAGCGAAAGGGAGCGAATACGAGGTGGAGCTAATCCAAAAGGCTCCAGTGACGAAGGCTTTGATAAAGAATTCCTTCGTGGCTTTGATCCAATTCTTCGAAGCTACAACCCTTGAGACTCTGCGACTAACCCAAGCGAACGAAGCACGACTACCAGAAGAGATCTGTGAGATGGTGTTGCGCAATGTGTCGGATATTAGAACTTACAATTCGTGCCTGAAAGTTTCTAGGAGGTTTCGACGTATCTGTCAACAAAGACCCCTAGTCATGGACAACATAGTATTTCTCGAGCCTTTGCCTAACGATCCAGCTCTTTTGATCCCGAAGGATGAGGATACGGGTACACAGGACCCTCTGCCTTCTCCTGACTTCCTCGCAGTGGAGGTATTCTCGGACCGGCAGATGGAAGTTTGGCTTCACTCAGGCGGTGGCCTTCGTGATGGGCTAGAATGTCTCGTTGTTGCGGGATATGAATGGAATAGAAAGACGTATGTCGCCAATGAAAGTGTTCGATTTCGAGGGTTGTGTGTCTCAACACCTAGGGCCGACAAAGCCCGCAAGCGCAAGAGACGTGCAGCATGGTGAGTTGATCAAAACATACATTCCTCCATCTTGCTCGCGGTTGGTCCTTGTTCGTGACTGGACGTCATTTCATATAATTTCCCAACATATCGTCTCGAGAGTCTGACAGGAGGACATGTTACCAACGGTGGACTGAGCTGACAAAACACTGCAGGCGTCACGTTGAGGAATCCTCGTCGTATGGCTCTGAGGGCACCCCATGGGGAAGGGTCATTGATGCATACGAAATTGATGGATACGAAATTGACACTGAAAGCGAGACGTCAACGTGAGTGGAGTTCATCTTGTCGCCTGAAACCCTATATCATTTTGTTCATGCAAGAGCTCCACTCCCAGTGACTGTCCAAATAGGTCTTCAAACTTTTCTAGATAATGCTGACTTCTCTGCAACAGACTCGGACAGTTCTGGAAAGATGTTACACGGGCCCTAAAGCATTCCGTACGAAAGACTGAGGAGCCAGCCTGGACCCTTCCCCCAAACACCTTGTGCTACTTTGGCACACAACAAAGCTTCAGTCAAGAAGCAAAGAAATTTCACTACCTCTACCTACGTGTGAAGAGACCGAGCAAGTATTGGGACGATCTTTGGGATGACATCATCCGCGAGGCTAGCGAAAATCTAGACCATACCGACGACGGCAAAATTAAACACGACAACTATCCAGAGGGTGAGGTGATAGGCGCTGACGACCCATACGTCATTCTTGCAATTGGAATGGAGGTACGCTTGTTTAGATGGGAGCAAGGTTTTGACGATTCGGTGGATGAAGGAGCAAGGAGGAAGAAGTCACCTTCCAGCACCTTGAGAGAATTGAATCCGGGAAAGATCTTGAGTCTCTGCGAGAAGACCGACAGAGAGGAGATTGAGAAGTTCCTGGACATGGCTGAACAGCACAAGGAGACGATCAAGGCAAGAATCTCTGAGAAGTGTGGACGGGAGTTAAAATGGTCCACATAGTGGGTGATTGAGACTCAGGCGAGGGTTGACAATTTTGACGTAGTTGGTGTTGTCGGATCATGATATATGAGCTCTTGACCGTTCATTGGCTGGCATGGATATGGCCGACTGGTCTTCAAATACTTGGTTTGAGGCCGAGAAGCTGGGGGTTGCTATTACTGGTCACCTTCGGGTTCTAGACGAGAATGGCAAAAACAGCAGGCTTTGACAACACCGAGATACCAAAACCCATCATCGCACCACCAAGCCTGCTAAGATGCTTTACATACTTGATACAAGACCTCACGAACTATCGTCCCCGTCCGCTGCACCCTCACGTCCTCGATGATGCCTGGGTACCTGAAGGTACCTTGGACAAACATGCCAAAAATATCAATCCGGCAACATTTTTCTAAATCCTTCCCCTAACCTACGGCTAACGACGCACCCGAGAAATCTAGCCCAAAGATACATCCCATCCAATCCATCAACCCTACGACGAACCCATCCGCTTCCACATCCTCATCAAACTCCCCCTCCTCCCCCCCTCTTCCCCTTCCCCCATTCCACCACCCACCCCCCACCACCGTCTCCCCATCCCTCCCCCCTCCCCCCCACCAAACCCCCCCTCCATCCTCCCCCCCCCCCCCCCCCGCCTTCCGCCCCACAACCACCAACCGATCCATCCCCCACCCGACGCCCCTCCGGCCCTCCTCCCCCGGCCGCGACGACCAGCTCCCGGAGCCTGTCGCCGTGCCCGCCGGGCATCGGGTCGAAGGTCTTGGCCGCCAGCTCTTCGTACGTGAGGAGGTAGATGTCGAGTTGGGAGGGGAGGTAGGGCGGGGCGGTCGCGTGGCGCGTGCTGGTTGTGTGGGTGAGGGAGTGCGTAAGGAAGGTTTGGGGGAGGTGGGGGATCCAGCTGTGGGGGTTTTGGTGGGACGTTAGTGGGGGGGGTTTGGTTTGGGGGGGGAGGCGGTTGGGGAGGCGGGGGGGGGTATGGTGAAGGGGGTTGGATAGGATAAAGGGAACGTACTTTTGCACTCCGACGCGCCCGTCTCTCTTCTTGAAGCCTTGCACGAATGCTGGGATGGCGTCGAGGGCGGTGGTGCTGAGGGAGGGCGATGCTTTGATTGTGGTGTGCGTTGTCATGTCGTATTCGCCCCATTGGAGGTGGCCGCCCGGTTCTGTGGGGTTGGGGGCATGGCGTTAGACGGGGTGGTGTGCGGGGCCGAAGATGCTCGATGTGGGGGGGAGAGGATGGTATCTTATGTGTGATTGATTGATTGGGAAAACGGTACAGAGTGTATGTGGAATGGTAACGGATATGTGTACGTAAAGGGGGGGGGGAAACGTAAAACACCCACTCAACATCTTCACCATGTTCCGCAACAGCGGCCCGGGATCATTGTCCTTGACGACCACTTGGAACAGCCGCAGCTGTACGATATCGTATTTCCCGGCTAGATGCTCGGGAATCTCGCCCAGAGCGTCGAGATGTCGCATCCTGACGTTCCGCGGCAGCCATTGCTCGGGCGGGCAGTCCGAGATATCGATGTCGAAGCCATCGAGTTGCGCCGTTGGAGGAAGAGTGCGGGCGAGATCGAGGAGCCAGATTCTGTGGGAATGGGAATTCATTTAGACTAATGGGTTCGTTTGAACAGGTTTTCCTGTTCTTTTCTATGCATGAAAGCCCAAAAGGGTATGAAAAGCAAGGAAGTGGCTTGTTTCCGATCACTACTGTGACGGCCTCTGTTTTGACGACAGTGGTAAAGTTGATGATGTACGTACCCCGTGCCCGTACCCACGTCTGCGATTTTGAGATTCTCAATGCCCGACAGGGGTATGCTGGGGTGTAGTAGATAGCCGGTTTGGTCCTTCCATAGATAATGTTGCAGATTCAGCCTGTTCATGATCACTCAGCACAGGGGTACCTCTTTCGATGAGTACACAGAGAAATGTTTCTTCGAAACTATGTCTGTGTGTATGGATGTACCTTGCCGTAGAAGCATATGCTCTAGTCGTAGGTTTCAACGTGTATTCAACATTTTCAACGCCCTCATTCAAGCTGCCCTTGTCACGTTTTCCGTTGTCCAATTTGGCATTGGTGACTGGTGTGAGTGACGGCGTGCAAACATCCAATGCGCTCTTCCCATTCGCCATCTTGGCCAGATTTATAATCCTTCAGCACAGATGATGCAAAGGGGTGATTAACGATATGATTCCCTGAGGCCTGCAGCTGTGGCGACCATCCCGATCCTAGACCGTCCTCTCGAAGTCTTTCTATGCATCTTGAGTAAGCAGTTCATGGATGAGTTGTCGTTGACTAGCTTCAAGACTACTGCGGGTAAAGGTCATAAGCCGAGGAGCGATGCGCGCACTAGTAAGGGATCGTTGGGTTCGGGGTGGTTTGGAGGAAACTCTGTTTTGTGTTGAATTCAAGTGGTGGAAGCTTGCATTGTAGCTTTGTTCTTTTCGAAGAAGATGAGCCGATTGGGCAGCTTCTCCGACTTCACCGACATCGCGAGACGGGAATACTTGCCGACGCTGTTGGATATACGATATGGCTGCGATCGACCAGGAGTAAGAATAACCTCGATTCAACCGTGGTAGACACATCTCTTGTGTTATTGCATTCGGCTTTTTAGTAGTGAGTTGAAAGGATGCGACTGTTATCATAAGCTCTCTGTTCAATCTTGAAGAGCGATGCACTCTCCATGTGCGATCTCAGCATGGTCTTCTTGCATTTCCCTCATCTAATCGTCCTTCTTCGGTCAGCCCAGCCTACTCCTCTGCTTCGACCTAGCACTCATCCACTCCTTCTCTTTCTTTGCCGCCGTCTTCCCATCTTTCTGCTGCTCTTAATGCATCAAACAGCACGCGAGCGCAAAAAGCCTGGAATTGACAATGATACAGATGACAAGAATGCAGATGTTGAGACCCTTGGGAGAGTGTAGGTCGAATAGTACTCGGTGGGATATTTCGACAATTGTGATTGTTCACATTGGCGATGAGAATTTTCCCTTCCAATTGGAGATAGGCGACTGCGGACTGTTATGCAACAGCCAAGCACAGCGCCACTGATATATTGCCCGTGATAGATTCAAGCCATAAAATTCTGCGGCGCGTTCGAGACGACCCAGAAGACCATTCACATCGCCACCTACTGTTGTTCGCTCAAAGTCAGTGTTGCATTATATGAACAAGACAATTGAACCATAGTTCGTGATTCCCAGGAAGACTGAACCGGGAAAAGAGCTTTGGCAGCACATCATTCTGCCTCGAAGGTTGTCATGGGAAAGGCGAAAAGAGCTACGCGGCATACTCACCTGCTTCCCCAAAGCTGTAGCTACATTCTCGCGTGCCAAATTTAACGCCGACATGTCCAGAACTTCATTTCAATAAACCACAAAGGGTCCTTACCATACGCGCTTGGATTCATCACGGGCTCTGTCGAGCTCGGCGGACCGTTTGCGGCTCAGAAGGGACAAAACGGTAGATGTGGTCATGGGCAGAGCTTGAAATTTCCATTCATCTTACCAGTCCTCGCCGACAGCTTGAGCACATGCAGAGGAACATTATTCAGTTCTTGATGCCAGAAGCCCACATGTCTTGGCTTCTCACCGTCTCCCTGCCGCCAAATACAGAGATCGGGCGAGGAAACTTACAACCATATTGGCCCATCCATCCGTGCCAGGGGTTTATACCTGATATCATTGTTCCTCGATTGCAGCTACTAGCTGCTCGTTCTCCCAATTCGATCGTTCCAAAGCAGCTGCTATTTCGACTGCTGCATGGTTATCCCACAGATTCTGAGGTCCTACAATCGGCTTCGTAAAATGGCATTTCCAATGCATAAGAGCGAACTTGACAGGTTCACAGCGTCGGTAAGATATTCCACCCGCACTTCTTTGGGTACCGTAACCTTCCTCTTCTTATGTCTTTCAGGCCCACCAACCTGATGAGTACCCTCATCGCTGCAAACCAAACTTTCCCCTGCATTTATTCTCTCCAGAGGCCAATCACTGACCTCATTCCGTTTGATCCGCATTCAGACGAGGCTTATCTGGGTATACTTTTGGTACAATCTCCTTAACAAAGTTGCCATTGGTATCCTTGTAAGCATGGTCATGCTGCACTCATTTTAGAAGGGAGCGAGAAGGCCGTTCCTGTCTAGATCGCGTAAAGATATCCACATTTTCTTGATCAACAACTGTCCCGTTGCGAGGTGCCTCTTTGAGGTCCTTGAGCATTGCTTCTCGCACGTTTCATGACACATTTGATCCATCAATGATTCGTACAGCTTGTCCACTCCTATCGAGGTGACCAGCAAAGGCAAGCACGCCGTTGGAAATCTCGTCTCCTGCGCTTTCTACGACTCTTATTGCGGAGTTGACTCGAACCCCCATTTTCCTTAGTGTCTTTGTATTCACACCTGAGAAGAAGGTGGAATGTGATGGCAGCACATATTGCCTTTTCAAGACTCATTACCGCCATGTTAGTTATAACTGAGACTTGGTGTAGAGGTGTAGTATTCAAGGTACGCGAATATTTTGGTAGTGGCACCAGTGGCAGGAGAGCAGCCCTAGCCAAGAAAAACCATGACACAAATAAGGGAGTCTATTGAGTTGTCACGAGAACTCAAAAGAAAGGTTTCAAAAATTATTTCATTACAAAGTTGCTAGGCTTTTGTGGCACTAACTAATAGCTTTTGTGCACAACAAGAAAGACGATCTAGCATCTTGCATAAAGACTTGGCATTTCTGCAGCCACGCATGCGAGTATTCCAGCCAAAGGGTCAGGAGATGGGAGAAGCTGCTGCCAGACCCGTCGCAGAACCTCGTCTCCTATCCCACCGACTCTTTGCTTTGGAAAAGAAGCCGTCGCTTTCAGCACTAAAGGAATATTGTACTCAGGTGGTGGACCCCAAAATCTATCCTCTCTGCGAATCCGTGTGCTCCAACATTCCCATATACAAAAGCTCTGGCCGCCACATTGATTCCCTTGCTATCGCATCCGCGCTACAGGATGAATGGTACCACATCCTCCTCTCGGGCCCAGGCGTCTTCCTTCTCAAAGGCATGTACTCAGACTCCCTCCTAGATCGATCCAATCGCGTTTTCAGCTCAATCATCGCCTCAGAAAAGTCATCATCATCGTCGGGAGGAGACCATTTCGCAGCTGCCGGCAATAATGACAGGATCTGGAACTCCTTCAGCAAGCATTGCTGCGCTGACGCGGCTTCTTTCATGGAATACTACTCCAATCCTTGGCTCGCCCTCGCATGCGATGCGTGGCTTGGTCCGGCGTACAGAATCACGGCCCAAGTCAATGTTGTGAAACCGGGCGGCAAAGCCCAAGTCTGTCATCGAGACTACCACTTGGGGTTTCAGACTGCAGAGACCGCTGCCCGGTATCCGCGAGCTGTGCAGGTCGCGAGTCAACTTCTCACGCTACAAGGCGCTGTGGCGCACACTGACATGCCGCTCGATAGCGGCCCAACAAGAATCTTGCCCTTCAGTCAACTGTTCGAACAGGGGTATATGGCATTTCGGTTGCCGGAGTTCAACCAATACTTTCTGGAGAACTATGTGAGCTTACCTCTAGAGAAGGGCGATGGCATCTTCTTCAATCCGGCTCTTTTCCATGCCGCTGGCGAGAATGTCACCACGGATTTAGAGCGCTGTGCGAACCTTCTCCAAATCAGTAGCGCTTTTGGGAAGCCGATGGAGGCCATCGACACCTTGGCCCTTGTCGAAAGGTGCTGGGAAGGTCTGATGGGAAAGTACGAGAAGGAAGGGCTGAGCAAGGAAGTCGAAACCTTCGTGGCAGCTATCACCGAAGGATACCCATTCCCAACGAATCTCGACAAGAGACCCCCTGCTCCAGGAGGCATGGCACCCGAAAGCGAGCAGGACGTCGTTCTTAGGGGTCTCAAAGAAGCATGGACTTCGGGTGCTGTAATGCAAGTACTGAGGCGAATGCGAGCGGATTCTACCTAACACCGAATCGTATCACCATGATTGCTAGTAGTCGTCAAGGCCGCTGCGGATCTTCGGCCAAGCATGAAGTTATTGCACACTCTCGATACACGATCGAAGCACAATCGATGTTGGATCGGTCGGTGTATAGTATGTTAGAGGCCTGCACACAGCATTTGACGGTAAACAATGAGCGCGAAGCCCATTATCGCGAACTCACTTACCCGATAGTACCGTTCGTCGTCATCCGCACAGCAAGAAGTGTGGTCGCTGATCTTGAAAAGGATCAACGAGTGGATTGCCAGGGTAGAGTGCTTCTGGAGCTGGACCCATCTTCTCGCCCAGGCGTTGCACAAGTTCACCGATCGGATCGGCCAGATGGCGAGAGCTGGGCATGGTTTCGATCAGGTTGCAATATACCAAGCTTGCTGCGCTGCCCGTTGAGATCTGTCGCAGGAGTGTTTGGATAGATTTTCAGAACGTTAGTAGCTGCTGGTCTCGAAGAAGGTTTAGCGTGGCATCAATGCATAGAGAAGGTTGAAGACTCAAGGTATGAGATGAGTTGGTATAAGAGAAGGGCCTTAATGCCTTTTTTAGGTTTTTGCATCCTTGATCATGAACTAAGTACCAGAAACCATCCATCGCGCATTCTGAAGTTGTCATCTTCTCGTCTGCATCATCTCCCCCCTCCCTTTTCTGCCTTTGTACGCACTCTCTGTCTCTTCTACTCTGCTAGCTTAGAAGTCTCCCCCTCCTCCTCCACCATCATCACCTCCACCTCCACCTCCATCACCCCCACCCCCCGTCGCCCCCATCACCACCTCCATCACCCCCATCCATCGCTTCACCAAGCAGCATCCCACCCAGCAATCCTCCTCCCAACCCCAACGCCGCTCCCCCACCGGCCCCCAGCCCATGTCTCTTCGCCGGAGCCTGCTGCTGCTGCATACCCACCATACCCGCCCTGAGGCGGTCCTCCATATCCGCCTCCGTACCCCTGCTGCTGATACCCTCCGTACTGAGGGCCGCCGTACCCCTGCTGCTGCTGCCCATAACCCTGCTGGCCGTACCCCTGCTGCTGCCCACCGTACGCCTGCTGACCGTAGCCCCCCCTGCTGCCCGTACGGCGACTGCTGAGGCTGGTTGTGCCTCCCGCCCAGCTTCGACAGGAAGCCGCCAAGGCCGCCCTTTTTGCCCGCGTCGCGCGGCGGCAGTTGCTGCGCGTCGTAGCTCGGCGACTGCCCCTGCCCTTGGCCGTACGCCCCGCCCTGCTGCGCCCCGCCTTGGTAGTAGCTGTCGCTCTCGCCGCGGTCCAACGCCTCGGAGCTCGTGGGACGGCCCGCGGCGCGGGCGCGGGCGTCTTCTTCCGCCTGGAGCTGTTGGGCGTAGCGGGCGTCTTCGTCGAGGTCCTGGTGCGAGGAGGCGCCTTGGGGGCCGCCGTAGGGGTTGTTGGAGCCGAGACCCTTTTCGGGCGGGTAGGTGTTTGCACCCGCGCCGGCGGGGTAGGTGGAGCTGCCGCCGGCGGTGGTGTTGCCTGCGCCGGGGTAGGAGGGTGGTGGGCCGGGCGGGGCGCCGGCGGCGGTGGGGTAGACGGGGGAGGTGGGGCGGTCCCAGGTGGATTGCTTGGTGTGGATGTTTACGTAGAACCTGTGGTTGAGGTGTCAGTGTGGTGATGGGGTTGGATGATACTCGAAGTAGATGGGGGCTGAAGAACGCGGATGGGGGCGATGTGAGTTGAGGGCTGCTGAACGTACCATTCCTTGTACTGATCGTTCCATTGAGCTTTCCAACCCTCGGGCACCTTGGGCGGTGGAGGCCCAGATGGAGGGATGAAGTCGGCCATCGTAGTGATGGTCGATTGTGAGATGAGGATATAGGTGAATATACGAAGATGAGTTGAGGTGAGGAAGGAGGTATTTTAACACGCCGTGGGTGGGGGACTTGGCTGCCAAGAAAATTGACGTGGACGAGCTCAGCCACAGCGCCGCCACTGCTGAGACATCCGTGGCGAATCAAGATATCGATCAGGAATCAAGGAGGCAGGATATTGAATGTCATTTTGTAACTACTGAGTAGCCTTCGGATCGACGAATGCTCAGATCAAACATCTAACATGACGAGTTGCTGCCGATTAATCACGTGTAGCTCCATCAAAACAAAATAGGGTCCCTCCATCAACCAATCACTCTTGCCAGGCAGTATATCCGACCTTCAACGTTCTCAAGTCGTCCGCTTAGATAGTCCTAGTCGCCAAGTAATCGCTACAATCCTTCAGAGCCAATAGTTCAACAAGATCGGCGACTTTTCTGGGAGCGGGCCTCCCAGCACAATCTTCCCTAGGTATCATGTCCCTTCAGACAACGATCTGGCAGCTTCGCTCCAAGAGAATATTTTACCTTGATGATGGCCACTAAACCGCGGGTCGCATAGGACCCAAGTCGATGTCTTCCAGGTTTGGCGTGTGACCAAAGAGTATAGTCGAATGCCCTCACTAGAACCCCAGAACCCCAAATATTGTACTACTCCAGCTTTTGGCCCTCCTCTTAGACAAACTCCCTTGTCCCATTCGAGCCGCAGTTGTAGCTATCCAACTCATGCGACTCAGCTGTTTCGTCTCTCAACTCTTGCAGGCCTCTTTGATTCGGAATCTTGGGCGGACGTGGTGGCCCCCGATTAGCGCCCAGTGCTGTAGGTGGAGCCTCCTGGTCGAATTGGCGAATTATACGCGGGTTGTGGAGGAGGCGGAGAGTCTCCCTGGGGCACCGGATGGGGCCAAGATCCATGCGGCCATTGCCAATCACCCGAAGGTTTCTCAATGCTTTTGCGGCAGGTCGCTAATTCCACCATCTTCAATCGGCGATATTGACGGTATAGAAGCCACAGCGATACCAGCAAGCATATCCCCCAGCGACAGACCAATGCCTAGTCCCACAGCCAAAGTATTTGATCCTTTCGAAGGGAGGGATGTAGAGGCAGATTTCTGATCGTCGCGAAGGATGATGGTGAAGGGATTTTGATCTGTGAAGTTGGTGGAACAGTCACCCCAGCCACATTGGTATGTTCCTTGTCCTTTGCAGTTGAAGATGCCCACGGAGACATTCCGGCGCTCTTAATGATAGTCAGTCGCTGGACTTAAGCATTGGTAGGGTGAACCAACCTCTAGTACATTCTTGAGCACAGCTAGGCGACTTCCAGGTCTTGTCCGTACAAGATCCTCGGGAGAGAACTCCCTCGTCGTAGCATAAGCCATTCGAGACGCAGTAGGCGTTGGGATAGTCGCGACAGCATGCGGTAGCGCTTTTGGGGGTACCTACTGCAGATGAATTGCATGGAATGTGCAGAGGTGCGATTGTAAATCCGTCGGGGTAGTAGCATGATATCTCAGCGAGAGTTACAGTAGCACGGAGGATTATGTAGAGAATCGTGAGGCTTGTGATTAGTAAACGAGATTCGAGGAATGCCAATTAGAATTAGACATCTTTCGAAGAGCAGAGTCGTTCTTCCAATAATCGCACTGTGAGACATCAAGACGCACAGTAGACTCATGCCACGAGGGAAGAATGAATGAGAGATTAAGAAATTGCATAGCCTTAATCAACAGGAAAAGGGCAATTCGTAGAAGCCCAACAGTTCATCAACCAAGCTTCTGCTTGGCCGATGCAACTGCAACGCCTCTTCATCATTATGCCGCAAAATTTGGGGTTGCTTCTAGTCCTGGCCCCTGCTCTCGCATCCAATCCAGTGTCGGACTAATGGATTTGAGTACGCAGCTCGATTATGCTGTGCCATTCTGGTCCTGAGCTTTTTGTGTTGGCTGATGTTTGAGGTTCCGCAGGAGTTGTTGTAGTCTTGTAGAGCTTGTGAATTCGAAACGTGCGCTTGCGCTAGTCTGCGGTAACGGAGTCAGTCACGTGGTGTATCTTGGCACGGAAATGTACAAGTCTTGGCTCCTCAAACATTTTACGAGACAACAACGAATTCACTAATGTATTGAGGAGCTGGTTTCTCAAAAGGGTCGAGCCTCGAGCTGAACAAGAATGTTTTCGGCGCTGTCTATACCTGAAAATCCTGTGTTATTCTGTTCACACGCTCGACTTGAGGTCTCTGGCCGGACGCGGTCCCTACTTTAGCTAAGGTAAGCATGAGCGTTCTGATGGCTTCACGTGAAATGGCTGGAGATGTAAGCGCTGGCGAGCTCTTAAGAAGATGCTTGGTAACCATTGGTCAACAGCCTCTCACATCCGCTCCACAAACCCGTGAAAGGGCAACGGAGCCTTGTGATCCAACTCACCCTTCGCGGTGGCAGGGATGCTGGTAGGAAAGCGACAGGCAAGGCATTCTGGTCCCAGCTCACTGGCTTATTCGACTGTCGAGGCTTGCGATGACCATCGGTTTCTCAGGCAACATATTCTGAGTGACACCTATTGTTTGACCTACACGTGAGAATACGAGCATAAAAGTGAGCGTTTCTCGCTGAATTAATTGAGACGGATCTGGGATTCCTCTCGTCAGATGTTGAGGTCGATGCTAGTCAACGTGCAACTTGGGTATTACCAGTCGAGGACTCAACCGTTCGGTTGCTCCTGGACGTGGCCCTACCCTCTGCTTCATTACCAACTTGTCTCAGAGATCTTTTAATATGCAATTGTCGATTTCAGATGGTTAGTTTGGACAGGCGGGTGTCGCTTGAATAAAGGAAGCTAGCTGTGCTCTACAGTCTCAGCTTATCAGAGTAAGACAGTCTAGAGCCGCAGAACGAGAAGCTCCTGTCAATCCACACCGAGGTGCCCCTCTCCCAGATTGCACCCATGTTTTTCTTATGGATGGTCTGTGTCTCATGCGATCATGTTGAAATTGCTCCAAATGGCTTAGTGATTCATTATGCACGACGAAAACACTTCGGAGCAGATTTTCGTCATCAACAACTGATGATTTCTCTCAGCGTAAGCAACGTCTCTTCTTCCAATTCTTACTTTGTTTTAGTGCTGTTGTACTTTCCTGCTCTTAGACGGTTCCCACAGTTTCCAGACCTAAGATTGCTCGATTTTGCCATGACTAGACGATGAGTGAAGAGGTCCAACGTTCAGGGACCTATGCGCCGCCTGTCACCCCGCTCACATCTGCGAGTCCCTCAGATCAGTTGGGCAAATGCCTTGATTCCTATGCAACTTCAGTCAGAGAAATCGAGAAGTATAGGACACTGATAACCTCCAGAGACATTCAACGGGACTGCGAGGGGAAATCATCATCCGAGTATAGATTGATGATCTGGCAGGCAGCGTTGAGTCTTAATGAATGTGCACTTAAGGAAAACATCATGTGCATTGTTCCGTGAGTACTTGGAGACTATGAGAAATTGGATCACTGACAGCTGGTAGACTGGCGGTCGAGGTAGCAACCGGCAAGAATTTGCCTGCAGAGATATCGGAGTCAATCTATGACATGATCTTCTCCAACAAAGCATGGACATCTCATCAATTACGAAACAATGAACAAAACAAGCAGCAACATGACTTTCTCAGTTCCACAAAAAGAGGGTTGGTCTACATTGAGAACACGGTTGAGGAGCAGCCGAGAAAGAAGCGTTGGATCCCTAAGGTGGAAGATCCTCAAAGTGGATACGCAAAGAGACCATTCAGAGCACAAGAACAAAAACCCAGCCAAAACATGCTTGACCGGAATGAGACAGCGACAATTGATACTCTTGCCGAACAGAGGAAACCATGCCTCGACTTGAACCCTGCCGAGAGCCTTCAAACCCTGCTTCATTTATCTGGAATAGGAGCAAGCAGTCCTGGTACCCACGCCTCAGGCACTACCGACATATTGGAAGATTGGAATCCCACAGAGAAGATGGAAGCCTCCTCGAACACAGCGCTGAATTCAGTGGAACCATCCGAGAGCCTGAACAGCAGATCTGAGCATTCCACTCAATCCTCACATCGCCACCCTTCCACAACCACAAACAACGATACATCGGAGGATGCCAGGGATTCCATAGATCTCGACGACTCCAACCCAACGCCCGATGGTGAAGACGAGGGATTCTGGTTCTACACAGAATCTCCCGACTTGTACTTTCAAACCGGCATAGAGATCTAGGTCTGGAAGAAGAGCACCTCAGTAGAGCCCCTATATCCGGGGCTTCTCAATACAGACCTGCGAGCATTGCACACTGCATCCTTATTTGCGCTTCGCCATATCGATGTCGACGTCCCACTCTCTCAAGGCGTCCTGGACCTCTCGAATGCCGTTGCCATACTTGTTTCGTGCCGCCATGCTTTTGAACCGAGCATAGTCTCTACTACATTTGGGATTGGCTTCGAGGTAGCTGAAGATGGATTGGACATCGCTTCCTCTGATGGTCGAGCATTTGTCTGGATAGCGAAAGGCAATGGCCTTTGAAAGGTCGTCGTTGGAGTACTCGGTGCTAAAGGCTTGAGCAATACTTAGGTTTTTGATGAGATCTTTTTCGTCCTCGATCTTGAGACGCTTCAGTGGATTGTGGTCAAGGGTACGACCGGTGGCGGCCATGGTTGGACAGGGACTTCGAAGAGGGAGGGTCTATGGGTGTCTTCCTTGTATCACTGTCGAATAGCTTTCGTGGAGATAAGCGGTTCCACCAAGCAGCAGTCAGACCTTCGTGGTCAATATGATTTTGGCTATTCTCGATCGCCTTTGGCGTAAAATTGGGAGAGGTCAAGTCCAAGACGGGGGGTTCGGCCTCTCTCCATGTGCCACCTCGGTTCTAACCTCCGAACGGACAGAGCGGACAAACCACCACGCCGTTTCTGCGCACTCGCTCCTTGGCGACTCCAGTTTACATGTGTGATGGAGAAACAAACCACGGTTGTCTTCTCATACCCATGACTGAAAGTCTCCACTTTTGAAAGAGCTCCAAAGCAAGCCAAACGACATTGTTTTTTCGTAACACATTCCATGAGGCAATAGGTCATGTTGCCTTGATTCTGCTGAAGCAAACTCCTGCTATGAAGGAGACAAAGTTTGGCCAGGGTAAGCATTGATTCATCGTCAATCTTCAGGAGGATTGCTAACGTCTGGTGATAGGCAATCATGGCCAGGAATCCGGTTCTGGGATAGTGTACATCGCATGGAACCGGGTGCAAACATTCAAAGCATTGTTGTGCCCGACCTTGGCCTCACATACTGCTGATACAGACCATGCTGCCGTTATCTGCAACGTCTGATCAGCATCAGAGACTCGTGTATCGTGTTGGCTCTCGCAAATCCTGGTGATTGATCGACCCACTATCCGCTCATATCTCTGGGACATAGATCGCTTGCTTCTTCTTTGCATTGAAACTCTTATACTGATCTTTCTCGGCTGTGGGCGCGGGGTTGACTGGAGCTGAGGCAGACTCTCCGACATCAAAGTCCATGTCTTGATTCGCATCATGAGCAGTGGACTCCAGTTCCATAGAGTCAATCTCGGTCTCCCCATCGGTCTCCTCAGGATCCGGAGGGTCTGAAGTCGTTAGCTCGGTCTGTAATCGATGAACAAGCGACTCACTGTCCCAAATATCTATCCAATCCTCCGGCGATGGCCCACCTTCCCCGTCTTCTTCACCCCAATACCGCACGTAACAACATCGGCAGGCAACCCCCGTTCGACCAGGAATGAACTTGGCGATTTCGTACCAACGATACCCAACCGTCTTGACCAGAGACATGAGTGTCTCCTTCTCTTGCTTCGTCCATTTCTTTGACGAGTGATAATGCAGATCTTGGGTCCAACGTTGCTTACAACCGTATCGTGAGTGGTTTGGAATCTGCTGAGCGATTTCCGCCCAGTCTTTTCCTGCGGTGCGAAGAGACCCCAGGAGCTGATCTTCACATCGACTCCATTTACTTTCCGGTGGGTTTGGGGATTTGAATTTCGGAAGTTGTTTCCACCGCGCTAATGTCGCCTTTTCTGTGCGGGAAAGCAGTAGCTCGCTGATTTCTCCCCAACTCTTGCCCGCGTTGTAGTTACTGATGATGATTTGATCTTCCCAATCCTTCCATCTCTTCATATTCTTCAGAGCCCGGAATTCCGCGGGATCATCTTCCAGTAGAGGATAGGGGTTTTGCTCTCCGTGCTTGAGCAATTTCAGCAATTGTTCCTGACAGGCTCTCTTGGATCGACCGGGCAAATGTTTGCTGATTTCGCGGTTAGTCTTCCCTTTTTGGCGCAACGAGACCAGGAGCTGCTGCTCCCATTCTTGCCAATGTTTTTGGGCTTGTCCTGAATTGACGATGGAAGCTGGAGGAGGGAAGTGTGGCGATGCAGTGGGCTGCAAGGTGGACTCTGGCGCTTTTGAGCGTTTGAGTGGTGAAAGACGAGGTGATCTGGTGACATGCTTGGGGTTTGTGGTACTCCCGTGCTTTGCTGAAGGAGATCCCGATGCCTTCTTCGTGTTGGAACCTTTCTGAGTGCCCATGTCTGGTCTTGATCTCGACGACTGGAAGATGTCAGGAGTGCCCGTCGATGAAGCAAAGTTTTTGAAAGACAGTGAAAGCAAGAGACGTCCGAGAGATTAGATTCGGCATTACTTCTGGCCGTTTGCGTTAAGAAATAGCGGTCTAGAGAGATACCAATCACGGCGCAAAACGGGCTAATTCTAGGATCAAATTTGGGTGGCAAATTTCACTCTGGGCCAATGGCGGCATGATAGGCCAAAAAGATCTCGGAACAGGGGGCCAGATACATGTGATCTACAGAGAAATCTATCACTGTGGCATCTAGGATCTCGGAACAACAATCATTAGCCGTGTATGTTCTTCACAGTCTAATGGAGAAGAGACACCGACTTGTGTCAAACTCCAATACTCTTGCAAGCAAAGTACCATTCCTGACTATGCTTGACAAACTGCTTTGATTCAACTGGTGAAGCTTGTGAGCGACTGAGTAACGTTTATCAGTATGATGCTTTACTTTGGTCCCCCAGAACCAATCGCATCATATGGGTTGGCAATGAGAATGGGCACAACTCACTGGTCAGCAGATGTCTTCTTCTTCTTCTTATGATCGTTTCTCTCTGTTTTCATAAAACTGAAGAAGACCAGAGAGTTCAACAATTCTTGTTTTTTACCTCGATTTCAGGTATCGTGTCTTACCCAAAAATGCCGTCTTGAAAATCTAAAATCTCTGAATGCAGCGAGATGACCCATCGTTGACATCAGTTACGCTGATAAGTGAAGTATATTAACCGCACCCGCTGCTCCAAGACGCTCACCAGCTTCTGGGGAACACAGCCCCCCGGAAGCGAGTAGGCAGGCCGTCAAAATATAATGCGAATAGTGCTCAGCCGCTCGCGGAACTACGGATGAGGGAAGTGTCTGAGATTGGAAAGTGTTATCCTAGGAATGTGGGAAAAAAGGGGTGGTGGCGTGGGACAACGGCTACTCTTGTCATACTTTGGTAGGGCAGATGCATTTATGAGATACTTATGACCTTTGGCTCCTCATATCACAATCACTGCGAATGGACTGGGGGTTGGCAGTTCTCGAATCCTCCAGTCGGCAATACCGGCACGAGACCCTGACCGAATGCTTCATTTCTGACTTGTCCTACCTTCCATCATCTTCATCAACACCCATCTTGATCATCGCCCTCAACTTTTTGACAGTTGTTTCTATATACCTGTTGTCATAACAGACAGTACCAATCAGAAGCGGAAGATATGAGCATCGTTACGAACACGACTGAGATCGAGTCCATGAATGGAAAATAAACCTTCTTGAGCACTAAATATACATAAATACTGACCTCTGATAACTCCACCTTTCCCTTCTTCAAAAACTTCCGCTGGAGCTCCGCCGTATCGCCTACGGCTATCTGTATTCGTTGGAGAAGTAGCTCAGTATTCAGAAGGTGAAACAAAGCTGTCACTCCCTTACGTCCCACTCCTGCGCACGTGTAAAGCCGTAAAGTTCGAGGCCGAGACGGTGGTCTACGAGGACACCTTATCTTCGTCCGATCTTGAAGCTATCGGAAAGCTCTTCCGCAAAGGCCACAAAATTTCTTTCCAATTCTTTGGTCCACACTAGCACACACTAGCGCGCACTAGCTTTGGAATCTTGTGTGCGGCCTCACATCGCTTTCAGTAACCAAGAGCACCCCATCCAAAACCTGCGCACCAGATCAGAATGGATGAAAACATATACACCAACGCATACTCACTGCCTACCGACACTGCCAAACATTCTTACTCGCAGCGTACTGGATTCGAGAACCAACAGATGGCCCCCTCGAACACCTTCCAAGCTCAACAGCACGGCCGTCCTCCATCACACTCGCAGGGTGCCGGAGTTTGGAACCAACAGACTGGCCCTTCCAATACCTTTCAAGCTCAACAGCACGGCTATCCTCCATCACACTCGCAGCGCACCGGAGTTTGAGAACCGACAGATTGGCCCCTTCTAACACCTTTCAAGCTCAACAGCACGACTATCCTCCATCACACTCGCAGCGCACCGGGTTTGAGAACCGACAGACGGCCCCTTCGAACACCTTTCAAGCTCAACAGCACGGCTATCCTCCATCACACTTGCAGCCTCATCAGCCATCTTATGGTTCTCAATCTTCCGAGTTCGGCTTTGGTCAAATGCACGGACAGCACTCTTACCAGCACCAACACCAGCAACAATACCAGCCATCATACTATGGCACTCAGTCACCGCAGATAGACTTTGGCCAGCCACATGTGCTGTCAAACCCCGGCCTACAACCACGACCAAGCTATGGCTATCCGCCTCCGTATGGAGGCCTGGGCCAGCCCAGATTGCAGAATCGACACTCACATCTTGGCTTTCCGCCTCAGCAGGCAGTCTACGGCCATCCACATGTCGTGGAACAGCATCCAAGACATGGTAGCCAACCTCAACAGACGGGGTATGGTCAACCGCTACCCCAAAGTCAGCAGCCATTCGAATCACGAGGGGCAACATTTGGTCAGCACCACGTCCTACAACGGCAGCCAAAACCTGCCTTTCGGCCGCTGAAGACAGGTAGCGATGAGCCATCACAACACAGAGCAAAGCTGCTTACTGCACAGCCACAACCAACGCCTCCGACACACACAACTCCAGCAGCAATCGACTTTGACTCAATGTCCAAAAAGGAGTTGAAAGAGTGGAGCAGAGAAAACGGCCTCCCATGCTCGCATCTAAAGGGTGTTCTGATTCAACAAGCCAAACAAAACGCCCCCATAAAGACAACACATAGGGGACAGAAAAACAAGAAGAAGGTCACTTTCGAGACGAGCGAACCAACGAAAGGCAAACCTGTGAAAGAGGTGACAGAGACAGAGTCGGATACGGAAATGGAAGAGATGACGAACGAGTTCACGGACTACTCGCAATACCTCGAACGTCACAGAGAGAAAAACGGAGGTACCGACATGGGGGCCCTATCTTTGGAACAGTACAACGGTGCATGTGATGACGCCATGTACGAGTCAATACCGTACGACAGATACCTGGAAGACATCAAGAATGGGGACGACACGACTGAGCCCATAATGAGTCGCTACGAATTTGAGATCCAATTCGCCGAGATTGAGCTTGCGATAAAGAATTCCTAGCCGGATTTAGAACAGGAACGCCTTGAGGTCCCTACCACTTTAGTTGGTGCTGGGTAGTGTTCAAACAGTACCTGAAAGATTACAAGGCCGGTAAGGAAACACTCTTTGGCAGACAGTCTAGCAAGGGGCCATTGTCCTTGGAAGGATTCCACATGCTGATGCCTCCTTAGGCCGTGGCTCAAAGCTCACCTGATGTTTCTGAGTGAGGATTACCTAGCGGAGGCTGAGGGTTTCAGGAGAGTGTGCCATCAGGGGTTTCTGCAGGCTAGGCTCTAGAGCTTCGTCTGAAGATATTGACAGCAAAGACTGCGAAAGGGGGGGATATCTCGCTGCTGCAATTTTCTTCGCTCTTGCCTTATGGAACAAAGGTCCGAGGTTGCCGGAGCTCATGATGTGTCGTCCTTCAATCTTGTTGTCCGTGGAAATCGAGCAGTCAGCTGAACTAATATTGGCGAGACAAGCGACTAAAAGGTGCTTTGTGTGATCAGAATACCTGACCTGCTCAACTTTTGCATTATTTTCATCCCTTGATAACGGAAATTTCCGAGCTCTCTTCCTCTATCAGGCTTATGTTATCCAGACCTTTGGAATTTAAGGGCATAGAAACCTTCCTTGCTTCGAAAATCAGGAAAGCCATTTGCTTATGATCTTCCGCTGCTGATGGATCCGAATAATTCTCTGCTGCAACTCCTTCCAAGTAAGATCGAAAGCTACGCGAGGACCGCAAGCTCATTGTATGCCCGGCCTTGGTAGCTCAATCGCCACCTTTCCTGCCCAAGCCGCTTCTCTTCCATCATCAGCGGCAGTCCTCGTTTCACCTACCATGCTGCATGATATATACCCTCCAAGTCAGAAAGCTTTCATCCTAAGCAAGTCTTTGGCCTTTACAGAGTGCTGTCACTGGTGTCTTTGGATGGCTCGTCACTGTGAATTTGGACGACGGTCGGGATTGTGCGGAGGTCTAAGGTATGGCCTACTCAGGGCGAGCTAAAATCGCGTATCCGATATTTAACCGTGGAAAGGAGCAATTCACGATCATTGGACATCTTTGGCCGGGAGGTTGTTCGAGGAAGAGCGCAGTTCTGGTACTCTAAATTCTCTACTTATGCTTTGCTGATGTTTCTATATATATTTTAGACACAAAAAAGGGAGGTGCTTGGTTCTGAACAGGGAAGCAGAATTCCACTGGACAGACATTGTTTCATTGGCGATGTTCATATCTCGATGTTTGCCTTTCTCAGTCTTTTACTCTTCTGGTCTTTTTGATTGAGAAAGATGTAAGAACAAGAAACCCACATACAGCAAACTTGCTAAAAGATGGACTTAGTTTTTAAGGTCTCCACATACGATTATGCTAAGCAGTGACGTTATACGATGATTAGCGATGGAACAAGGGGTCTTGAGGAGTTGATTCAGGAACTCTTCGTGGATTTCTACTATTGTGGCGAACATGAAATGCTATCAGAGCTTGATACGGGCGCAGCTCGACGGCCTGGAGCCTCCCTATGGCAGGAGGTGAATGAGATTCAGGGGGATATTAGAGATAAACGAGTTGTAAGCTTTCGCTGTCCCTTTCGTACACAGCCTGCTCAGTCACCTCGCTTACCCTCCCATAGCGAACGCAAGATCCTGATTCTTCTTCACCTCCACCTCCGCTTCCAAATCGACCAACTCCTTCCTCGCCGTAGCATTTTCAGGCTCGAAAATCAAGGCCGTGCGCATTTCCTTTGCTGCTCGCTCGATCTCGCCCATACCCTTGCTGGCCAATGCCTGAAGAATAGCCAGCTCGGAGTACTCCGCGGGCTTCCGATGAACCATTGCTTTCTCTGTCGCCGTTTGTGCGAACGCATGGCCTGCCCAGTAATGGCAGTCGACGAACCTTCCCGTTCTCAGTAGTGTGGCGGCGAGGTTGGATTGGAGTTGGAAGTACAGGATGCATGCAGCATTGGATCTTATCAGATTGGCGAACTCTCCCGTTTGGATGGTGGCGTGGTCCCAGAAACTGGTCAGTAGAGATATCAAGGCTGCTTCGTATTTGGCGATTGCAAGAGCGTCTTGGTTTTTGCAGAAAGCAACATTGCCTTCGTCCTTGAGAGCAACAATTCCCTCAATGGCCGATTCCAGGTTCGGGGCTGAGCCTGTAACTCGCCCAGCAATGTAAGCCCGGTATTCTCCGTTGAACAGGCCGATGATAGTGAAACGCCCTATGCTATGGAGTTTGGTAAAAGGCTCAAGGAGCCGACACAATTTCGATGAAGCTGATGGTGTGCCGTAGCGCAAAGCATGGATTTGCGCTTCGGAGGAGCCATGTATGGTGACTGTAAATCTCAAGTCCTGCAGAAAGACAAGGCCGTTACCATCATTCATGCCGAAACCCAAGAAGCCGCGGCAAAGGAGGTGTAGATCATCGCAGGCGAAGACGCAGCGGAGGGTCTTCTTGCTATCGTCTCCGTCCTGGCTGAATACAATCGACATAGCGATGTGCTTCCACTTTGCTGCTCTCGTGCCATATGATACGGGCTTTAGACCGACGTTGTAACATAGGCGCTGGATTGCCTTTAGGTTGGTAGCCAAGCAGATGAACAAGTTCTCGCCGTAGAGAATCGAAGCGGCCTCGCCGTAGAGTTGATGATTCCCCAAAAGGATGGTGGTGTGGAATTCGTAGCGGTGGCTAGGGCACAACTTGACGAAGGTAGGTACACATTCCTAAGGCGGATCAGCGAGAGAAGAATACTAGAGCGAAGCAATAGAGACGATGAAAAGGCGGGAGAAACTTGCGATGCTTACTTCATAACCCAAGGCCGAGACACGTTTCGTATGCTTCGTGGAAAGTAGATAGCGATATATCTTATTGCGAACTTCCGATGGTAGCCTCAGAAACGGGAAATTTGAATCGTTGACCTGGTCCATCTTGGATGTGGCGAGTTCTATGGAAAGAGTGTTAAAAAGTCAAGTGGTATCGTTGAGCTTGGAAGTGGAAAAGTGTGGAAGTGAAGTCGTTGAAGGTGCTGGAAACAAGGAAGTCATAGTTTATGGAAAGGTAAATTCAAGTCAAACCTCAATCAACTTGTTTCTCGTCTATTTGGACACCACCTCCCCTCGAGATCTAGTCTGCAGGCTTCTAAGCTCGAGATACAAGGCAGTCAATACAAATTGTAAGGTATCCATCTCATAGTCAACTATCCAAGGCTCATGATCCACAGACTTTCGACTTCACAAGCTCTGGAAGTGAAACATATCCGGGGAAAACCAAGAGCGTTGTGGTCTTCCCGCGGAACTAGAGTGGAGGGATTGCATATGACTCAAATTCTAACCAGTACGTGTAAAGTCTTCAATGCGTATATGCTCAAATCAGATAAGCAAAAACAACTATGGCATATACATCATGTTCACCCCATAGGAAGTCAATTCTGCGGGGCCTGGAACGAAATTACACCACACAACTCTAGCCGCTCCATACCGGCACCCTTTGACGGTACCGCTACCTTGTTCTATATGTATATGCAGAAGACAAAGAGGCAGAAGTTTGCTGACATACATAGAATATGATTGATCAAAGAAAAGGAGAGGGGCGTTGATTATTGGATATTGTGCTTGGCCTCTAGTCCTCTTGTACTTTCGCCAAAGCCCTTCAGTATCTTCGCACCAGAACTAGAAGCCTCTTTACACGACCAACGGTAGACATATCAAGTACTGATACACAAAGAAACTGCGCAGTGGGATCCTCCAAGCCTCCCATCCCTCTATCAGGAGCCTGCGTCGTCATCATCAACTCCAATCTCCGCATCTTCCAGCCTTTTGACCACCGCCTGGTATCACATCCTGGTATCATATTCCACTCCTAGCTCTCTGACCCTCGTGCAACGTGCAATCTGCTCTTCCATCTGGATAGCGTATCTGCCCACATCCTCCCCGCCATCTGCATCAGACAATATTGGCAGCTCCATACAAGCAAACTCCCGAACCCCTTTCCTGGAAAACTCGTGCTCAGGATGGTGAGATTTTCCAAGGTCATGTAGGGAGATATGCTTCACGATGCCATGAGCGAACCCCGTCTGGAAGGTTGCACAGGCTTTCCCCCCATGAAGCAGCAGGCCGCCGGACACCAGCCGTTCCCAAACCTGACGGTGCGCCTGTCGAGCTTGGTGTCTTCGAGGATGGGAGCTAATTTCTTAGGCCCGATGATATCGGTGAGATGGCGTACCTAGCTATCATGCGGTCCTTGCGCCCGACCCCTTACGTCCCATCCTACGGAACCCCACTACACCAACCTGCTGGATTACAGGCCACGTGGAAGATCCAACCCCTTGGCCTGAAACAAGTCTTCTTTTTCATCGAGTGGCCTATCCGAAAAACACAACTCAAGCTCGACATGTTTCAGTCAAAGTCTTTTCTCGGCGGAACCGAGGCAGTCGTGGAAGAATTTGGCTGCCAATGGGGCATTGGGCAGAACCACTGTGTTTCTTTCGTAGAGGATTGGTGCAGCTTCTGCGTGAATGGTCGTATTGACCTCTAGAAGGCCAAGGCACAGAGCTGGGTATTTCTTCTTCTGTTCGATCATGTTCAGGGATGGTGTGGCCCCGTACGTTTTGAGGAAGGCGGCATTATTATCCTCCCCTCGCTGCTTCTCCAGCTATGGGAGTATCTTCCCAGTTGTGAGGCGGTAACTGTAGATAATGAGACGCACTTCGATAGGTAGCCTCATAAAATGCGACATTTTGCAGTGATTCTGATCACCCTCTGGCTGGAGACTTTGTGTCGGCGGGCAGGATTTGCAATACTTCGAGGGAAATAGAGGAGCAGTGTATAGCTGAGAGCTGAATCGACTGTACAGCCTGGCGTCTCAGAGGTGGAACGGTGGGTGTGTGGGTGAAAGTTGCACGGAAGGCACCAGGTAGCTCCAAGGTGTCTTAGTGCGCTGGTCTCGTGCCTAGAAATGGTAGAAGGGGGGAAAGTTAAAAAGAATGCAGCTGCTATAAAGTGTGATATTCACGAGTAATGATAGTATTCGAAGACTCGACGGAGTGATTAGCAGCGAAAACACGGAGGGAATTCTATCAAGACTGCGTCGCGCGACTAAGCGAGAAACACCACGGCCGAAGATCCACATCCACCTGCAGCCTCAGTTGTCTCTCAAACCAGCAAACAATTACAAACCCACGCCTACCCACCAATCCCAAGATGGAGTCCAACTATCCATACTCGCAGAATGCCAACCAACCCCACTCGCAACAAGCCAGAGATGAACATCGACCAACACATTTTCAGAATGGCCTTTCCGGCCAACAAGCAGGCTTTGGGTTAGGACCAACGCCAGATACTGAGACCTACGGCTATCCAGTCTCACAGTACCATGGCTCCCATACGCAACAAACGCGCTTCCAGGGTTCCCAAGAACCTCAACACACAGACTTTGCCTTGCATCAACCTCTGTATAACCCTGTTACGGGTATCATCAACGACCCTTTCCTGTCGGATACCGATTTTCAGTACCAGGAAACGGATTACCGTACACAGTATACTGGTATTGGCGCCAACCCTTCTTGGCCGCATGTCGGCTTTCAAAACCAGCAGACGGGATCCTATACACAGTACACTGGCGTGGGCAATAACCCTCCATGGCCCCATGTCGGCCTTCAAGCTGCGCAGCCAGCCTTTGCTTCCCCTCATCAGGAAGCGGACATTGGTCACGGGTTTCGATTCGAACCTTCAACTGTTGCTCTGCAGTATAATCAGCAGCAACAAGCGGATCGCAACTTCCAGCCATATCATCCAGGTGCTGTTGCGTCAGGACATCACCAACAAGCCGCAGGCTTTGGCGTTCCACAACAAATACAACCAAGTTGGGATGGAACACAAGCGCCACAATGGCAGCCAGGGTATACGCAACAGCGAGTCACGGTTCCAGCAGTAGACCTTCAGGATCTGCACCTGTCTCAACTACGGGTTGTATGTAGGAATAACGGCATCCAATGTCCTATCGCGTTGGGGACACCCGAGGTCATCCAGTTGCTTGAGATGCATGGAGCTCCACTGATGTTCGACTATCGGGATTTGAACTTGGATCAGTTGAGAAAGATGATGGGGAAGCGCGGCATTCGTTTCAGAAAAGACCGATGCAGCAAGGCCGATCTTATTCAAGCGCTCCAAAATTATGATCGATTCAAGGGAACGGGATGATGGAGAGGATGGCGGACAAGGACTAGGAGGAAAGACAGCTATGGGGTCAGTGACATTTAACTCGTGATCGTCTTTTGTGGTATATCATGGGTGTACACTGACCTCTTCCTGCCTACTAGAATCGCACCGTCGCTGCCTCCTTGCCATCGCCTGATCACTGCAAGGCTCAGGGTTTGCACCTACACCAGCATCAATTTCGACACCTACAGCCCAAATCCATCTACCTGCCACTGGAGCATGTTAAGGCACCGACTTCGTCACTACTCCTAGCCAGTCACCAGTGGTCAATGAGTCACCAATTTCCACTCCTCGCTTAGGCGACAAGGTTTCCAGTTCCTACTTGAAATTTTTCCTAGTACCAGTCAGGCTTCAGTGGTCGACAAGGCAGCAACTTCAACTGCTCCGTCAGGTCATAGGGTCTTCGACCCCAGCCAGAGCTTTGATCCGCGGAATCCAACAATCTTCGAACGGCATGCTGTTGCAGTGCCTAGGGCAACGTTGCAGCCAAGGTCGAGGGCTCTTGATTCTGATCGGTGCAAACAATTCGACCCATGACCTCCTTGATCATCACTACCACCAATGCATTTACTCGCCTTCCACAACCTAGAAAGCCCGACGGTCCCATGGCAGCCTGGTTGCCAAAGCACGCGGTGTGACAAGAGGGATTTTCATGGGGCTGTTTCTTTTCGCTTGCTCAGGACGGCGGGTTGGTCCAGAAGAAGGAATGGTTGTTGCAGGTTCTCAGTTCATGGTCCATAATTCTTTGAAAGTGTGTACATCATTGACCTGATGGCCTCGCTCTGGATGCGCACCTTACCTCTGAGCCTTTAGAGTTGTCTCATGTATGTTGTTTGGTCTCGGTGAAAAGCAATCCCTGTGGGGGTCCACTCTCAATGCTGCAAGACTGTCTGTCTTCTGAGACTTTGCCTCTTCAGACTGTCTTCTCCCTTTCATATCTTCCTTTTAATTTGTCGTTCCTTGTCGAGCCTCCTGTCTTTCTACTCATCTTCTGTAACAAACAAAGACTGCTATGCCTTATGTCCGGGGACTGATCTGGGGTATGAAGTGAAGAAGAAATGCTTGACCTCGAGCGACGGGTGCCGTTCCGCTCGCTTAGTAGCGTACCCGGGGTTCCCCCTTTAGAAGAAGCAATTCACAACCATTGGACAGCCATTGGACAGCTTTTTACAGAGCTGAGTCCCAACATTCCCTGCTCATGATCCTCTGATCCCTCCTCATAATACCAGGCTTGGAGCAGACTGCTTGCCTTGCGCCCAAAGCTATGCCTCGAAGCTCAATGTATCTTTGCTTTGCTATTGATGCCCTCTCCTCCTACTTGTACATTCTCGTCCACCCTGTTGACGATACAGTCAGAAAACCAACAGAAATCCTCCAAACTCGCCCTCAAATATGCTTCTAGCTTCTCAGCTGGCAGACACCTCTACATGGTCTTTCTACAAAGGTCCATTCAAGGGCAGAGCACACCCTGAGTCCTTGGGGCTGAAGAGAAGCTTTGGTGAGAGACTATTCGAAGCAGGATCGTAAGGGCTCCGAAAGGTTGGGGCAGCGTGCTTACATGGGCCAAATCGTACAGTTTAGATGTGCTACTCCGCAAACTTCCTACATGTGAGCTGCTGTTGCTATAATTTGATATGTAAATTCTTAGAAGACATCACTGTAAGGTACATGTAGCTTTAGGGGCCTCGGCCCGGCTTCAACGATTCTAGGCCCGATCCCGGCGACTTTCCGGGGCCTCTTTTTAGGGCCATCCCCCTACCTTAGGGCTTACGCAGCCACAAATCACACCACCAACTGAACGGCTTCGACCATCTCACTGACGCTCCTCGATTCCACAGACCCTCTCTCGTGCACTGTTATTTACTCCTCCCATAACAAGATTATTTTCAGCATGACACGCCCACCAACGCCTACCAACCAGGAGGGGCCCGACAAGGGCCCTCCAGCTCTTCCCGAAGGCTGGTACATCTCACTCGTCGCTGTTACCCGTAGTCGTATCTGACGGTCTACAGGCTAGCACAATGGGAAGGTCAATCGCGAAAATACTACTACGTGCAGCGAGCAACAGGCCACTCACAATGGGACGTGCCAACCCAGCCAGCGCTTTCTGTTCCCACGCCTGACCCTACGCCTCAGCAGTACACAGATCCTTTCCAACAGCCGCCCGCGGTGAAAGTGGATGGAACAGCAGAGGATGAGGAAAAAGATCGGAGTCTATTAGGGGTATGTGGACACTGCTTGAACTGTGAGAATTGGGTTAACACTCTGCGATGAGTAGGATCTTGCGATGAACGCAATCACCGGAGGAAAACATAAGCCCCAGAACCAATCGCCTCTCGTTGGACTTGCGGGCTCTCTGCTAGGGGGGCAGCATGCTGGTCAGAGCTCAAATTCCAGTGGTGGCTCTGGCGGCATTGGTGGTCTTGCGGGACAGCTGGTGGGTAGCTTTTTTGATGGTGGTGGAAAGCCGCAGCAGCAACAACAACCACAACAGCAGCCGCCCGCTCAGCAATCCGGTGGTGGTTTCATGAGCTTCCTTGGAGGTCACCATGGCTCTTCGGTAAGCCTCGCGAATCTCTGCTGATGTCGATAGATGCTAACTGATTTCGCAGAGTCAGAACAACAGCTACGGGTACTCCTCTGGTGGGCAAAGCTCAAGCAGCGGTGGTTATTCAGCCCAAGCTCCACCAGCATCATACCAGGCGCCCGGCCAGCACGGATCTTCGGGTGTACAGCACCAGCAGCAGCAGCAACAAGCACAGCATGCAGGCTTGAACAGCAGTGGTGGCTACTCATCCCAAGCTCCACCAGCGTCATACCAATCCTCAGGACAACAAGGATCTGCTAATGTACTGCCCATGGAAACGATACAGTCGATGCAGCTTGCTCAAGGCCACATTGGCTCTTCACAATACGGTCAGGGCAACCAATACGGCCCAGGCGCACCGCTGTATGGACAGCAGACGCAAGCTTCGCAGAATGCGTACGGCCAACCACAGACCCAGTCCTTTCCAGGTCCTTCAAGCGAACATCATGGTCGTCATCACGGTCACCACGCCAATCATAAGCCGCCACACGATAGCTACGGCCCACAAGACGCATCATCCTCCAGTCCAGCTGCTGGGCAATATAATTCGCCAAGCAATTATGGTCAACCAAACCAGTCCTTCTCAGGTCCTCCTTCCAGTTCCTATGCTAGCTCTCACGCGTCCACACCCGCCTATAGCCAGCAAACCCAACCCTACCCTCCTTCGCAGCACACCCCACAAACTTCGAACTACGGCCAGCAGAACTCTCCATACCAACCACAAGGCAAACCTCCAACCTATAATCAATACGCGCCGCAACCCGCGCAGTCAAATTCTTACGGCACCCCTACACAAAACAGCTATCCTCCACCTCCTCAGAACACCCCAGCCTATCCATCCCAACAACAAAGCACCTACAACCCCTACGCACCCGCACCACCAATGGGCTCCCACCCAAGCCAGCAGGGTCTAACACCTAGCCAGTATCCTCCTCGCCCGTCGTCGTCTGGCTCAGGCTACCCCGGCCAGAACCCCTACCCACCACAACCTCCCTCGAAAGACGATTATCCCGCTCAGGGACAAGGCTACCCAGGTGCACATGGCGGTGGTGGTGGCCACGCCTACGGACAGGGCTATCATGATCCTTCGCATGGAGGGTATCTACAGGGCGCTTCGCCGTTTGGGCAAGGACAAGGGCGGCCGCCGACAGGGCAAGGGCAATCACAGCAGCAGCAGCAGCAGCAGCCCATCAGGCGGCGCGCAACATGTACCCTGGAGGCTTGATTGATTGATTGTTTGTTTGTTCTTTAGGCTAGAATTGTTGTGATATTTTACTACGATCATGCGAAACGTGTGACGATAACTGAGAGGATCTACTCCAGGGTCCGTACGCAGGCGTTCGGCGGATATTAAGCGAATTGTGACATTGGGAGAGCATCTCCACAGACTTGCTCTCATAGATTTGTATTCAGTTCTACAGCTCCGGCATTTCCACAGCAATTTGTTCAAAGGAAAAAGAAGAATGGCATTTGATGACTTGAAACCCCATAGCTATTATTGTATCCTGCAAGCAAGCAAGCAAACGTGTCCCTTCCCAAATCCAGAAGAATAAAACCTTTCATCCACTGTACCCAATCTCGCCTCGATCAATTTACCGTTTCCTTGCAGGAGAATATCGTCATCGGAGATCATATGGTATGCAGGCGAGATTTATGAAAGAAGAGAGCGACGGGCAAAAAAAAAGAGTCGAGCAGAGTATACAGACAGGAGCGGTCAAGAATACACCGGCTGATGCTCCTCGTCTGTTTGGGGTGTTTCATTTCATTTGCTTCTGTTTTCCAAGCAAGCGCGCAGCACGTGGGTACCTTTCCGGATCGACGGCTATCATGCTCGACCTTCAGAGAGGTGAGCTTCCCCTCTAGATGATAGAGATTCTTCCGTTGACACGTCCGAGTCTTCATCCCACAGGAAAACTTCGTCAAGCGAGCCCACGTTTTCATGTTCTGGTTCCCCTAGTGTAGGGATCTCAGTCCGTTTCTTCGTCTTCATCGAGATCGTATTCAAAAGGCCAAGACATTGACTCGTAGTACTCGCGAAGCCACCTCAGCTTTATTATTCCTCTGAGAGGCCGGCTTCTGTTCTAGCAACGTCTCTACCAAATTTCCCCCGGGGCCACAGCGTTGACGCACGTCTTCTTCTCTGCGATTTGCTTCTTCGATCAACAAATCAAAAGCCACCTTCGAAAAGTAGTAACGTCTATCTTGAGTGAGAAACCAAAGAAGTGTGACGGCCTGTCCATCACGGTCGACAAGCTGGAGGGATTTTATGGACTCGTGTTGTAACACCAACTTCAGAACCTCATCATGGGGTGTGGACGACGGTATTCTCAATACGAACTTGAGCCCCTGCTCAAGATGAATTTGCTGTACAGTGGTAATGTTCTGTAATGCTAACGTCACTGTATGCTGGAAACTCAAAGCATCTCCATAGACTCCCGCCGTGGGCCACCCGAGGAGCGCATAACTCAAAGCTCGTTCCCAAAAAGTTTGTCCAGGCGCTTGTGATCTGGTTTCCAAATCACTTTGGCAGTACGACGCGAGCCCATGAAGAAATGCCACGCAGATGGCGTCGAAGTCTTCAAACAATAATTCCCGGGGTAGTTGAAGACAGGGCCAACACTTTCTTATCACCGAAGCCGTCGCCGCTCTGTTTGCATAAAGAAAGTGTAGATGGACGAATTGCTCTGTCAAATGACTGTCAAGTAGTGAGTATGAAGAGACCCCATGCTGCTCCAAGGACCTTGCATGCTCAAAAACATAGCCTGCAGCATAGGTGAAGAAGGAATACATGCCAACCGAGCCGTTCCATTGAGGTGTCTCCAGGGAGTCGGTCCTTTTATGAAATATTCTTATCGAACCATTCCTCCCAAACGATACGACTGGTGTTCTTTCCCAACTTGGAATGACGCAGGAGACGATGGAGATACCGAGTGCATGTTTCGACGAAAAATGACTCGTGTTGAATCATAATTTCTTCTTGCAGCATTCCGAATGTTTGCCATCCTTTCCGGTCCAAATATGTGCTTACACTTTTGTGTATCAATTTCGGTGCAATAAAGCTTCGTCAGGCCCAAACTCGTTTTGCTGTTGTTTGACAAGTTCCAGAAGTCCCACAGCTTTTGCACGGAGTCTTTGGGTAAAAGTTTTGTACACTTTGGACGCAACTGCCGAGTCTGTATCGCCACGGATACGCTCACTATCGACCACATCCTTGTTCAAGGCAATATCGGTAGCCACAAGTAGCTCTTGCCATGCAAGCTGCCTCTTTGCAAAGCAAACAAGCCGTAGCATAATCATACATTCTTCCTTAGCTGGTGCATCCATACGGTGAAATATGCGATCGTAAATCTCTTCTAGATCATGAGGGGTTGAGTCCAGTCTCACTAACATTTCTTTGGGGGTTTCTCCACTGGAATGACCTTGTATGATTTCCTCTAGTGCGAAACGTGCCCACAAAAACACGCCTTCTGCTCGTCCGGCAATAGTATGAGACAGCTGAAAAATGTTCAAACCCTCAAGAACCTTCGGCTCCAGCTCCTCAAGCGTTGAAAGACAGTACGATTGAATTCCCGATGCATTGTGATCTGACATGGATAGATTTGGGAGATGTTGCAGAAACTGTGAAGGTATTGGTTCGGGACGGCTTGACAAACAAACTTTGATCGAAGTATCCTGACTGTTGTCGCTTGTAGCTAAGGTCTTGAGAAATTGGATGAGTTCTAGGAGACTTCCTTCATATTCGTCTAGCCCATCCACAAAGATACACACTCCTTCCTTGGCTTTCCCAAGTGATGTACGCAAAGCATCGCGGAGCTTACGTTCAGGCCAGCTGGAGAAGGAGTCATATTTACTGTCATCTGGATCCAGTGTGTTAAGCTGGGGCATCGCTTTGAAGAGCTGGTAGAGAAGGGATCTGAGTAAGCCTTCAAAGCTGTTGTTGATACCTTTGCCCACCACGAAAATCGAAAAAAAATGTAGACGTATCCAGCTCATGTGGTTTTGCTTTTGCAATTCTAGCTTCGTCCGGTCATGATGTACGAGATGCTCTACCAAAGTCGACTTCCCGCTTCCAGGTTTGCCGGAGATCCAATACACTCCGTCCTGGCTTGAAAGCCACTCCACGAACGAAGATGATGACCAGATCCAAGAGAAGGTTTCTTGTTTCGTGTCGAGGTTCTGCAGTTGATATTCTCGTGCCCGGCGCTCTGCAAAATTGAGGCTAGTCAGAATATCTGAAAGAGAAGAGCATTAGTCTTATGAGAGCCGTCAATACTAGGAGACTCAAACCATAGATCCGGTGAGGACTGACCATCGTTCCGTGCATTCTTCGCTTCGTACTGTTTGGTCTTTATTTGGCTAATGTACTTTGCAAGGATGGCAGAAAACTTTTCATAGCCATCGTCGTCTTTTGTGCTGAAACGGCACATGTTCATGTGATTTGCATGAATGGTGTCGTTACCGTATTTTCGAGAGTCCAGGGATGACGACTCGTTTGGGACAACCTTCGAGTCGTTAGCACATGTATCTGAGCTAAAATTATGCAAGCTATCAAGAATAGTGGCAATCGCAACAATTTATCTGCCTGATACACCAGGAAAGATAGGTGACAAAAGGGGGACCTTGGTCTGAACAACGCTCTAGCAATCTAGACGCCGAGAACGTTATCCACCAAGTGCTTCGGCGTGAACGCCCTGGCTGTACATAAAACAAGCAGGAGCAGTGAACAACTTGAAAGCTGGGCTGGAGAGCTAGACAATCCTCACTATAGACTCTTGCGAACGTGTGGATACTGTGTCATACGAATGTGCTTTTTAAGCGAAGAAAATTGTCCTCATACTGATCATACTTGAATATTTGGGCAGAATTCGCTGCGAATTTTCGTTTTGCATGACAGCGCGCGCCGCGCGCGTGGGACATATGCGAATGAACGTACCTTACCGCCAAACAACTTGGTACCCGTCATACCTTCCTCTTCTTGGAACGAGTATACATGCAACTCGCTCAATCGTTGACTGTCCTGCAGTATATTATCAAAATCCAGTCTCATCTCCTCTAATTTGGAGCTCCCGCTCATAGGATCCAGATCTCTGAGGACGGCTTTATTCGTGTCGAATTGAGCGGCCTTAGCAACGGTACTCAGCAGGAGACCCCATGACGCGAGATCTGAGCCTCTGTGTGGGGTACCGAAGAATATGATAGCATGAGTAGAATCGTTAATATCGAGTAAGTCAGGATCATGGATCTGTTTCTGCGCCTCGATCAAGGCTTGTTTGACGACGAGGCCGCCTAGACTGTGTGCTACGAACACAATTGGACGTTGACGACAGCGGACTCGGGCACGGCTTACGGCTCTCAGAAATGAATTGCCATGTTGAAATATGCCATTCTTGCTTGTCGGGGCCATGAACGCTTTCGTCACTTTCGAGTCATAACCGAACGTTAGTATCCGGACATCCTTGTGGTCCTGAGGAAGTATATCCGCTGGCCAGAACGGCTTGGGGTCATCATGAGCTATCGCTTCCGTGCCTTTCCGGGAAAAGAGTCTAAGACCTTTTCGAGCCCTGATGCTGGACTCGGGGTTCGACTTCGACTGCCACGTTCTTTGGGGATGTCCCTGCAGACCATGGACAAATACCACATCGGCGACAAACGGATGATCTTCTGGGTGCCCATCAATCTGTGTGAGCCCCAGCTCTTTAACATGTAATTGGTCTTCTTTTCCTTTCGACGAGCCTCCTGTGGAGGATGTGCCCGAAGCTTCGGCCATGGTTATCCGCCAGTCCTCAACACTCCGCTGGTGACGGTGACGATGGTCTTGATGGTACTGGCTCCGAAGAAAATTTGTCTTGTATAGGTATTGGGATCGAAGAGGAGATGAGCTTGAGAGCGGTGCTGCTTTTAGGTGCAATGATTTGAAGTGATCGCTGGATGGGGAGGTAGAAGTCCCGAGTGCTTTCTAGCTGAAGGTGAGCAAGCTCTAGATGTGCATCATACGCCCAAGGGAATCAAACCTGCTCACCTCCCTCAGATCAGGCTGAAACTCAGCCTTGCCAATCTGTGAGGTCTTTCATCCGTCATCGGAAAGGTATAGGTATAGACAACAGTGATGATCATCGAATATTAGTGTCTTCGCCAAGCAGAGTCCCGTTGACTGTTTGATGGATATGTTGTCAATGGATGATGTTGATGGTTGAAGGCGAGGAGGGGGTTGCGACTCCAAGAAAGGAGAAGTACCCAGCCGCACGCATTAGGAAGGTGCGTTCCCAACCAGGCAGTCGTATCCGAAGAAGGCTGCTACGGCATTTTGTATCACTCAAATCGTGCACAGAGCTTGGACTGGAGACTCCTGATATGATATTTGATCGGAAGCATTAGCATCTAGTGCGCATTTTCGGAGTAAATACTGCATTCTATAGAGACTGGACACAGGACCAGGAGAGCTCCGAACATGGTCCCACATTAGTCCTTAAAGTCCCTCCCACCCACAACCGACCACGCGTACGTAGCCATTCATGGTCATCTCTCGGATCCCTCTTATCTTGATCGCTAAGTAGACAGTCTAACATGCATGAATACATTCGCTCGATCAATAGCTTAGATCTTTTGTCTTTGATAAAACAGGTTCAAGTGGCCGTGATCAAGACCGCAGCACAAACGAGTGTTGGTACATACATACAACGGGCGTGACATAGAGACAAAAAATATCCGCCGTGCTGCCGCAATGCTAGAAGAGGTGTTGACGAGAACTGCTGTACATTGATTGATACCATTCTGGCATTGTACAAATGCAATTTGCGTTCGCTAAGTAATGGTAAGAAAGAAATGTGTGAATTCGCTTTTGCATCTGTCCAGAAATAGCGTTTGTAGAGGCTATGCAAAGGATTGTCCCCCAGTTCGTATTACGACTTGGAGGCGAGGAAATCTGCAGCCTGTTACGGACCCATTGTTAGAACCGCCATTCTTCGCAGTACAGGTAGACGATCACCGTACCTTATCAAGATTATAATCAAATCTCTCCAACGCCTGCAATGACTCTCCTCTCGGATACCCCATCCCAGTCAGGTCCTTCAAAATCGGATCGTCCATTGTTGTATCTTCCGTCATCGTCCTCTTCGTTGCCGCCTTCTCTGCGGCCTTCCCACTTTGCTCCCTCGGCGGACTGGGAAACCCATTGCCATGTCCACCTGGCACGCCATTGTTCTGCGGCGTGTCCAATCCAGAGAAAATCGCATCCCAGTCATGTGATGGTGTCTGTTGTACCCCTTGTTGTTGACGCGAAGAGGAACCGGCGCCCGTCATGGAGGATTCAAAATCCGCGAAGGAGTCATTGTTGGGGAACGTGCTTGAGGATTGCGCTGTATGACGCGATGCCGCGGGTGAGTCAAACACGGGGTTGAAATCTTCAAAATCGTTGTGACGGGCAGAGGTAAAGTCATCATCGCCTTTTTCGGAAGCTTCTTTTGCTTCGGAAAGATCACCAAATTCGTCATCAAAATCGTCGTGCATGGGAGCTTTGGCTGGGACTGGAGGATTAGTAGTCTGGGATTGCTGTTGTGGCGGCGATGATGTGTGAGTGTAGGCATAAGGTGCGGCTGTTGAGGCGCCCGGAGACATTGGGGAATGGTCGTGTGAGAATGAGGAGCCGATGGTGGCATGGCCTGCTGCTTGCTCCGTTGTGTCTTCGCCGAAGAAGTTCAGGCCTCTATCAATGCCAGCTGTTGAGGCAACGGGCGATGCGGCAGCTGATTGCAGAGGTGGCGAGTTTGTAGACGAGGTAGGATCAGCACGTGAAGGTAGTAGGCCGCTATACTCTGCCGGGAATTGGTTCGACTCTTTGCGATGACCAGCTTCACCAAGTGGAGATCCCACTGTCTGATCATATGTTGGTGGCGATGTCTGAGCGCCAGGCGTGGGCAGTTGACTGGTATTGGTGTCAGTAGAACCAAAAGGAGGACGAGTTGGCGCCATCCCGATACCATCGGATGCAGGTGGAGCCTGTAAGGCCTGGTTGGGTCCAGACTCCGCAGCGCGATTGGCAGAGTGAGCTGTGAAGTTGTCACGAAAGCCAGGATCTTCATCGCTATCACTCTCACCTTCTGCACCGAACTCCTGGATCGGAGGAAACTCGCCATGAGACTTGGGTGGCTCGGCCGACTCAAAGCCATTAGCTGTTATGCTCCTATCACTCTGCTTTGGCGCTTCTACATCGTCCCCAAAACCCGAAAAAGCCGAGTCGAAGTCATGTTTGGCAGTGACAGGAGTACGCGAATCGTCACTGGCCCTAGCAAAAGGATCATTGCTAGCTGATACACCTTCAGATATGTTGTTTGATGGCTCCTTCGTAGACCCCACTAAACCGCCTCGGGGTTCAGAGTCGACGCGAGGATCAAGCTTCGAGCTACTGTACGGTGTCTTGACAGATTGGTAGAAGCTGGGCTCAGGCTCAGGCGTCTCGTCCCCAGGGAACGCACCAGGAACATCCCTGGTCGCGCTTGGCATACCAGAGGACTCAGCCATCTCATCGGGAACGGCAACTTCTTGCTGTCGAATGCCTTCACTGGACGCCGTGGGGGTCTGCTGTGAAGACGGTGGGGCAAATCGCGATGCTTCTGCCTGAGGAGGCTTCGCAGCCATCTCTGCGAAGTGCTGCCTTGGTGATTCGGGTATGGAAGGTTCAGCGGTCGAAGTCTGCCTTTCTGTCGACCCCTCTAACTCGGACCTGTCACCGATGCGGCTTGCAGGAGGATTAGCTCTCACTGATGGACTCTCGGAGTCAGAGCGCTCCACACTAGGTCGAAATGGCAAAAAACTGGAAGTGATCTGTCGAGACTGCGGAGGCGCCGGCGGCTCGCTGATGATTTGAGGGGAATCACTAAAACTAGACAGAGGCGGCGGCGAACCCGATGGAGTGGGAATGTCTGGACCGTATGACGAGTTTTGAGACTGGTTTGAAGCCATTGATTGCTCAGGTGCTTCACGGTGGGTATTAGGGGGGTCGTCTTTGAAAGAGGTGGACGGTGGATGGCCAGTAGTCTGATTCGACGAACCAAGAGAAGGCCCAAAAAAGCTGTCAAAGGCGTTGTGATTGGGGGATGCAACAACCTGCGTCTGAAAGGGGGACATACCCTTCTCGGTTGTGGCGTTGGAAGATCGACGGAAGAAAGGGTTCATGCTTGCGGTGGATGGAGCAGGACTGGCTACTGCGGCTGGCGGACTTCGAACTTGAGATTTCGCTTCAGAAACAGCTTGAGAAGAAGCCTCCAGGTCGCGTTTACTCTGCTCCAGCTCTCGCGCAGCTTCCTCGTGTTCTCTTGTAGCCGTCTCTAGATCGGCCTTTGCCTTCTCCAGTTCAGCTTCGTTAGTAGCGAGCTGCTTCTTGTTGATCGCTACCAAACCCTTCTGCTGTCGGGCATCAGATCGCATCTTCTCAAGCTGCGGCTTCATCTCGCTAATCTCTGCGTTTGTTTGGCGAATCTTTTCCTTCAGACTAGAGTTCTCATTCTGATCCATACGGAAGGCATCGCTGATCTGTCGATGTTGATTCTGAAGATCCTCGTGGGTGCCTTGGATCATTGCCGTGTCTTGTTGAAGCTTCTGTGTCTCACCCTTAGAGCCTCTCAGACGTTCCTCCAGCGCCTGGACCTCTCTAACCTCCTGCTCATACGCAGATCGCAACTGAGTGAGACGATCTTCAAAATCTCGCTTTTGCGATTGTGCTTGAGACAAGTCGTGCTCCGTAGAGCTGCGCTTTGTTTTGATATCTTGCATTTGACCAGTCAAGCTGCTGACCTGGTTAGATAGATTAGCAAGCTCCGATGTCTCATTAGTGAGCCTTTTGCTGACTTCAGGATCGTTGTCTCCGAGTAGATCATCCATGGCAGAGGGCTGTTTTTGTTGCTGCTGTGGGAGACCCCGGCTCTGCACCACAGGACTGGCTGTGCTTGCTGATGTACCAGTGCCTTGAGGAGTCATCATAGCTTGCCCAAAAGATGACGATGGGACGAATGGCTTAAAGTGCGATTGTTGTTGTGGGAATGGCTGAGGCTGTGATTGTTGTTGCTGGAATGCTTGAGGCACTGGTGAGTTTGTATTTCGAGGTGGTGTCGCAGTGTACGCAGAGTCGCCAGTCGTCCTAGTCTGCGGCTGTGATGGTGGAGATGATGGGGCCGAGAATGCGTCGAGACCAAACAAATCCTCGGACGCCGATTTTGGCGCGCTAATGTTTGCAGCATTATCAAAGACCGGGGCGGTGGGCTGCTGCGGCGCTATAGGCTGACGACGCATGCTTGGTGGTATTAGATTGGCAGGCAGACTTTGTGGTAGGACATCTCTGCCATCTCCTTTACTACGCTGTTGCTTGATAAGGTGCATTGCTACCGCAAATTCATCTCGATTGAGCTGGCCCTCGGAATTGATATCGGCGAGATCCCAAATCTGCGCAAGCGCATCCTCCGGTAACCTGGAGTTGCTGAAGAAGCCCACTGCTTGCTCTCCTGTTATGTATCCGCGGTTTTGTGTATCAACAGTAGCGTAAATCCGGTCAAACTGTGCTTTGTCTTGAGGACTGACAGCCCATTGATCTCCAGTCGAAGTCGGTTGCTGAAAGGGTGGTTGCTGTGGGCGAGCTGCAGGTGACGCTTGGGCTGGATATCCTGTGCCTGTAAACTGCTTGGGTACCGCAGATGGTGGAAAGCCATCCGATGTTGGTCGGGAGCCTGTTACTTGTCGCGCAACACCTCGTCTGGCTGCCGCTTCGTACAGCCCGGAGGGTAGTATCTGTGGTAGGGCGCGCATAGATCCGTTCTTGTAGGAGGCCAGAAGATGCATGGCAATGATGAACTCCGTCAGCCCCAAATGCCCTTTCTGCTCCCTGTCTGCAAGGTTCCATATGCGTCCGAGCACATCGTTAGGCAGCTTGGCTCGCTCGAATATTTGCTTTGCGGTTTCGCCTGGGCATTTGAGTCAGCAATCAGTTCCTGAGTAGTGGGGCAGAAGAAAACCATACCTGATAGTATTCCATTTTGCGCACCCGACTCTTCGAAGAGAGATGAATACTGCGCAACCTTGTCCGGAGTCAACGGAGGAACTCTGATGGGGCCACTGTTTTGAGCTTGCAAAGGCTGTGCCTGTGGCTGCGCCTGTGGTAGTCCTGGAGGTCCTGTGATGCCATCGAACTTAGGCAGAGGTCCACCAGCTATGAGACGCGTGGTCAATTCCCCGTCTCGCCTGTGTTTTATAGGATCCACTCACGTTTCAATGCAAGCTCAGCTGAGACTGGCCGTCCTGCCTGAGCGTATCCGATCAATCGCAGAACAATGCCGAATCCAGCAGGTGTGAGTAGCCCCCGGTTCTCGCTGTCCGCAATTTGCCAGATCTGTATGATGTTGCCTGGGTCAGCACGATTCTCGAGCTCTCGTGGTTTCCAGTATACCCACCTCTCCTAGCACATCCGGCGGTAGTCGTGTCTTTTCGAAAAACTTCACTGCCACCTCTCCCGTTACCACACCAATCTTTTCGGTATCCGCGGCGGAAAACAGTTGGCCGAAAAGGCGTCGCTCCTCGGGGCTCAGGTGAAGGTTAGGATGCTCTAGATTCGAAACGCAGTCAGCTTCAACTGATTCGGCATAAGATAACGGATTTTGAAGCTTTACGTACGCTGCACCTCTCGTTGCTGCGACTCCACGTCAGCCATGGCTTTGGCGATGTCTCGCCGTCCACCGCGGAGAACGGGTTTTTTGTTCAGTGTCGACAGAGAGGCTTAGGCACTGCATATATAGAGCTCGATAAAGCTCGATCAAGCTCGATGCTGGAGAAGCTAACACAAGTGCAAATGATATATGGTCAAGTGCACCTAATTGTGGAAGAGCTCTCTACTTTGGGCTGGCTTGGTTGTTGCCCCCAAGCACCAAAGCAGGGATCTTGATGATCGAGAAAACAAATGCCAAGATGCCAAGATGCCAAGACACTGTAATCGTGCTCAGTCGCTGCAATTGGCTGAGTCCAATTCAAGCTTTCTATTATTGGGATCTCTCGAGTACGTACAGTAAAGTAGGCAAGCATATCATGGAGCATTGGATTTCATTGATTTACTTTACTTCAACTTCGCTTTAAAGCAGACACCCGCTTCATTGAATCATCCACGTCTTTTCTTCACACATTTCCACGTCAGGAAGATCTAGAACCATTTGCAAAAGGATCCGAACACACCAGACTCAACAACGCCGGCCACGGGGAGCAATTTGATGTGACCAAGACGTAGAGCTGGAGCTGAGGCGAGCTCCAAAGACCAGCGACTGACCGTCTAATACTCGGCTTCACCACCTTCCTCACCCTCGGCAGAGTCTGTAGCAACCTCCTCGTAATCACGTTCAAGAGCAGCCAAGTCCTCACGGGCCTCGGAGAACTCGCCCTCCTCCATACCCTCACCAACGTACCAATGAACAAAGGCACGCTTCGAGTACATGAGATCGAATTTGTGGGAGAGAGCGGACCAGGCTTCAGCAATGGCGGTAGTGTTGGACAGCATGCAGCTAGTCACAGGTCAGTGTCCTGATTGGGAAAAAAGGTAAGTCACCACTTACACGGCGCGGTTGACTTTAGCAAGATCTCCGTTGGGCACCATCTGGGGTGGCTGGTAGCAGATACCAATCTTGAATCCAGTTGGGCACCAGTCGACAAATTGAATAGTGCTTTTGGTCTTGAGCGTAGCAACGGCAACGTGAACATCTTTCGGTACGACATCACCACGGTAGAGCAAGCAAGTAGCCATGTATTTTCCGTTGCGAGGATCGCACTTCACCATCTGGTTGTTGGGCTCGAAACACGACATCGAGATCTCCTGGACAGAGTTGGCCTCGTGTGATGCCTTGGCAGCGGAGACGACTGGCGAGTATGCGACAAGAGGGAAGTGGATACGGGGATATGGCACCAGGTTGGTCTGGAACTCGTTGAGATCGACGTTGAGTGAGCCGTCAAAGCGGAGAGAGGCGGTGATTGAAGACACGACTAGGGATCATCGTCAGCGCTAGCCTCTATACCTATGCTTGAAAAAGGTACCTTGGGCAATCAATCGGTTCAGGTTCTCGTAATTGGGTCGCTCAATGCCCAAGTTGCGACGACAGATGTCATAGATAGCCTCGTTGTCGACCATGAAACTGCAGTCGGAGTGCTCGAGAGTGGTGTGAGTGGTCAGGATGGAGTTGTAGGGCTCAACAACGGAGGTAGCGACTTGAGGAGCAGGGTAGACGCAAAATTCCAACTTGCACTTCTTGCCATAGTCCACGGATAGACGCTCCATGAGCAGAGCACCGAAACCGGATCCAGTTCCCCCCCCAAACGAGTGGAACACCAAGAATCCCTGTAGACCGGAGCAATTGTCCGCAACACGACGGATTTTGTCCAACACCTGATCAATCAACTCCTTTCCGACAGTATAGTGACCACGAGCATAGTTGTTGGACGCATCTTCCTTCCCAGTGATCATCTGTTCGGGGTGGAAAAGGTCTCGGTAGGTACCAGTACGGACTTCGTCGACAACATTGGGCTCCAAGTCGCAGTAGATGGTACGAGGGACGTATTTGCCTTGGCCTAGAAAAGATTCTATTAGCAACTTTATTGTGTCCCAAGAGTGGTGTTGATAGTTTCATACCAGTTTCAGAGAAGAAGGTGCTGAACCCCTGATCTGGGTCGGCGGCTTTGCGCTCTTCGGTGAGGTATCCATCAGGCTGACAACACAAAACGCGTCAGCAAACACTCGAAACCAGCTGTACGTTCCATGGAGAGCAAAGTAAAGATCAGTACACACCTGGATGCCGTGCTCCAAGCAGTAGAGCTATCACCAGTTGTTAGTCTGACCCTCGAGCATTTTCGACAGAATGCCCCGCTATTTGTGCGAGCGTCCCAAAATGCATCAAATTGCTCACCTCCCAGCAGGAATTAGCAATCTGGCAGCCGGCTTGGCCAACTGTGCGCGTTTAGAGTCAGTACCTTGATTGCTACTTGGGTAGAGGAGCACAGGAGGACGCAGAAGCGCGTAATTTGTGGGGACTCACCGTTCAAGCTGATGACTTCTCTCATGGTGAAAGCAGGTATAAGACCTTGACAGATGTCTTGTAAAGAGATGTTTGATGTCACAAGAAGCAGCAAGTCGGGTTTGGCTGCAGATTGTGGAGAGTGTCGTGGTGAATGAGAAAGTTTGTGTGTAGCTTCTGTTGTTGTCCCCTGCAGAAAGCGCGAAGCAAGCGATCAACAAGCCTAACCGAAGGTGGACTACCGCTTGTGGCCGTATCAAACAACATGTCTTGCAAATCCGCGCAGCCGAGCACATCCTTAAGTTTGCCAACGCTTACTAGAAGATGCTCGGGGATCCATCCAAAGAGGCAATTGGCTGCAAGTGAGTATAGTCATACCCAGCTATGCGGCTTCTGGCATATCTGCAAAGTCTAGCCTGGTGCATTTTCCTAGTCCATGGCAATGTAGAGAAGACTATCTTCCTTGCACCAGAAGCTATTCAAATCTATCAACAGCATCCGAATCTTGAAGACCTTAAGCTCGAAGTGTTATCTTCCTCAAACCCAACACTACGCCGCCAGCTATCAGCAGCATTTCCAAAGCCTGCCAGTCCAAAAGGCATTGCAGCATGGTTTCTACTTGACAAACTGACGCAGCACCAGCGCTACGAAGTTCGCATCTGCTGGGCGGCAACAGTGAGTCTCTGGACACTCATGTCTCACTCTTCTTCATCGAAATCTACATTCCAAGGAAGATGGTATCGTTATTGGCTGGATACTGACAGGGTGAAAAATAGCAACCAACTTCCTTCACACTCACCACTTACCTATTACAAGAAGTTTTCGATACGCCAGAGCTAATCACTTCTCTCGCTGATTACTCTGACTCACGTCAGACTATTCTTGCACCAGATCAGAGTCCTGATTATCACCGAGTGGATAGCAATCCAGAATCTCTTCTTCTCCTTCAAGTGTTTGCTGCTGCAGATTACTTCACCACCAATAAGACGCTTATGCAAGATGTTCCGCCTGTGAATGTTGAAATCAGTGAGCCAGAACTCTTCTCTAGTTGCAATCGTGGTGAGCTGATCGCGTTCACAGTCCTGGACCCGTTCCTACTCAACGTGCTTCCAAGATCTTTGCTACCAACCGGCATCTACCTGATCGTCCTAGCAGTGTTTGCCTGGCATCTCTCGGAATACATCTGGCAAGGTCTCTCTCAGATCTCCCGAACTTCCCAAAAGCAATATGCCCCACTCGACGGTTCCGAGGCAGGACAACGGAGCAAGAAAGTCAATTGAAGAGCGTTTCCAGGCTGGGCTGCAACTCCAGGCGCTTTACGCTCTCCCCATCTACCAACTTCCCGCTGAACTTATGCTTAACATCCTGGATCGCGTTGAGTTTCGCGACTACCCGCCTCTTATCACGGCTACTTGGCACCTTCTGCGCCACAAAGGCATCGCTCCAACCTGGCCGACCGCCAGGCTCAAGCAGATCCTCGTGGAGCCTCGGTGTGGCTTCTATCGCTCTTTCGAGGACGTCATTGATCAGTCAAAGGAGGATGAAAGCTACCTACCGTTCAACCTGCGCAAACTCATCCTGCACCATCTTGCGCCTAGACCTTCTTTCTTCACCACCTTCACGAACATGGGGCTTCGGCTGAGAGGTGGATTTGAGCGTTTGCCCACCGAGCTTCGCGACGCGATATTTCGTCACTTCGATCCTGCGACGAACATTCTCGTTGCGCTGGCGTGCTTCAGATTCTCTGATCGCGACATTCAGTGGTTGACTCACGAGAAAGTCTGAGATGAACAATAGGCAATGACCGGGCGCAAAGAATGGGGAAGTGAAGCGTGTATTCTGCTTCAGTCATTCTCTCTTGCACACACACGTTCATTCCTGAACAGACATATTAACACGGCCCTTGGATGGCTTCTAAATCGGGAGTGAAATATTTCAAGCAGTCTCAATACCATATGTATGATTTTCTCTACTGCAGCTAGAATTTGGCGCTTCCCAAATCCCAACTGGCTGGGTTGCCGTCAATCGCCCTCTAGTGCCGCTAGTACAAACACATCCGTAAGTACTCTCTACCCCTCAATATCTACCACGCATCAAAACATGCTCGGACAATTGTTTATGCACAATCTCCATGACTCTTCTTCTATTTGTTGCCGCATGCGAACTCTTAGTACAAGCGACTCCTGCCGAGCCTTGCAAATTACCGAGCTTTGGTAGCCGTGTCATCAAAAACAGAATATATAAGACGTATCCCGACTCTCGAATTGTACCTAACGTCGAAGGAGGTCAGCAAATCGCTATCAAGAAGGCCCAGTTTCCCCCGTGCTAGTCCCATGGCCATCGATGTCCACTTTGAAAACCAATTAGGTATTCGGAGCCGTGCTTTGTTTTTCTAGCGTGGAATCTTTGCGTCACGCCTATGCAGGTAAGACTCAGCCTTCAACTCGCAGCAACCGTTTGGCACTTTAACGGCACAGCCTACAAGGCACACAACGCCTTCTCTGGGACGCATGAGTATACCTTTATATATTCTGTTAAAGGTCTTTTTTAGCAGGCATCATAGCTCATATCCAATTTTCATCATTAAACGTTTCGCGATCGCTCTTGGTCTGCTAGCAACAACATGAGCTCTGCATCAATGGCTCTCCAGATGACCTCCAGCGCAGCTCGAAATGCTATGCCAAGAGTCCCAGCAATCTAGCCTTCTGGCGATGGAATGGTTCTTTACAATCGTAGCCATTATTGTCGTGTCGCTGCGACTGTACTGTAGAACAAAGTTCGGCAAAGGGTTCTATTGGGACGACTATACCTTCGTCGCGAGCGTTGTAAGCTTTCCACCCCTTCTAGGATGGGGCATGCAGATACTTGTACTGATGAGGCGGAGCAGATCATCGGCCTCCCAGATCCCTTTCTCGTCACCAAATGGGTTCACACAGGTCTTGGAAAGCACATCGAATGTCTCGGTCCCGCCAGAGCTTATGCAACGATACAGTGGAGCATCGCCGCGCAAGCCCAACACATCGTCTGTCTCGGACTCGTCAAAGCCTCGCTGTGTCTTTGCGTCCTCCGTGTTATCGATAGGGTTGAAAGGCGCATCGCTACTTTCCTCTGGGTCAACATCGCGCTCGTGGGCGCTATTCACGTCGCCCAGTTGGCTATGTTGCTCGCGGAATGTAGACCGTTGAACGCGTTGTGGGATCCAAAGGTCAACGGGAGGTGTTACTCGCCGAAAACAGCTTACACCACTACCTACGTTGCTTTTAGTAAGATAAACGTTCCGTGGTTGGCAAAGGATGCTAAGAGCTTCTTGCAGGCCTCGATGCATTTACCGATCTCGTCTGTTCGGGGATTCCCACCTTCGTGTTATATCGAATGCAAATGAATACGAGGACTAAGGTTGCGCTGTGTGTTCTGATGGGCTTGGGTGTATTGTGAGTCCTCCCGGTTAAATCACCGAGCAAAATCCGCTCATATTATCTCCAGTACGGCAATGTGCGCTGTCGCAAAGGCAATCACACTGAAGGAGATCTGGTCAAGGGACTTCACTTGTAAGCGCTACCTTCTATCCTAACGCTATTCCGAGCCCTCGCTTAATGAGACTCGACAGGGAATGCAGTCATCGTCGTCAAATGGGCATGGTTCGTCCTTGAATACTGAGACACTGCGCATATCAATTCATTACCACTGACAGGCCACCCACAGTGCCGAGCAAGCCCTCAGCCTCATCCTCGTCTCCCTCCCCATCCTCCGCCCCCTCTTCCGCAACTTCTTCACTCTCACTAAAGCGGGTCGCTCCCCTCCGAAGGCACCAGCAAGGGGTAGTAGATTCCATCGGATCCCACCGCCGAACCTTTTGTTGTTCAAGAGCACGAACGACAGCAGTAGTCTTCGCAAGGGGAATATTGCGCCCTACGCGTCTATTCAGGTTTTATACGCGGATAGGAGACTGCCACAGATGCCACTGGTGGCGCGCCAGGTCCAACCTCGAGTGGAGCTGGAACGTGAGTGTAAAATCTGATGATTTGCAAAGCGGCCAGTGGGTCGGGCCGTGATGGGGTTCGAGGAGCGTTGTATGGTTTACTTTCGTCTCTGTCAGGTGATTATGGAGAACGGCTGGCTTCCGGATCTGTCGATGTCATTCTATCTAATACACACAGTCCATCGACAAAAGTCTCCGAAATCCCTAGCTTTTGCCCTGGAAACCCGCCTTTCTTGCAACAATCCCACCGCCACCGAACCGTAGGGGAGGAAAAAACTCTTCCCGTGACTAGCGCTCCTTCTCAAGAGGGCGAATTGCATCCATTCAAGAACTCCAAAAAAAAAAACTTCCATATAATTTCGTGATTGCTATACTAACCATACATGTTGTGCGAATAGACGGCGGACAATAGTGGAAAGCCAGAACGTGAAAATAAAAAAAAAAAAAAAAACAAACAAAACAACAAAACACACATCCACGCAAAACCCAACGTCAAAACCCCGCAGAAGCCCTTCCGACCCCACAATACCAGTATAGTACAGTACACACACGGCACAGACCCAACCAAGCGAGTACGCGCCACTATGCCCGATCGGAAACGCGACATCCTGTGCCATCGACCCCGACGAAGGCACCAACATACCCAACACACAAGACACCAGCCTAGCAAAAGGTTTTCCTTTCGATCAGGGGAGAGGGGTAGCAAAACCCATCCCCACGATGGTTCCCGGCGCGGTGTATCAATATGTAGGCACCCGACGAAAAGTCTCGGAAAGTAGGGGGTCGCGGGAAAGATCAAGGTCAGAAGACGAGTTATACTGTCGAATTTGAGTACTTGTTCCAGTGTCTATCATGCTCTCTCTATTTGGTCTATCATTTAAAAAAAAAAATCCTAGGCCCAATTCAATTTTGCTAGCGCAGCTGTTTTCCCATATTGGTGTGCCGTTCTTCCATGTCGTATGAGGGGTGGGTTGGGTGGATGTAGTCAAACATTCGACTACAGCTTCCGACCCTACTTTCCCTCCTTCCCCGCCAGCCTTGGAAACAACCTCAAAGCATTCTCCCAATAAATCGCCTCCCTCATCCCCCTCATCAACCTCATACCCCTCCAAAACCTTATCGTTCCACTCCGCCTCGGTCGTCGCATACGGGAAACCACTCCCATACAGCACCCTCTCCTTCGGCGCCCACTCCAACAGCGAATCCAAAATGCTCCCACTCCCACTCAACGCGACATCGAAGTAGAAGCTCTTCGCGTCCTCCACAACCTTCGGCGACGCGTCCGTCAGCAGATTCGCAAACAACACCGAGCACAGCGCGTCCAGCCGCCAGGCCAGAAACGGCAGCGTCCCGCCCGCGTGCGAGGGCGCGGCCGGATTCGGGGTTGCTCTTTGGCAGGGGTGCCGGCAATTTCGGCGCCTGGGGCCGAGAGGGAGAGGATGGAGGTTGCCCATGAAGGTGGAAGGAGGCGTCGGGGCTCCAGGGCCGGCCCGGAGCGCCGGAGAGGGCGCGGCGGTAAAATTCCGGACATCCAAAGAAGTAGTTGCCGGATTCGGCCAACCTACTAAACCAGCCGCTTACAGCGTCTTTCGCGGGAGAAGGTACTAAAGTACGCACGAAAGCACTGTCCAGGGTCTACGTTCTTTCGGCGAGAATCGGCGCCCGGCTCGACCTGCTGATACCGAGCCCGAGCTGGTGGAGGAATGGGCTTCAAGAGCGGTAAGGGCGGCGCGGTGGCTAGTAGATGAGTTACGACTGCGTTACTTCTACGGTTCCAATCGATCCGCAGCGGCAGATCTGGAATTGTTCCGAGATGATGGCATCGACGATGCCGGATCACGATGATGTGATAGCGCAAATGCGACGAGGGATCTCGCGTTGTGCTTCGGCGATTATTGCCTTTGGTTTTCTTCTCCGGAGCACATTAATTGGACTTGGATCATCGGGTTTGCTTTGGAGCTGTTAGATACGAAGAGCAGCGACCTTGTTGCCTTGTTTGATAGCAGAGCTTAGAGCTATGTTTGGGAGATAGCGGCTGTAGCGGCAGTCTTGACAACCACTTGGATTTCTAGAATGATCATCTTCTTGACGGAGTCACTGATGCTCTTGAACGTTGGAAGCAATGGAGAGAAGCTGCTAAGTTTAACAGGATTTTAAGCAATTTAAAAGATAGGCTCTCCGTTTTCTATATTCCAGTCTATCCCAAACAAAAGAGCGATTTTTTTCTGTTTTTGCTTTTTTTCCAGAACGCCAAAAGATCAAAACCAAAACAAAATCATCTTGTCAAGCAAGACCCATCTAATCTAGCTCAACACAATCGGACAACAAGACCCTTGACCAGCATGAGCCATCTAACGCGTCTCAATGCGACTGAACAGCAAGGTTTATCTTGACCAGCAATTATCAGATACCGTCGCCGAATATCTCGATCTCAGCTTAGTATCTGTGTCGGATGGGGAGCCGCGGTCGAAGCTTTCAATGTGACCATAGTCGTAGGAGCAGGCGAGCTGACGGCGGAAGACTGGGTGCTAGCAGCGGCGCTGGAGCCCGAGTTAGAAGGCGTGTTGACAGCCGAGCCAGTAGCAGTGGTGGTAGCAGCAGCGGGGGTGCTAGATGCAGGTGTGAACGAGGGGGTCGTAGCAGTGCATCTCGTGCAGATAGTCACAGTATCCGTTGTGAGGAAGGTAGAGACGCTGGTAACAACCTCAATCGAAGTGCTTCCTCCCATGGTGTGAGTTGTGCTCGCTACTGGGCAGCTTGTGACCGTTGTGTAGACGACCTCAGAGGTGATGACATCCATGGTGGAGGTTTGCACTGGGATGGTAGTGGTCTGGGCCGTTTGGATACGGTGTCTCCTCGTGTTGGTAGATGAGACGTCAGAGCTCGAGGGCGCGTTGGAGCTGGAAGGGACAGCCATCGTCTGAGAAGAGCTGGAAGGGACAGCCATCGTCTGAGAAGAGCTGGAAGGGACAGCCGTCGTCTGAGAAGAGCTGGAAGGGACAGCCGTCGTCTGAGAAGAGCTGGAAGGGACAGCCGTCGTCTGAGAAGAGCTGGAAGGGACAGCCGTCGTCTGAGAAGAGCTGGAAGGGACAGCCGTCGTCTGAGAAGAGCTGGAAGGGACAGCCGTCGTCTGAGAAGAGCTGGAAGGGACAGCCGTCGTCTGAGAAGAGCTGGAAAGGGACAGCCGTCGTCTGAGAAGAGCTGGAAGGGACAGCCGTCGTCTGAGAAGAGCTGGGGCCTGAAGATGTCACGGAGCTTCGAGGTGCGCTGGAGGTGGACGACACAATCGAGCTTTGGATGGTGCTGGCTGAGCTAGTTTTTGACGAGGTTGATGAAACAACAGACGAAGAGCTAGAGCTCGAAACTAAGCTGTATCCATAGCTGCAACCGACACTATAGTATGTGTTGCCTTGATATTGTCCAACATTGGTGTCATATGGAGAGCCATATGTGGTGGTGTACTCAGCGCAGTGGGTACCATCGATCTGACCGTTGGTGTAGCCCAAGTAAGCATTGAAGAATTTACATCCGGCAGCGGCATCTCCTAGGCATTGTTCAGCACAGAAAGCGGTATCAAGGGTGTTGCCAGCTTGGAAGTGCACAGTCAAGTAGGTGGATCCATCAGGTGCTTGGATTGCACCGTTGAGCTTGGTTGGGCCTGTGAAGCCGGTTTGGGCGGCCGGGGAGGCAGTGCAGGTGAAAGACGCAGTGCTAGAGCTGGAGGAACTCGATGGAATAGTCGAGTGAGCGCTTGAGGAGCCCGTTGATGACACAGTCGAGTGGATGCTGCTGAAGGAGCTCGATGGACCAGTCGATTGAGCGCTTGAGGAGCTTGTTGATGGCACAATCGAGTGGATGCTGCTGAAGGAGCTCGATGGACCAGTCGATTGAGCGCTTGAGGAGCCCGTTGATGACACAGTCGAGTGGCTGCTGCTGAAGGAGCTCGATGGACCAGTCGATTGAGCGCTTGAGGAGCCCGTTGATGACACAGTCGAGTGGCTGCTGCTGAAGGAGCTCGATGGACCAGTCGATTGAGCGCTTGAGGAGCTTATTGATGGCACAATCGAGTGGATGCTGCTGAAGGAGCTCGATGGACCAGTCGATTGAGCGCTTGAGGAGCTTGTTGATGGCACAATCGAGTGGATGCTGCTGAAGGAGCTCGATGGACCAGTTGAGTAAGCGCTTGAGAAGCTCGTTGATGGCACAATCGAGTGAATGCTAATGGAGGAGCTCGATGACGAGGCCGGTTTGCTGCTTGATGAGAGGCTCGAGTGGCTACTGTTAGGCAAAAGAGTCGTCGCATTGCTTAATGGGCTGCTTGATACACTGGTAGAGTGGCTGCTGCTTGAGGGAGAAGCCGAGTGCACGCTTGAAGGAGTGCTTGAGCTGGAATGGGAGCTGACCGGTGATTCGACACTTAATGAAACGCTAGTTGCTGAGCTCAAAGGCGAGATATTGCTTGACGAAGATGAAATTGGGTGTGCAGAGCTCGAAGAGATTGTTTGGCTAGAAGAGGTGACCTATTTAAAATTGCGAAGTCAGCATTTCTTCTCTTGGATGGTTTTCATCTATGGACTAGTCCAGGCTGTCAACCTCTTCCAGGGATGACTAATGTTGTGGGGCTTATCAGCCAGGGACTCTTCGAAGACGCCTACCTTGCTAGTTGAAGAAACTTTGCTTGAAGGGGATGAGGAAGGACGCTCCCAGCTGCTGGAGGAAGCGGTCTTGACCGAGCTGGAGGAAGAGAACTGGACTGAGCTGGCAGATGAGGATAGGTGTACCGAACTGGTGGAAGCAGGAGCTTTGACCGAGCTACTCGACGAAGATGGGTGCATGGAGCTGCTGAAAGGAGTCTCAATCGAGCTACTATAGCTGCGGGATGAGGCTGGGTGCACTGAGCTCGAAGGAATTTTGCTGGAGCTCGCAGACGAGGATGGATGCGCTGATCTTGAGTAAATCTCGCTAGAGCTACTCGGAATCGTAGGCTTGACGGAGCTGCTAGCGGAAGAGATCTTGCTAGAAGCAGCAGACGACGATGGGTGAACCGAGCTGGAGGAACCCTTGATGGAGGAAGAAGTTGGGCGCGACCAGTGAGATGAGGATGTGCTCGAGTGCACGGAGGATGACAGGTGGCTACTCCATGGAGTAGCGGGGGAGGGAGTTGAGTGGTGGCTGCTTGTTAATGATGTTGAATGAATGGATGAGTGCACGCTACCAGAGCGAGTACTCGAAGAATGAATGGATGAATGGTGGCTACTCGAGGGGACTGTGCTGTGTGTTGTGTGCTTCGAACTGGTTTTAGTCGTTCCGCATGTGCTTGATGACGGAGTCACAGTGACCGTAACAGTTGACTTTGGGCCGTTGCTGCAGTCCGAGGCACTCTGCGATGCAAGGGGAGCAGCTGCAGCGAGTCCTACTAAGGAAGTAAGGAAGATTGTCGGATGCATCCTGTCAAAGAGATTGCGAGTATAGAAACTGTGTTAAAGATAGTGTTGGTGAAGAAAACCGTTAAAGATAGTGTGTCTGAAGACTCTGATTACCGGAATCAGAAGTCTTGGAAACGATGGCAGAAAATATGCAAGTGAAAGAGTAATGAAAGATGAGCTTGAAAGACCAGTAGGATATGGGAAACCTGGCCCTTCTTATACCTAACAGGTGGCATGCTAGGCTGACCCTGATGCTGTTCGTTTTTCGATCTCGCTGTGTACGGCATAGCGTTCGGTAGTCGGGGTTCAGCCATAGGCTTGTTCCAGACAGAGTCGAAAATACTTGACTGCAGCTAGCTCACGAATCTGTATGCCATTCCATGGTTGCCCACTGATGGCTTTCTTAACACCTAGGCATCTCGACTTATGCATTTTGGGTCCTCGCAGCTTCGAGCCGCCACAGTCTTGTCACGATCAGAGCCGGTGGCCAGAGCGGCCGATCGATAGAAAAGGTTGAAATGGATCGGTGACGCCATCTACTGGGAAAGGTTTATCAGAAACAAAAGAAAACACAGGAATCTGCATTGCTATGGTAAGGATTAGATACCGTACCGCCATATAAATAAGCAGGTGAAGGATCAAAGGATAGATCAGCAGAGAAGGACTATAGCTCAGTAGAAGCTGATGGGTTGCAGAGTATCAATTGTTGAAGCCATCTCATTGTCTTCGCCAATAGAGTTAAGATTCGGAGGCGGAAGCAGGCTTGGGCGGAACCAGACGGAGACGTCTCCCAACTTTATGTAGATTGATGTACGACGAAATTCACCCGGGATCATTTCAAAGGATCAGACGACCTCTGGCAGATTAAGCGCAGAGCCTTGTTCATATGGCGCCGTGAGGATTAATGCAGGTGACTATCAAGGTTGCGAGTCTGTAAAGATTGAGGTCTCATGTGAGTAATAGGATGACGCAGGTCAGGCCTGGCCAGAGTGGAAAAAAACCAAACTGTACATGCTGCTGGGAAGAAGTGTGTAGATTTTACACATATATGCATCAGGAGGATGGGATGGTGGAAAAAGCTAAGAGCTTGATATGAAAATTTACATTTAGTTAGAGAACTTGACTTGAAGGTTTTACACTCAAGTACGAATCAAACGCGTTAAACTTTCTATACAAGAATACTGTATAAGTCGACGATCGTCTCATTACTTCTCATGTAAAGTAAGGCGTATTATATTTTCGCGACTTTTCGCGTGTGAAGCGTGTACTAGAAGCGGGGTTATGCTCGTTACGACTAGACCAAAAGGTGATCACTAGTAGTCCGTCACTAAACAGTAACTTATACTAGTTGTAGGCTTGAAAGCGTATGACCGCTTTCCCACACACATCTGTACTCTAATATGCGACAAAATTCGAAGTCTTCACATACGAGTATTCTCGATAGAAATTTTTGAGTATTAAGATTATACTACGGAGTCGTCATTAGGAGGCTAACACATTCTAATCAAGTACTATAACACCTTGAGCACCTGAAAGGGGCCTAATGTGAAGGCTCATAAGATGCCATTTGGGTGGTTACGCCAGAAAGTGCATAAAGTTTTGCTCTTTGCTATCTTACCTCTTCCAAACTCCTAGCGAGGTAAAAAAGCAAAAACGTTGGCAATCAATATGCAGGGGAAATGGAACGGAGCGCTTTACGGACCATGAGCCTCCAAGTTCCTGCTCGTATTGTCGATATGCAAATGAGGATTCTGCCATCGCAGCTGCCAAGTTTTCTGGCAGCGGGCCTGCTAAGGCAAAAAGACTTCTTGGCCTCCAAGCTGCATACTCACCGAAAAAAACATTGAAAGACGAGCTGTTGATGCTTTGATCACAGACCAGTATAATTTCACATGCCAAGTCATCCATGTCTCGCAGTGTCAAACCAGGAGCTTGATCCTTGTTCCTAGAAGTTGTTGGTCCAGTCCTGCCTAACGATCTCTTTGTTCACGTTTCAAGCCCGTGCGGCCAGCTGCATGACAGCTTCATTAAAAACAGGGTATGCCTCTCTCTCAGCACTCATCTTCTTGACAATCTCTTCACAGAAAAGCCATTGAACCTACCTAAGATTGTCTGCTCCCAATTGACTTTCGCCAAACATGCCTCCTCTCGTTGGCCTATGGGACGCTGAAGATGTCTTGGGAGTTGGCCAGGTCTCGTTGGGGGCCACCTGCGTCGGATATGCCAAACCGAAGCGTCGGCGTTGCCATCACCGTGTCGCTGCAGCGAATTGCCAACATGCCTCTGATCTCCTACTTCAGATCTCGAGCATGAATATATCAGCCTCCGGAGTTGACCATGTGCTGGAACGTCTTGCACGCCTCCTTCTATGCAACCATTGGAATCACCAAGACCAGGTCGGGGTCGTGGCTGCGAAATGGCGCGATCGGGTTCAACAGTTCCAGATTGTGGCAGCTGCTAGGTTGGAGACTACTGTGCAGCTGGAAAATGAGGCTCGGCTTGGGCAAGTCGCTCTAGATGAAGAGGGTGTTCGACTGGAAGATGCTGTTAGAGTCGAGCGAGCTGCAAGAAGGCCGCGGATTTCGCAGTCCAAGCACGCTGCTCGGACTCATACTCGTGAGGTAGAAGCCGCTCGACAAGATGCAGAGATAGCTCGCCGGGACGCGGAGATCGCTCGCCGGGACGCAGCCATATCTCGCCGGGACCTCACGATAGCTCTTCAGGACATCGAGATAGCTCGACGAGATACAGCCATAGCTCGTCAGGAAACGGAGGTAGCTCGCGAGAAGTTACGCCGTCTACGAAATAGGAACCTCCGAGTGAGCGATGCTTTAACCCAGCAAGTCGCAGCAGTAGCAGGCGTAAGAGGTGGAGCCGCAACTCCCGCCCTCACTGTCGAGGTTCCAAGGCCGAATTCCGCCGCTTCCTCAACACGCCGTCCTCGGCAGAATCAGTTTGGAAGGCATGTAGCATCCCCAACTGCTATACCCCGGGCGGCAACACGAACACTCGCAGTTCCGTCCCCAGCGTACAGGCTTCTGGTGCCCCCAGAGGAAGACAACGGGAGTATTGTGGGGGATTGCTCCATCTGCCTGCAAAGGCTCGGTAATGAAGGGCTCGTCCGGTGTGAAGCACGATGCCAACAGCCTTTCCACGGCGAATGCATGAATGCTTGGCTGCACGTCCGCAGAAGATGTCCTCTCTGGTAAGTTATGCCCTCGCTGCGAAGGAACTCGGCTGACTCCAAATGCGCAACAGCCGTACGAACTGGGTCAGGTGAAGTCAGCATGATGGCAGGTTTGAGGGACTGCAAGGTACGGAATATTTGGATGAAACAGTACTACATACATGTTGTGGTAGAGATGTTACGACAGGGTCTTGGACGCAAAGGGACCTAGGAGCTAAGCTAGCAAGGGCGTTAATAGGTCGCTTTTAGAATCCTTTTTACATTCACCCTTTTTCTAGCAGCTTTGCTCTTCAAATAAGGCACACTTGTTGTATTCGCCTCGAGATCTTGATATCAATCTCCACCATTATCCCTCCCAAGCAAAGTCTGGTACTCTCAATCTTTCCCTCGCGTCTCCCGTCTCTTCGTCTTCTGATGACATTCACAGCAACACGCACTTCCATTGCCCATATTGAAAATACGCCCGGAGACTCCGAAGCGGAACAGGTCTACGAATGGCGCTGCAAGAACGACTGAGTCAGACCTCGCCCCCACGATCTCGACTGACAAGCTCACTGGCAAGACGCCCCTGGAACGCAGTTGTAGATCATCAGGAACCAATGCCTGCGGCCCATGTCGTTTACATGAACTCGTTCGCGGTGAGCAAAGCCAGAGAGCTAGGGACCCCCCGGGGTGTCCACGAAGACTAAGACAGTAAAGTAATGGAGTCGGGATAATTTGACTGAAGATACGGCCGGAGTGCGACAGGAGGCCTACGGACCTCTAGAACGAGGATATAGAAGGCGGTAAACTTAGTCGTTATTACCTGAATTCATAGAGCATTGAAATATGACCCCCGGCAATGGATGGCCAGACAGTGCGTTGCCGCAATCACTTTTTCGGTGAAAGCCGCCAGTGGAGAAGCAAAGTTCAAAACGCTTCCAATGAGTACCGACAAGATGTCTGAGCGCTCACAGTTGTTCGGAGACCCCATGACTTGGGCACGCTCGTCAAAAGACTGTATGTGCGTGGTCGTGTTGCTGTGAAAAGGGATGTTTGTTCCAGCCTTCGGTCTTCGATCCGACAATGGTTCTCCGGTTGCACAAATTCTCGATTGACGCGGGAGGACTCGATCTGTTTGACGTGATATCTGAATCATTGTTGACGACGAACGGCGAGGCGCATTTCTGTGGGATGGATGCGGCTCAATTCCTAGGCAGCGCGGCGGCGCGCATCCGAGCACCGACCAAGATAAGCCGCATCATACACTCGAATCCGTACATGCGATCATCAAGTCCAAGCCAAAATACCATCTGAACTCCCTCACGACTTCTCCAACTCCCCACAGTCAACCTCTCCGTCACCCAACCCTTTAGCAAAACTGAGCGCCAAGGTTACAGATTTCCATCATAGCGTCCACCTACCCTTACCCTTACCTTCTCCCAGATCTTGCCTACATCTATGGTGCACAGCGAGCCAAGGCCAAGTCCGAATTCCTCGCTGTTGTCGGGGGCAGCTGACGGTTCTATGGCGTGGTGTGTGCAGGCTACGGAAAAAGTACGGGAAGCCTCTGCCGTGACCGTGAGTCGTTACTATTTGGTTCTTGCACATAGCACTTTCATGTTTCGCAGCTCGGAGGTCGTTGTCCTCGTAGCCGATATCGGATGTCTAGGAGGTCAGCTTCTGTCGCCCTTACGCAAAGGCAGTATCCTGTAGGCTCGGTTTGGCTGCTCCTCTCGCGCAATGAGCTCGTATCTTGATACATCTTGACCTGCTTTGTCTTAGAATCGTGGTGTTGTCTATTTGAGAGTGGCTGCGCGAACGGATGGAGAGGGGTGTGTAGAATTCTTGGGGGGTTCGACCTTCAGAGGAGATTTGGGTAGCACGGAATCTTCCTAGACCCTTGGTTGATCGTAAATGTTTTTGGGGATATGTTACAAATTGAGTATACTCTGTGACTTGAGGATTTGAATTCCGCTTCAGTGTCCGTTGGCCGAAGTTGAGCCCCCGGGGCAGGGCTGGCAATGTGGACCAACTAACTGGTCCACTACCAGTGGAACCGTTAGTTTCTCGTAGTTGATGGTGCAGTTTGGGGTCTACCGGTTGATAGTTGGTGCAGTTCTGACCGCAAAACCAACTGGTTCAACTGATAGTTGAGTAGTTTATAATAATCTTTTAAAAAGTCGGTTTTTGAGTTAAAAGAGCTAATAGGTCAACATTTATAGGGTTAAAGTAGGGCTGAAATAGGGCTGATAGGGCTGATAGGGCTGATAGGGCTTAACACTATGATATAGGTATTGCCCCCCACTGAGCGATATTTTAGCTTTTATTATAACTGCTCCACTATCAGTGCACTGATAGTGGGGTAGTTGGTTTTCAATATATGGTAGTTGGTGCAGTTTCGATTTCCAAATCTAGTAGTTAGTGCAGTTTGCCCTCCAAAACCAACTATTTCCACCGTTGCCGCCCTGCCCGGGTGTTTTGAAAGTGTTAGCCAGGTACGGCCAGAGTCAGTTGTCAAAGGCTACGTTAGAAGAAGAAGTCTTTGATGCGTGAGTATCTAATTGTGGACCTCAATAGCTACACACCCCAGAGCCTTCACGGTAACCGCGCAAACTTCATCCAAACCTCATCCCTCTTCAGCCGCTCCATCGCGTCATCCTCCAACCCAACCACAATCTCCAACCCCCCACCCATCTCTTTCGTCAACTCCGGAAGCACAACTTGCATACCATTAAACATACCACTAGCTACAGTCCTCACCCTCTCGCACGTTCCACCCAGCGCGTTCCCCCAGTCGAAATCGTACATCGCAAACCCGGCCCACGAAGTAGAGATCGAACACGTCTTCAAAACATCCGTGAAAACCAATGGCGTCAACAGAGATGGATTCGGCACGCTATCGATCATGTTGATCAGCGAATCAATGTAACTTGCGTCGACCCTGTCAGTACCTCTGCGTACAATGAGCGCGATGTCGGCGAGATTGGCCTCAAGAAGAGCGTTGACTGGGAGTCTAGAATCTTGAAAGCACCATGCGCTCGCGAGGAGATCTGGTGATAGAGGTGGATCCATCCTTGTGCGCGCATTGAGCGGCAAGCTGAACATGGATACTGAATCCGTAACAGGGCGTTCGTGACCGTACGTGGCAAACATGACGGATCGCCAGAGGAGAGCACTGATGGCGGTATTGGTGGAGATCCAGCTGTACTCTGTTTGGGGCGACAAGGAGTGCCGAGGGTTCGCGAGGTCTTTGAGGGCTGAAATAGAAGCAGGAGAGATGTGAAAGATCTGAGTCTTCAAAGTCTGAGTCAAGCCTGGCGGTAAGGCGGTTGGTGCTTCGGGTAGTAGGAGGAACTCGGGATGGTCCTCTACTGACCCTCTTTGGAGGACAGAGACTTTCGACAGGCGCGAATTGTCGAAAGCGGCGGCAGACAGGGTGAAGGTGTCAATGCTATCGTTTACCGGATCTTTTGTGGCGCGGCAATTTTGCGCCCACAATCTAAGTATTGTAGTGATAGCTGTTCCGTCAAAAGCTCCATGCCAGACGGACAGACCGAGTAGCAAACCTCCAGCGATGAGATTGGCCTGCGCTAGAAACGTTGGCACCGGAGATCCCGGGACTACAAAGACACCGGTTGCGCATAGCATTTTGGCATCGAAGACCTGGCTGGGGAAGCCTTGTGATCGAATCTCGCCAAAGTCCAGCCTACTGGTCGTGAGGTCTTTGACAGTGAACATAGTGACATCTTGTTGACGGAGGTCTTTGGTCTCCCTTCCTCTGGAGTCGGTCACCGAAACGACGAGGCTTTTCAAGGCTGGAATTTGAATTGCTGTAGCTTCCAAACCGTGGCGCAGGCTCTGTGTAGCTTCATCATGAGGAGAACCGGAGTCAAGTCCGAAGCAAAGGATGAAGCGAGTGTAGGCTTGGGGAGATATCTGGTCCAATGTGGAGAGGTGCGCTTCGTTCGCCGTGAAATCCTGCATCGCGGAGTGAAGCCTTCTTGTGTAATGTAGTGAGCATCAACAACGGAGAGAGATTTGGAGGCTTCCATAGCTGCCGTAATCACGTCAGCACGGACCATTCTGAGACGGTCACGTTATGCGGGAACCCATGGTTTTATTAACACTCCTAGATTAGACTCCGAAATGGGACAAGCACGCGTCAGTCGCCCCGCAAGTTTTAGCAACTGTTCCGCGGCATTCAACATCCACGTAAAGACTGGTCCAGTATGCTTCATAAGCAATACACAATGTGCAATGGGTGAGCTACCAGACGTGCTACGTGACAGCTTACGGCGCTTCCAAATCATGCTCTGAGAACTTTCATGCACGCTCGAAGGAGAGAGAAGCTGCGGAGATTGGGCAACGACTTCTGTAACTGCTGCCACAGCTTTGGTTCTCTGGTATACGCCATTTCAGGTCAGTGTTACCTCTCTATGCTTGCTTGCACTCCAACATCCGTGGAAGGCCAAGACTCTTTGAGCTCAGAGATTTTGAGAGTTGGAAGCGTCTCCTCGATGCGTAGCTGGTATATTTGTGCATCACTCCCTGGTGCATTGTCATTCTCGTGGAAATACTCGATCTCTGGACCCCACAAAGATTGCGAATTTTTCTCAAGACAGATCAGAGTTGATTTGAAATCAGTGGGCAATGGGAGTTTCCGCTTGAGGACTCCGAATCCGACTCCAAGCGGTTCAGCAAGATCCGGATACACATTTTCAGTTTCTTGTTTTATAGGTTCAGGGAGCTGCTTTCCATCCTTGTCGTATCGGGCATCGATCGTGATCGTGTAGCGATGCAAAACGAGCTCGCGAGGCATAATTGCTGGGAAATAGTTGGTCCCGAACTCGACTGCACCTCCTTTGGTGCCGTAACACGGCCGGCATAGATAGCGCAATTATGTGCAGCTTTGTCTGGGCATCGGAAGATGATGCACCTCGCTCAAGTGTCAAAGGCAAAACGACCTACCGTTAGCCAACCAGTCACCGTTGTGGCGCTGCCACATCATCCATCTTGCACGTGTCCTACGCTGACACCAGAACAGGTCTTGTCCCTGGATACTGGCTACTCTTGTTTGTAAGGGTTCGACATGCAGGGATCCGTGAAAGCGTGGAAACAGTCTTTGTCTAGATGCTCGCTGATGATCATGTCTTTGCCGTCAGTCAGATTTTGCTCGTCAAGTTGGGGATGTAAGGTCCGAGGATCTGCGTCCCTGATAACCGAGCCATAACGCCCGTGGTGGTGAAGAAACAGTCTGAGCCTAGATGCGATCAAGGCATCCATTGCCCGAAGCTTGACCAGGCGCGTTGCTTCTATAAAGCTGAGAAGGAGATTTATCTTCCAAGAGTCTCCAGTATGCTGACCAAAACAGAGCCAAGTATCATCGCATTGCGGAGTGCAATTTTCTTGTGATGAAATGCTCATGGCAGCACACATTTCCAGCAGGCAAGCTGTCAGGAAACGTTGCAGCCTAAAGCAGTAAAATTGTTCTTCCTGACCTCGAATCATAGCATCTTCCCCAGACTTACTTTTGTTCACGGAGAGACTTGCTCCAAGTTCGATGTTTCGAGTATTTGACAGCGAGAAGATCCTGGTTGATGCTGACCTTGTCAATGTATCAGGAGTTGGTACCGCCAATCCCCTCGACTGTCAATGTCCTCTGACAGCTTCCCTGTCATATTATCATACGTGCCCAGAATACATCCAGCTCCAACGATACTAGTGGAAAACAAAATACCTTTTGTAAGACTTCTAGCAGTTGTGCGAAAGTAGACCGTGCCTGTTATACAATGCGCAGCACAAGGCACTGTCGAAGATCATGAATACGCTCAATCAACGCGTCTGTGCGGAGCTGACTCTTTAGCTTGCCGCTACCTTGGATGTACCTTCCTATGTAGGCGCTCTGCATGGCTAGGCCCCACTTGAAATTCCCCCACCTCGCTCCTTCCTCCGCTCAGCCCGCCTGTTTTTCAAGCGCACTGGACCCCTGTAACTTGAGCCTTACAGTATCTCTCAAAGCTCTCTCGTCAGGTTTTGTTCCACACGATTGTTTTCGGCGCTGTCAAGTCAGTCTCCGCTTACCATCCTCGCTTCCGGGTCTTAGACCCGCCGTCCATTCCGCAGAGCGTAAAGCAAACAACATCCCTGAGACGAGAGGATCAAAGTTCCAAAGTTGAAGATGGAGAACACCCAGCCATCCGAGCCCACAAACTCCGACGAACAATTCTGGACCGATCTGGGCTTAAAGTACGAGGCAGCCTTTGGCCACGACATCGGTCTTCACAAGGTCATCCAGAGATACCTCAAGATGCTCCCCGCCTCCGGCCTCATTCTCGACTGCGGCCCCGGCACCGGCAAGCCCGTCGCCGCAGCCATCGCCGAGAGCGGACGCCGCGTCCACGGTATCGACATGTCACCCGGCATGGTGTCACTGAGCCGCAAGGCCGTCCCGAGCGGGACCTTCGAAGTGGCCAACATGCTCGAGTGGGCGCCCACGGTCAGCTACGATGGTGCGGTGGCCAGCCTGTCGATCTTCGAGCTCAGCCGGCAAGAGATCGCTACGATGTCACACGCGTGGTTTTCGTGGCTGAAGCCGGGCGGACTGTTGCTGATCAACACTTTCGGTGCTGAGGATTGCCGGCAGGTGAAAGCGGGGAATTACGATGCTGATGGGCAGTGTGCGAACAAGGTTGAATGGAGGTTTATGAGCAAAACGATTCTGATAACGCTGCTGACGAAAGCGGGGTGGAAGGTGCTGTTGGAGAAGGCAGGATTTGAGATCGTCCACACTGAGGAGGATCTGTTCACCCCACCAGCAGCTGCAGATTGCGATCCCGAGCCGCGCTACTACATTATTGCCGAGAAACCCTCGAGTACCTCAAGGTTGCAAGGTGACGTTTCAAGGCACTAGACGAGGGGGATAGATATAGTAATGTGTGACGGTACTCCAGTCAAATTTCCATGTTTGGAGGAGTGGTTCTAGCTCTGTCCATGCTATTGGACCCTAAAGGTGCAGGACAAGAGAGCCCAGCGCGTCCTTCGAAACGAAATATGATTGTCCAACGAGTCATTTGAATATCCAGCCTGTCATCTTTTACTTGCAATTGTCCTGGCTTTAGCGAGAACCTCACTTGGGAGTAGATCGAAGTGATTTGATAAAGTCTTACGAAAAGACAGGACGTGCAAGAACGCGTCATAGGAATGCCTCTCCATTATCATGCGCGTCCGCCACTCTCGACACCAACGTCACAAGGGTGCGAAGATGGACCGAAGAGATCCTTCTTTTCTGCGCAGCTGTTCGGATCAAGGTACTATACCTCTTTCGCCTTGATTCCCATGGCTGTGCACGCTATGTATCAGCCCGGGTATCATCTCAAGACCTGATCCAGCAAATGATTGACGCATTCAAGATGCTGCGTACCTTATGTGTGGCTTATCGACTAGTGGAATCCTGCGGAAGCAATAATCGGATCCTTCTCGGCAAGTCCTCGGTTTGCTTTCCGACGGCCTCGGAATTCCAAGATCAGTACCGAATTAGGCTAGCGTCTCGTAAAGTCGGACCTCGAAGTCGGAATCGAACGAGGCTAGTGTTTCGCAGTCTCGGAAAACCAAAGGCTAGCAGCTCGCGATGCTCCGAGGTCGTCAGTGCTCGTTTGATATAAAGACTGCTTGCCTCCTCTGCAAATAATCTCAAACAATCACATTACAAAAAGCAACACATACTCATCCCCATACAAGACATCCAAGCCCAAATCCTCCAGATCAAAAATTTCCTGACCTAAATATTCCAACTACTCCCTTCTTTTTCTTATCCGAAAACTCGACCAGCACCACCTTTCCGCCATGGGTCTCATCAAAACAGCTATGATGACAGGTGGAGGCATCTATGCAGTCAACAAAATTGCCAAGTGAGCGACTCCCCCGCATTCAACTCTTCCACAAACGTCTTCTAATTACCCCCCTCTCCAGAACAGCCGAGACGCATCACAGCAACCCTCAGTATCGCGAACAGCCCCACAATCCAGAACGAAATCACACTCCCCCGCAATACCAAACATCCGCCCAAGCCCGTGGGGTCGAAGGCAGCGGATCTAGAGGAAATGCGCCGCCTGGGTACTGGTACTCAGCCGAACACGATGCCTATTATCCAATACCACGCGCTTCCCAAGGCGACAAAAGCAATGATGCAGACTTTTCGTCGCAGCGCGGGTACCGAGATCAAGGGACAATCAACGAGCAGTCGGTCACTCCTCCTCCATATGCCTCGCGACGCAGCGAGCGGCCTCAAGGAGAGTCGTCAACTTCCTCTCGAGGTGACTTGGCTGGACAGGCGATAGACTTCATCATGGGCGCCACGGATGGGAAGAAGCGAAACAGTGGAGAAGGCTTTGGGAAGAGGTTCGGGTGATCATTGGAGTTGGACTTTGGCTGCAGTGATGCTGGACCTGAATTTTCGTTGAAATGGTGGTCATGTATGGTACTCCGGGACTCTTAGCATCAAAAGGTCTCGTTCACAAAAATCTGGGTTTTCGGCAATATGAGTGAGGTTTCAGCGGCAGAGACGACTGGCGAGCTGCCTTTCCGTGTGTATGTTCTATGCGAATTGGTAATAAAATGAGACAAATAGTTAAACTAAAATCAAGGCCATGGCAAGATGCCCTGGTGTTATGTGGCAGAAAAGGGAGAGATGTGCTTTAGTGCTCAGCCGGGCAGTCGATTGCATTCCAGTTTTCTACTGCGCCCCTCGACACCACGTCATTTGTTTTGCGCCATTGAATTACTGCTTTTCGTCTTGTTACAGTATGGCAATCCTGACCGGATCGGGCTTCAGATTGCGTGACAATGATTGATGAGTATCATTGGCAATCATCCAGCCCCTCATCATCGTTGCTATTTTTGGTGTCGAATTGTCAATCAGGTGCGTGTCCTTGGTGTGCTGTAGGCCGAGTGAGCACAAGAACAGTGCCGACATCGCCGACTGGGTCATCCTCCCGGGCAACGGCAAATTCGCATCTCTCACGCCTCATCTCTTGAGAAGCGTACAAGGCACCGAGGGAATCAAACTTATGCGGTCGCCCTTCTTTGAGAGCGCTCCTAAGGTCCTTGTACTCCGAATATTCTCGGTCCAGCTCTTCTGCTACCCGCGGATACCTTAAGTAAGAGATAGAGCCCAAATCCTCCAGAGGGTTCTCATACGGGGACTGGCCAGCCTTCTCGTATCGAACCTCATCTTCTGGGGCATGGATCTTCAATGTTGCAGAATATCCAATCCTGAGCTCCTGTATATTTCCAGCCATGAGCAATCCTGTCAAACCCCGAGCGGCTGGCCACCAATACCATTCCGAATTCGGCGGCTGTCTGACCTCTTTTGTATGGTCTATTCCGTGGGTAGGATCCCGGGGCACTTGGACAGTCACAGAGTGGAGAGACATGTGGCGAGCAATGGAATTGGATAGAGGGTTCCAGAATTCTGTGCAGTCACCATCGTCGGCGCATGTTGACCGACGGGTGAAACCAATGTTTTTGATTCGTCGTCGGAAGCTGGGGCGGAGACAGTGTAGAAACTTGAGTGCAGTCTGAGCATCAGTGTCAAATGTGAAGCGATTGAAGCTGTAGAAGACCTCGGTCGCCTCTTGTCCGATCTGGCGGCTGCCGTAGAAGATGGCAGTTGGGACCGGTGTGACCGCCGAGGCGGAGGAATTGCTGTTCCCACATATCTTGATGTCCTTGCCATCATCCACTTCTTCATTCTCGTCCTCTTCTTCCTCTTCACTCTCGCCTGTCTCGTAGAATATCTTGGTCGCTTCATTCTTTCTCAACATAGCCTCGCATTTGAGGTGTAGGCGGACGCCGTCCGGTGGACATAAGAGTGCATGGTAGATGAGGCCCCGAAGTTCGCGTGAGAGATTAGAGAAAGACATGGCAAGACTTTACTTAGTTAGTGGTGACCGTCGAGTATGAATCGGTGTTGAAAGATGGTGAACGCGCTCAAACACGCTAACATCCTTGGCTCAGTCTCTAGCGCGATTGAAAGCCGACGTTTAGCCGAATTGAGGTCTCGCTATCCTGCCTCGCGGGTAGCAGAAAAGCCTGTATACCCTAGCCGCAAGCGGCTAGGGAAGTAAGGCTACCCCACACATAATTCCACGCGTAAATCCATTCTTTTTCTCTCATTATCAAGCACAATATCGTCACCAAGTTATCACGCTTTTTAGCAAGAATAGTATACTCCCATAAGAGGTATTATTATTTACAAACGCTTTCAAAATAATAAGTTTTATCGATAAATCTAGAACGATACGAAGATCTCCTTTAATATTACGCGTAATTAATATTTCGAATATTTAGATAACCTTAATATATATAAACGTTATTACTATTATAATCTCGACTACGAAGAATATCGAGAAACTTTACTAAAGATATCTAAAGTCTAAATATAAGAAATAGAGCTAATCTTAAAAGCTCGAAATAATAATTACTCTATAAAAATTAAAGCTATAATATAAGAATAACTCGATTTTAAAGTAGATTTAAAGATATTAGACGATACGATTAAAAGATAAATAGATTTAATACTATATTATAAATATATTACATATTATAAGAGCTAGTATAGTTAAAATTTAATTAAGCGTAGACTGAAATTTACATATATAAAATTAAAGAAATATTTCGACTCTAAGGATTAATACTTCGTTTGATTTTTCGATAAATGTTATTTTAGCTGAGGCCCATAGGGTAAATATAGATCATTCGAAAACTAGACGAGAGATACTATTAGAATTATATATAACATATTAAGAAATCTCCTAAAAACGATAGCGAAAAATTTCGATATCATATATAGCTAATCGAATATAATTTTAAATCTAATCTTACGTTCTATACTATATCTATCAACGATAATAGAAAGATATCTAAAAAGGTTTATCGAGACGATATTCTTAAATCTATTATAGTACCGTAAGTGTAACAAGCTCGTCAGAGGAAAATTAATCTATTTGTTCTGAAAGAGGATAGAGTTCAGGGCACAGTACCGAGGCTCAGAGTTGCATTATCAGAAAGTTAAAGGAAAAGAAGGGACTCGTGACATACAGTAATTCGCGACTTAGCCCCAATTGAGAATTGCTGGCAGCCTCCTAAGTAGAATCTACGAAAGTTCCACATTGGGATAATCGGACTACGAAGCATTATATCGTGGATGGTTAAGAGGAGCATATACCTCAAAGGTTCATTAACGAGCGTATAAATAGTATGCCTAAAAGGCTCCAGGCTGTGATAGACGGTGACGGTCAAATGATAAGTTATTAATGGAGAGAAATAGTAGAATTCTGGTGGGGAAGGCGCTTGTCTCCATGTAGTTAGGGTGTACAGGCTTTTCTGCTACCCGCGAGCCTGCTTCATCAGTAACACAAATCTCCTCCCTCCTCTTCTGTCTAACAATATCGAGCCCACAATATCGAGCCCTTCAGGTGCAGCCGCATGCGCTTTGATACTGGCATGCTGCAACCACGGTTCCTCATTCTCAAGGTTTTACCGCAAAGAAGGCTCCCGATTACAAGCTTCCTCAAGGTTTCAGCACTGGCTCTGCAGATTGTCTCGTCTCTGCGCACGTCCACTACAATACCCTTCCCGGGAACGTGTGTGCTTGCCGACTTGTATGGGCTAAGCCATACCGCTTTCTATACTCTCCGTTGTGACCCTTTGGAACACCTTTTCACTGTTGTATTTCGCAGCCGGCACCGAGGCCCAGTCCTTGCCAGCCGATGCTCTCTGCGCTTCAAGCTTCTGTCTCTTTCCCACTTTTCCAATTCTATATTCACGAAACAAAAAGTGCAATTATGCAAGCCCCATGTTTTGTCTCATGATGTCGAAACAGCGGCTCGGAGTGTTTGCATGGGTTTGCGGCTCAATTCAAACCTGTGCGTGGCGGAAGAAGCGCCACAGCCTCGTTTCGGGCATTTTTCCACCCCCCTGACCACTCAACGTTTACTTGCAGTTTGAACACCTGTATCAGGCCAAATCGCGCCGTTTTGAATGATTTTGCAAAGATCCATAAGTATGAGAGCAGTTTGTCTGCTGCAAAAGGGAAATTGTAACTGTTCGCAGTGGTACTAGTAATCCCCCTGAACTTGGTCATACCATAGCGAATGAAGTTTTCATTGCATCCTTCTTTCAAAGCCTTAGCTATGCCTACTTTCCATCTCTGCCTATCGCTCTCTTTGCTCGCATTCGCATTTTTATAGCTCGCCACAACATCCCCTCTCTCCTCCCGCTCCACCACCTACTACGGCCTCATTCTCGCCACCGACTCAGGATGCAGTCCAGACCAAACAACTCAAGTCCTCAACGCCATCATTGACATGCGTGCCCCTTGCAACAGCGCCACCTACACTCTCGAGCCCCCATCCAACAGTCTCTCCTCCTACTTCTTCGAACCCAGCGACTTCTCCTCCGCGAGTGCCGTTTTCAACGCCGGCCTCTTCGCGACCCGACCTCTGCAAGACCTACCCACAGACGCCTTCCCCAGCCACGATCAAGTCCAACTCTACTGCGCCAACGACACCGACGCCACCTGCAACTCGCTATCCCAAGGCGACGACAAAAGCTCCGAAACCACAACATGGGGCTACATCGGCGCGAATCCCGTCGCCGCGCAAATCTACGCCTGTCCCGCCCTCCTCAACAGCACTCTCCCCCGCGACGCGCCCTCGTGCACCGGGACGCCTGGCCAGGCGACCCTGGGGTGGGCGTTCTGACGGACGTTTGTGCAACTCAAGACGTTACAGACGGTTGGGAAATTGGACAGCTCGAAAATTATTGCCGATCAAGCACCGGGGGTTACGCAGAGTCATGAATTGGTGGAGAATGGGTCGGGTCAGGAGGCATTGAATGCGGAAAATTTCGCGGAGCTGGCGCTTTGGGCGTTGTATTTGGGTGCGAGCGGTAATGCTGCGCAGCCCTTTCAGTGTGCTCAGAATTTCCCGTTTCGTTCGGTGAAAGTAGCGTTCGAGATTTAGATGGCTGTTCGTATCAGAAGAGTACATCAGGCAACACAGTCGATATAGAGCCGGCAAAGGCTTATCGGTCCACTTGCAGATTTCCACCCCCTTGGCGACCATGACCTCTACAAGACCGGGTGCATCTGCGAGTAAGCTAACCCTGTGTACTATGGACTTCAGGAGCACTAATTCCTTGGTCCGTCGTAGATCCATGGAACCATGGTCCGGATCGCCCAGCGCGACCACGATAGTCGTTTATGTTGCTTTCTTTTGCGTCGGGCTTGCTACCGCTCTTGTCTGATTTGTCGCGACTTGCGGCTTTCCCCTACCCGCAATGAAAGGTAGTAGGCCACGCTAACGTGAGGGGTCTCTGAAAATGCACCAAGAGAACGGTACTGAGGGTAAGAGAGGAGCTATGTGCAGAAGCAATCAAGAGATGCTCGGGGAACTGCGAAACCATCGCAACAAGCAGTCTAGAAATCAAACCACTTGTTTGAACATGTCGAAATTGACTACATCCTAGATGGAGAGCGTATTTGCGAATGTTTCGACATGCAGACAATGCAAAAAGGCTCTCGGTGACGGCTTGACCCTCATTGATGAAAAGGATAGCACAGCCTTGGTTGGAACGCTCAACAACCTCACAGGCTCGCCAGAGATCACAAAGGACTCGCCGCAATACGTATCTTGTTCAGACGGAAAGAAGAGGAAGAAGATCGAGATGCAAGGAAAGGTGGAAGGCTGATCTCCGACAAACTTCGGCGTTCGTCGATTGGTTGCTTCTCTCCCTTTGTGTTCTCGAATCTTTCAGACCCCATTCAACGTATTCTGCGCCGCAAAAACATTGCCCTGATCGAAATAATCCACCAGTATCCCCACGGGCGCTCTTCCATACAGCCCAATGCACAGATCTGCCTGCGCACCAATGCTACCCACCCCTGTCGCTGCATTGGTGGTATTATCCGCCGCGTTATCAGGTATATCGATACCGTCCAAGTCCAGATCGAGGAAATGGTTGACGATGTACATGCGGCCATCTGCGGTTGCGCCGGCTGGGCGATCGATTGTGCACTCGGGGAACGTTGGGTCGGTAGTATCGTACGGCGTCTCGAAGAAGTAAGTGAACTCGTCCAGAATATATGGAACCGAGGCATTAGCACCAGCGTCGAGGAAAGCAACGAGGCGCGTCCCGGCCAATATTAACTCTTGCAGCGTGGGCCATGCATCAATCGCAACAGGTGAGGTTGGAGGGGTATACGCATAAGATTTGAGCCCGCTAGATGTGTATGCGGCATCGAACATGCTGACCGGCACATTGTCGCCGTTCACGAGCAGGATTGTCAAAACCTCGTTCGGGTTGGCATCAAGCCACGCCTTGACCGTTGAGAGGTATGATTCCACGCTGCCGGCATCTTCTTCCAGGCAAGAAGTATGACAGAGCTCCAACGTCCCCAGGATGTTTTTATGTGACTGGGCTTGTAGGAAGCGAATACCAGCATCAAGTTGAGCTGTTACGGAGACACCTTGGTTATCTTGAGGAAGCTCGCCAACGAAAGCGGAGTCGTGGGTTCCGATTGTAGTGACGTTCGAGTATAGGCGGCCACAGAGTTCCGCGTAGCCATTGCAGAGGTTTTGTGCTAGACTTGGAGCAAGGCAAAGGATGTAGGGCAAGAGATAGGAAGCGAAGGGCGAAAGCATGGCGAAGAGAAGGAAGATTAGAGGTATACCGATTGAGTCGAGTGGGAACCCTTACGGCACGCCGTCTGCTTTTATATGATAGGAAGCGCGCATCCCAGCTGCTATGTCGGTGGTGGAAATGAGACACACTCACGCCTTTGTCCTTGGACAAATGCATCAAAGGATGCCATCACTGGCATTTCTGCCTTCCCCAAATATCAATGATCATCAATACTCGAGTTCATTGTGCAGGTTTTGATTTAATCCCAACCAAAGAAATCGAAGGATCTCCGCCCGTGGTCCATCACGGCAGCGACCCGCATCACGAGGACGGATCATCAGCGCTTGTCCTCATGTATATTTTTTCGCCGCCTTCTGACAGCCAGCGGACCAGGTGTTGGTGCTGCAACCTTTAAGAGGTGTGGTAGACATGTTTGCTGTTTCTCACATATGGTTGGTGGACGGGAAGGATTTACGCTTCTCTCGGCAGTGACCCATAAGGGACAACTCGGCCAGTGGCGTGGGGGATACCGCCCGCTGCAGTCTGATTCGGCAAATGGAGTTCCAGGGAATAAAGCGCCAGCGATTCTTCATTTTTGCAGGTTTCTTCTTTCAGCTTGCATGCATGTTCTTGGTTCACGTTTATTGATGGTCAGAAGAGAAGTCGAAAAAAGAAATGCAAAGTAACAAAGAATGACATAGGAGCTGAACAGGATCTTCACTAGAATGGCCCGATCGAGGATAGCCTGGATGCCCTAGGCGGTGAATCTTGTCTGCTCGGTCAAGTATATTAAAGTACCAATTCAAAGCGCAGCTATTATCCTCTCACACATCATCATACACTAATGACTCTTTGATCATGCCCACTCGTTTCCAAACTCGAGAATGCCCCTCTGCATCTTCTTTGTACGGTCTGACATGTATCGATATCGGAATATGAAGCAGGGACCAATTGGAGAGGAGCTGTGGTAGCTAAGGTACGCAAACGGGTGAGAGCAGCCAAGGTGAGTACCTTGCTGACCTTGAATTATGTTATTGCCGTAAATGTCCTTCATCTTTGCCTGGAATCATTGTCCTATGTTTGCCGCGGTTCTTGGTAGTTCTTTTTGCCGCTCCAGCAGTCGCTTCCATCCCCATCGAGCCAAACAATTGGACAATATATTGACAACCTAAGCTACGGAGATAGGACCGCACATTTGGAAAAACGTGGCCTACATGTACAGGAGTCTCTCCATTCTAGAAATTGATTTCTTCATATTCAAGCCTTTTTGGATTTTCGTAGACCATTCCTGAGAAGATGAATATGAACAACTTGATTGTTGGCTAAGCAGCTGGGGCTACAGTAAGCGAAGGTACCCAGCGGGTTATACCGTGCCCATGGGAGTGGTGTGACATCCATGGGGCAGCCTGCTCCACCGGCGCGATGCAACAAACAGGTGAGCAGGGTATATTAATAATGCTAATGCCTTCGCTAGTCCGTGCCACACTTCAACAAGCATTAGACCCCAATTAAGTTAACCCCAGTAAAGCCTGGCCAAGAGGCATACCATTCGAGACGTGACCCAGCGCGTGAACAACCCCCTCGTTGTTTCGAAGCTGCCGAAGCGCCAGCAATTCCGCAGGTATGTCTCGCCAACGCACAGTATAAGAAGGCGTTGGGGGCGAAGAATTCCAGGCTGCCAAGTCTGTGTGGTGCTTGCGAAGGTGCTTTGCTCCGTCTTCACTGCGTAAAGGCTGCCAGTATTCCAGCCAGTCTAAATACACCCTACCATCTCGATAACAGAGATTGAGGTTGCCGTCAGTATTCTCCTGGTATGGTACGGTATCGTTGTCGCTCGGTATAGGAAAGACTTTGACTGTAATCGAGGTTGCTGTTGGGTTTGGCTGCCAGGAGCCTGTGGCTCGAGAAACCTCCACTTCAAAGGACCCCGTCAGTGTAGTCACGTTGTTCTGGGAAAAACTTATTGCCGTACCGTCACTACTAATAAGACGCTCCACTTGGCTCTTATCCCAGTACAAGTCTCTTTCGCCTTGGGTCCACCCCTTCGCACACTACATCAGGTTGGGTAGACGATTGACCTAGGCTCTCAGTGAGCATGGTTCTCGCTCCTTGACTCAAGTTCACGGAAGAGGATGATCACATTATGTTGATAGCTGGGGTACCATAAGACCTGTCCTCTGCCTTGCAGAACGCAGATCTCGTTCAGAGTCAGTGCAACTAGCTGAGCATCGGTGAGCACGTCTGCAGTACCGTAACTATACGCTCGTATGCCTTGCTTCAAATTAGGTCTCCCAGGGGTATGGAAGAAGAAGTAGTTGCTCAAATCTGCAATTGACTCCATGGTTCTTTTTCTCAAAAAAAGTCTCTTCGAGAGTTGGAAATGGGTACCTTTGATTAACGAATACAGGAGAAGGGTGGAGAGCCACTGTACTCAACAGTTATCGCTTAGACATTGCGTAGTTACCGGTTGAAGCAAGTGCTAGGTACGAATGCTGTGCTGAGAATATCGTTAAAATGAGAACCCGATACCTTCCGACTCATAGACATCAAACTTCGCCTTCCGTGCCGAAAGCCAAACAAAATCGCCTCTTGATGCGAACTCGCCGAGCCCAGCTGTTACCTGACGAGAGACTGGGCACATGTTTGCAGCCTAAAAAAAGGAGGGAAGAAAAGAAGGCCACTGTGATTGACGAGTCGGGACAGTAGGAATCGGGGAGTCCAAACACACTTTCCCAGATTTTTGTGAAAGCTCACAGTAGTGCTATGGGAAAAGTATCAACAGTGGCAAGATTTCCTCTGGGGTACCAGGATAATGATGAGAGAGAGAGAGAGGCGTGTTGCCCGATCATTAAGTAACAAAGACTTTCTCTCACTCACTCGAACTCTGCTCGGATGGGTATACTAGTATTTGCGAAGACAGTCTACGCGCTGACAACCTGATGATCAAGACTTTTGACTGTCGGTGGCTCGTTTGCTCGCCTAGCGCAAGTCGCAACTCACTGAAGGAACAGCTCTTTAGGAAGATTTGTGATACTCCCCACACTACCCCTCTTACTCCCCGTATCAGATCATACACAATCCGCTCAATCATGTTCACATTTGTACAGAAGCAGGGTCAGCCATGTCGACTTACCGTCTCAATACTGCTGGTCACAGTCGTCCAAGCACTGACGCTTCCCATCAATTATTGTGGAGATGGCCAGACCCTAATCAATACCACCTCCGACCACAAAACGGCAACGAATTGTGCACCAAACGTACCCACCATCAACCTACCAACAAACACAACACCCAACGGCTTTTCCCCCAGTAAAAGCGCCCAAAGCCATGCCTCAATCTCATGATCGCGCAACGACTAACCTCCCCAGGCTCTCCCTGCCCCCCGAACCCTTCCTCTACCGCATCCCCACCACGCCCTACATAATCAAATACACCAACTACGGCTCCCCCATCCCCTTCCACCATGCCATCCAGCTCCTCGTGACGGCGTCAGAAGAGATGATGTACGAGATAAGCCTACTACCCGACCACGTCGACGTGCAATTCTCGCGGACGCGCGTATGGGCCGAAGAGACCGCGCGTCTGACCATCATGCCTACGCCGTCGATGCGGCATAGCACTTGCGGGATGATGTTGGCGGGCATCATAGGGTGCGGGGGATTGTATGGGTTTGTGGAGGCTGACATGGTGTTTTTGAGCGTGCGGGACCCGTTCCGTCCGTTTGCGAATGGGACCTTGGCAATTGGATGAGTAGGATAGAGGGGTTCGTGTGCCAGGACCGATTAGGATGGCGCGTTCGTTCGGAAGGGCTGATTGGACCGTAGTTGGAAGGAGATATTTCGCACACATTAAAGAGCCCACTATCTCTGAAACCAGGACATAGTACTCTGAGCCCTTATGTTATAGATCCTAAGCGAAGTGTGTTGGAAAGACTTGCCGCTTTCTTATGCTCTCTTTACCAGCCAGCCATACGCTACAAAACAGGCGGCCGAGTCCCTACAATAGCGAACGTGCGGTTTGATGACATTGTTCATGACGCACCGGCGATTGCGAGGCGCGTATTTCAATGTCTCTATGCGCTGAGTAGTGCTCTGTTCCAGGTCCAAGAAAGTATCCTATACAATAGTCTCGTTGCCGTTGCAGAAGATGGTACAAATAGCATTGCAAGATGCTCAGTGAGCGCAGTACGGCATTCGATACCAAGGTCATAGTTCAGACCTTGCCGCCTCGGATCAGGAAAGGAGCGTTGAATACGTGAAGGACGCCTAAGTCGGCTTTACTTCTAAAAAGTCTCATGAGATGCAGTCGGAGCAGTTGGGACCAGAAAAAGATGGACAATACATTATTTCGTATCCACCCGGTAATGCACGGTCTAAGATCCGATAAATCCGAGGGTGAGTTTTGGGGGACAACCCCCCAAAGACTCGCCCCGAGCCCACACCTAACTCCGAACCCCCACCCCAATACGCGGCATAGGCTTAAAGGATCTAGGCAGACTTTATTATACTATACTACACCTGTGTCAATATAACTCCGATCTCTTTTTTTTCAAGTCTTAGAAGTCTTATTCTACGCTTTGTAATTTATTTTTTTCGTTTTTATTAGACTATTGTGAAAGAAAGAATTATTAAAGATTTAGATTTATTGGATTACAGACCGTTCATTACTTGTACCGGGTAGCAGGCATTTCCGGGTGGATATAAATACTTGGCTTAAAAAGGTGAGGTACTATCTTTGAGAGACCAACAAAGCACTCATTCTTCGGAGGCCGAACAAGCAGACGAAGTGGCCGAGATCTCAAAGCTGAGCCATACTATGGTTGAGATCTAGCCTTCGTTATTAAATGTCTACGTGATGTGCACTGCTGCCCTCAAGGCTTTGAAGTGAGGAGACAACACTTGTGGTACCAATCAATCGATTCTAAGCTTCCATCACCAAGTCACCTCTGTGTGTGAAAAGTCGTAATGGCCAATCACTGGAGAGACTTAAGAAGGAACTGATCATGAACAAGCAGGCCGATCACACGGACCACCACTATCAGAAGCAACGCGACCTGAAAGCCAGCGAAGCCAACGGTATCCTGAGAAGTACTCCACCTCCGGCAATTCATTGGGCTGTTGACCCTAACGGAGAGACACTCTATTTACACAATTCAACGGCTCTGGTGGACGCTTATGGTACTGATGTTGTCGAGAAGATATACGACGACATCAAATTCTTCTTGTCACTCCATCCACCAAATCTACCAGATCCACAGCGTCACTTCAACGACGAGAGAATACTCAAAGCGCACCCGGAATTCGCAAAGGAGAATGGGGGATCCTCAGGGGTGGTACATTACGGTTGTTGGCATGAGCGAGGAAAAGAATTCGCAGATGCACCTCTTCTGCTAAAGACCTCGGATTCCAGGCCTTCAGCTGACACTAAGGAGGGTTTCCTGAAACAGCTGCTGCGCAACGCTTGCGCCCACATCACCCGTGTCGTCGCTCTCCTCTTCGGTATAGCCAGCCCTGAGATGCGCGACCAGTATCGACGGGTTGTTGAGAGTATCGCTGATTATCGTCGCATGGATACGATTGAGGAGGAGCTATGGACGCTGAGAGCCGTGCTTAACAATGTCATGACGGAAAGCCACCAGGACAGCAATGAGTTGGATAGATGGACTGGTGTGGAACGCACCGCTCGGTGACAACCTGAAAGGTAAATGTCTGCAGGTGCAAACTCCTCTATCCAAAGGCGGCTAACATTCCACAGGCGGGGGACATGTGTCTCAGGCAACTTGGCATTCATCTCGCATCGCCGTCAGGTGCAGTCACAGGTATCTTGGGAAGAGAAACCATTCACAACATCACAGAGTGGACGGACTTTGACTCTAAAATGGAGAGGCGAAGCAGGATTTCCGTGGTTCACACAACCCATGAGTCTATACGTCAAGAGGCTTTGCAGAACCTCGCGAAGCAAAAGAAGAGGTCGAGCCCAGAGCCTTTGGGGACTTCAGAGGAGGAGAAGCCGAGGAAGCGTCAGCCTCATGACACTTCCTCTGACACGTATATGGGCAGAGTAATGAGCAGACTTTAGCGCTAGTCCTCCTAGAGGTGACAAAACTAACTGTATCAAAATCCCATCTTGATACAATGAATGCCAGCATGCTCGACCACACGGCGAGCGCTCGTCTACGTCTGTCCAGATCTCTTAGACGCGGCCAAGTGTTAAATGGCGCTTCGGGATCAGGGCTGCCCTTGTTGAAAAGGACACTCATTGCTTGAGGCCTCTTCTCGATCAGAACGTTAGGTTTCGTAAAAGCAGCGACCACGGCGCCGTAGAGGACAACGGTGGGGGCTTTGTGACGGAATCGCTGTAGGTTGCGACTGATAGCGTAGCCGACTCCCTGGTTTCTATTTCTTTACCCAGTCCTTCAGTGGCCAACCTCTTGGAGGAACGGGTTATCGAGCTGCTTCGGTTTCGCTTTCGAGGCAGCTGACTGGACTGTGTCTTTTGGACGCCTGAAGGTGACGTTGCCGTGTATAGGTTTTGGGCGCTGGTGTAAATACCTACTTCAAGGGTAAGAGAAGTCTCGTAGGCGATAGCGTAGGTAACGAGAACAATCGTACCAAACATAGGCATGGGCCAATGTTGGGAAAAGAGCTAACGTTCGCAAGAAGGGGGCATCGTCCAGAATGAATTCCAAAAGGGGTTGGAGGGAGCACTGAGCGAACCCGAGCGGGTATATCTATTAACACATGCTAAGACTCCCGCGTTAGCGCCCCCCCCCCCGGAAGGTTGCTTGCACAATCCGCTCCCCCAAAAGAGTAGGTACCCTTAACTTCAAATGGTGCACTCCCAGAAGATGGTTCTAGGGTTCCCCAATGGAAAGTTGCTTTCAGGGATATCGCTCTGCAGGACTTTTGATGCCGACCTTTGTACCTAGTACGATTGTCTATGGCAAAAGGCCAAACCAGGCGTTCCCGAACAGATCTTATCGGGTCAGGACGGTGGAAACTGTGACTTTGTTAGGTGAATATATACGTAAACAACAAAAATTTTGTCAATTAAAAATATTTTTCTATGGTCGGATGGCCAGGTGGAATTTTCTTTGCGATTTTTATCATGAATGCAAATTACGAATCATACAAGTAGGAAATTATGAATCATACGGGTATGATTCAGTAATTAGGGTATGGGTAAGGATATAGTTTCGGGGTATGAATTAGTAATTACGACTTGGTTATTTTAATCGTGGTCCCACTCATCGCTGCTCTTAGCGAGTGGTGGGACCACGATTAGGCGCCTTCGCGCACGGGCGCCCCTCGAGGTGGACCGCATCTAAATACGCACCGACCTTCTTTACACAGACCTTTCACACAGGGGTCTCTCCCCGACTAGGCATAAAGCAGGAATATCTCTTGTAAAGAAGCATACGCAAGGATTCTTACGCCTATTTTGAGCTTTCTCCCTAAAAGAAAGGTTGCACATGAATGTGAAACATTATTGTTTTGGCACTAAACAGGGAAAATTGTCTTTGTGACTTTGTTGATTTCCAAGAATTATCAGCCGCGTTGCGCGACAGAACCAAATGCCAAGAAATGAAAAAGGTTGTGCATATGCTAAACCATGCCCCAACTGCACTTTTTGGGTTCCCTCTCTTCATGTGTTCTGCCCCAGTCTCTTGCAGTGCCTTCTGCCCAGACGCTAAAGTGTACTCCCTGTATGTTTTATACTATATATTGCAAGTCAACGCTGCTGCCATTGCCTGGCTTTTGTTCACACCATCTGTTGAAGATGGTATAGCTAGTCACCTTTCTCGTCTCGTTCCGCGACTCCGAAACTGACATTCTCCCCAGCTGCGGTGTCATCATGTAGTCTTTGACCGAGCTTCCATGACGAGTTGGACGGCTCTGTTGAAATCCCATTTGTTAACATCGTCATTCTCAGCTGTTACGCTGGGAGAAAGTGGTTCCGGATCTGCTCCTCTTTCCAGCAGGAGTTCTACGTTTTCAAATCTGCCGCTTCGCACTGCCATCACTAGAGGTGTATGACCATTGTTATCCCTCGCTTCGAGATTCGCTCCTTCCTCAAGAAGGAGGTTCACTGTTTGTGGTGAACCTTTCTGGACGGCCACCATCAAGGGTGTCTGAGCATGGTTATCTTTCGTTTCCAGATCGGCCCCTTCCTCGAGAAGGAGATTCACCGTTTCTCGTGTACCCTTCTGAACTGCCACTGACAGGGGCGTTTGACCACGCCTATCTTTCGCTTCCAGATCGGCTCCTCTCTCTAGGAGATACTGCACCGTTTCTAAATTTTCATACTGGACTCGCACTGCAAGGAGCGTCTGCCCGTTACTATCTTTCGCCTCCAGATCGGCTCCATTTTCGAGAAGTAGGTCCATGTTCGGTATCTGACTCTGCCAATTAGAATTTCTGGCCACAGCGTGGAGCAGTGTGCCTTCAGAGTATCGATTGTATCTGGCGTTTGCATCAGCTCCTCTCTCCAGTAGCGCTTTTGCTGTTGCTGTGTGATCTCCATACAAAGCCTGAGCAACGGCGGTACTACCGAAGTCTCTATTCGTCGATGCAGCGTCGATGTCAGCTCCTTGATCTAGCAAGAACCTTACTACATCAGTCCTTCCTTTGCTGGCAGCCATCATGAGTGGAGTTGCATCTGTTGAGCCTCCAAGTGGGCCTCTTGAGTTGATGTCGGCTTTGTGGTGTAGCAAAAGTTCGACGACTGCGTTATGGCCTTCCCATGCAGACAGTTGTAATGCCGTATTTCCGTGGAAATCCTTGGCCTCGATGGCGGCACCCGATTGCAGGAACTTGAGAATCACACTTTTGTACCCTTTCTCGGCGGGGACGGTGATCAGCAGTAATTCCGATATACTTCCCAAATCCTGTGCTTCTGTTTCACAAAGTAGTCGGTTGACGGCCTCATCATTTTTTGACATTCCTCCCATTTCGTGATAGAGTCGTGTCAAATAGAGCATAAGGACCTTTTGGCTCGCGGAAAGGCTCTCATATTGGATTAAAAGCCGTACCAAACGTTCGTAGCCTCGAAGAATTGCGCATTCAAGTGAAGTTCGATTGGTTTGACGCTCCGTTACAGCTGTATTGGCCCCTTTATCAAGGAGCTGTTGCATGACAAGCACTGAACCCTCAGGCGACGATGTTGATCTTGCCAGAAACCCGTATCTCGGACCTGCTATAACAAGCAGGGCTGTCTCGCCTTTCGAGTTAAGGGCGTTTACTTCTGCACCATTTTCTAGCAGCAGAGCAACGGTGCCCACATGACCGTTTTGAGCTGCTGCATGGAGGGGCAAATCACCACCATCCGTTTTTCGGTTGGGATTAGCGCCTGCTGTGAGGAGCAGTTCCGTAGCTTCTGAACGGCCCCGCATGGCCGCTTCCTGAAGTGACTCCCCAGCAAGTGATAACGGAGAGCTGACATCGACACCGGCTTCCAGCAAGACCTTCATTATCGTGATTTGACCTTGAGAAGCTGCCTTGGTCATCGCCCTTGCTACGTATTCTCTCGGGATGTTCCAGTTTTTTCCGCCACGCACTAGAAGACGCACGATACCCTCGCGTCCACAGGAAGCGGCGTCATATAAGGTATCTCGCATGAGTTCATTCTTTCTAACATCGTCGGTTCTGCATTCTGCCAGAAGCACCAGACACTCTTCGTGGCCTCGGTCAGCCGCGATGGATATTGTTGAATGTCGATGGTCCCTCACAAATCCAGGGTCTGAACCATTCTGTAGAAGTAATCGTGACACAGACACATGGTTCTTAGCGATAGCCCTGGCCAATGCACTAAATTCCCACTGGTCTCGGATCCCAATTGTAGCCCCAGAATCCAAAAGTAGTCGCACAACTTCAACATGACCGTTTTCGGCAGCCTTGTGTAGGGCTGTCATACCGAAAGAATCTCTTGCATCAATTTCTGCCCCTTGGTCCAGATAGTATTCGACGAAATATTGGATTCCGAATGATGCAACTATGTGCAGATTTGTGACATTGGTTGGGCCACGAAACTCCCTTCCTAAGTTCAAATTGTGGAGCTGTTTCTTGACATGGTGAAAAACTTCGTTGGCACAGGCAGTATTATGCTCTTTTTCCAGGAAGTCCCGTATCAGTTGCTTGAGACTCAATAAGTTTTCCACCTCGATGTTATGGGGATCGGTAGTGGTGAGGCAAGAATCAGGATTATCCCTAGTGTTCGTAAATGCATCATGTGTATGGCGACCCCAGTTCTCAGCAGCATATTGCACTAAAACGTTGCTCTCAAATAGGCCTTCCATATACCTTGTTACTGCACTGTGCTCCTCGCTCCAAGTCATTGGAATGTTGGCGTCTCTTGCTGCTGCTTCATTCATAGCGTCTTTAACTATTGTGTCCAAAGAAAAGGTTGTGAATGTTGTGAAACTGAGGTAGGTAACGAGAATACTAGCGAAATGTCCGTGAGCTTCTGGGCTACGATAGCGTTGTACCTTACGTTTGAAGTACTCTTCGGTGGTATAATGAACCAGTCTAACGATCTGACTTTCATCTTCCACAACCACGAGGCCACAGCAGGTCGAAATAAATGACTCCCCTCTAGGTAAAGCTTCTGGGTCCAGAAAGGTATCATCTCTACGGATGGACAGAGCTTGTCGCATCTCTTCCAGCTTCAGAGGTCGTTTTGCGCAACTGATGAGCGTCAAGACCTGATCAGCTCGAGCTAGCTTTCGAGAGTCTTGTTGTTTGATTCGCTCTAACGCGTCATCGTATGTCTTGTCTAGATCCATGGGCAGGCGTTGGAGACTTTCCTTGAGTTCCCGAATATTGTCTTCTTTGGCAAGAGAATCCATGTGCAACGCTGCAATCAGGAACCTTTCTTTTGGTGAGCTTGGAAGCGATGGAGACCTGGTGACTGACTAACATGCCATTTGTCTTCTCCAGTACTGTCGCGATTATTGTGGATTGCACATCGCTATGACCTTCAAGGAGCTCGACCAGTCCATCTCGCTGCTCCATCTGTGACTTGATGAATCCCCTGATGTCTTGGTCTCGCGCGCGAATCTCAAGGCGTATGTCGTGCTTGAACATGTTCTCGATAGACGGCACATCTCGCGAAGTAACCATGAGGCTCACTTTAGGTAGCAAAGCACGGACCTCGGCGAGAAAAGACTTTCGAACTTGGTCATGTTCAGGGCACTCATCAAGAGCATCGATCACAATGAACACTTCATCAAATTTCTCGACCTGTAAGCGAAGTAGCTTAGCAAATTCATCGAGAGAGGGACGTGTCTCATATCGAGTATGATGCCTATGACATGACTTGATATCCTCCAAGATTGCAGCGTTCTGCCTGGCGAGTTGTCGTAGCGAGCTTCCAAGGTAGTTACTTGCAGTCTGATTTGCACCGTTGTGCATACAAAAGACGTAGGCAACCCCAGTCTTTTCCCGTCTGTGCTCTTGCTCAAGATAATCAACGACTATTGATCTAAGAAGCATAGTTCTAGCAAAGACTTTTCGAGTGGCAAGACTACGTACGCTAGGATAGTCTTACCCGCACCAGCTGTTTCTAAGTCAGCAGGTTGTCCTCTAGCTTCGGTTCAAATCATAGAAAGCATTACTCACGCATTCCCGGGCACCAAAGGACCCTTCCAGCAGTACCAACCCAAGAGCGAAACTCGTTAGATTCGAGCAGCCATCGACCGGTGCCTTTCTGATGTCTACTTAGAGCATCACTTTGCTTGGAGAAGAATTCCAGGGGGGAGAGCCATTTTATCACATCCTGTTCCTCGGAACTAAGAGCTCGCAACTTCTCTTGCTCCTGACTGAGGTGTACTTTCGAAATGCTGTCAAGGATCTTCGTACTGGAGACTTCGGAGTTGTCAATTAGCTTCTTTATGCTTGTATCGACTTGACTCAATCGATCAAGCGACGTTGTAGAAATGTCGAGTTGAAGTGTGCTAAAAAAAAAAAAAAATAAAATATATTTTTAAAAAAAAGGGGAAAAAAAAAAAAAAAAAAAAAAACCCCCCCCCCCCCAACCCCCCCAAAAACCCCCCCCCCTACCCACCCACTTTCACATTGCCAGACTCAGATTGCTTCGAAGATCCGAGATCGTCCGCCGCAGCTTCTCTAGCGTTTTTCGCTGAAATGGATACCGAGCTCTTTGGAAACGTGCGCTCATACCTGATGGTACTTGCGGAGTCAGCGTGCCGTTTTTAGATAAAGACTCGAGTAATGAGAGATGTCTAGAGAACGTATCGAGGATGGATGTTCATAGCATAGTACACAACCAGATTGTCAGACGAATCTAGAAACAGGGCAAGGGGGGAAATTTCCATCTCTTGACACGCAATGTAGTGGTAAGATGACTTTCTGGAGCATGCTAGGAGAAACAATGTTTCCCACTCCCAAAACATCTTTCACGACCTAGACTGAAGCATCAAATAGGTATTAACCTGGCTTAGCATTACGGATCTTCTCCAATTTAGTTCGTAGTCTCTGAACCCCAGCATCACAAGATTTGATGCTTTTTGTGACTCGATCGACGCTTTTGGGGTCAAATAAAGGATGGTGGACCCTCTCGTCCAGCAGTTCGAACGTCTTGTTGAGAGCTATCAAAGATTCCCGCATTTCGGAGACATCAGAAGGCTGATCTTTCCATGCACTGTAGTAGTCGAGGAGACCAGAACACACTGTCAGGCCTAAAGAGACAAGCCCCGCCGCACTTGCAGATATGGAAAGTGGATCGCCCATGACTGCTTTGGTTTACTTCGTAAGAGCGTAGACTGAAAGCTGACAGCCATCCGTACGCCTGAAAGGACCTGGGAGCTCAGGAAGAGGTTGAATCAGCCACTTGCATTGGGAGTGGATGGAAGCCGAAACAACAGATAAGAGAGATAGCGAGGGAGATCGATGAGGCTGAGAATGATCTGATCACACTAGCGCTCAATTCAGCTTAAATAGCCATGCACGGCTTGATGTCTTGCATGAACGACAAAAGCTGAACCCGCGAACACGTCTGCGATAACATGTATATATGTATATATATTCCTTCAAGCTATCATGAAGCCTTATTTCTATATTCGGAAGCACATTCTCATCCGATAGTAACGAGGACTTTGTTGTTGAATCGAAACGTAGGAAGTGCTCCGAGTCTATGCAGAAGCTCACGAGCTTAAGGTCAGTCCGGATAGACGCACAAATCAGAGCTATTCACGACTCGCTTTTGTCGTATCACCTTTAGCCTTTGATTGGAGAAGCCGTGGTCATCTTAGCCAAAATGCCAGCTGTTTTCCCTCGTCAAACGCCGCATTGTAGAATCATCTTTCCTGAATGTTACCAGCTCTCAGGTGTAGTGATCGTCGAAGAACTTAACTGCCTGCCTGCCATCCCAGAGTAATTGTTGATGAAGGACTTTAATCCCTGTCTCTGACTGTTGTAGTTGCATGACTCGAAGAACTTAGTTGTAGATTGCCTGCCTTGTTGCCATGGTGCTAAAGCAGTCGTCATGACTCTGTAAGCCCTAAATCGTAAACCATATAATCATCGTCTTGTTGAGCTCTGAGTGCCGTTGTAGTCGTTGTGTAGAAGGACCCAAGGCTGCTCGCAGTCGTAATATGTAGGGTCATCCATCCTGGACGTTGCCAGCCCCGTTGCCAGCCACATCTGTCTTATCCCATGACTCACATACATGCCATACCAGTCAGACTTGTTCATCGTGTTGAAGAACTTGATCTGCTCGCCTTCGTGACTACCAGTCGTTCCATCTTAGAGCGGCTTTGTCTCTATGTTTATCCTCGTCGCACGTATAACCATATTGGTTATCCCTCCTTTGCGTGTGTCCTTGTCTTTACCCTTAATGTTTGTGGAATCGAGGGACAGCAGTAAATCCTTATATTGTACAACAGTGGCGAAGGTTGGACATGGCCTTCGTCAATATGTCAGTAAGTACAGTTCGTCTAGTACTTCACCATGTTTTCAACTACAGCAGTGGATATCAGCCATGATTGCTGCACCTCGACAACCGTAAAGCTGTCAAAGAACTAATCACACCACCGCAAGAGGATGTGATTGATATCGTAATTCTAAAACCTCTATTTTACCCGTGTAGATCCAGCTACAAATTAGTCCTCCGAGCTCGCTGTTGAAATGCTGTTGACATACTCGCTCCTACCAAAGAACCCATGTGACAACAGGCCTTCTCAGAACTCATCTTCCATTTCCCTCTCGCTTACATGTCCACCTTTCCTCCTTGTTGCGCGGTATGCCATCAACTCCGCCGTATCCTTCTCATACATGGCGTCTGCTACCCTCCTCTCCGCTTTCCCAGCCCTCCTTTGCTTGACGCAACAGAACGCCCACATCCCCACACAGACTGCAATAGCAGCAATGATGGTGCTGAAGATGCCGATTTGCGCGCCGTGGGAGAGGCCCTTGAAGCGCTGGGTAACGCTCTCGGAAGGTGGGGCTGTGAGGATTTTTAGGGCCGTAGAGTTACCGGGGACGGTCTGGATGGATTGCCAGGTGCCGGTTGTGTCGCCGTATTTGTACTCTGAGCCAGTAGAGTAGTCGTTTATGCGGACCGACTGCACAAACATTGTGTACGGGCCCTTGGAGTAATCGATCTCCCCGCCAGCCCATTGCACGGTGTAATTACTATTATCTTTGTCCCCGCCAGCCCAGATGCCTATGCGGACATTCATGGGTGTCTGGGGGTAGCTCGCTCCTCCATTCGCATCGGCATATGCCAGCGTGCGCACGATGGATCCGTCAATATACCACTCCAAACTCTCATTTGTCCATCGTGTCGTGTAGTTGTGATACCCTTCGGTCGGACTCCCACCGTTGGGCAGGGGATACCATTTTGCCCTCTCATATGCATCAGTCGTGTTGCCCTTCCCGTAATAATTATTCTCGGCGTGGGTATCGTTGTTGCCGATAAATTCTTCATCTATCTCATCCAAATCATCGGACTGCAATACCACACTGCTGACCACCCCCTGACCCGGGGCGGCTTTGAGCCAGACCTCGACTTCGCCAAAGAAGATGTAGAATTTGCTTTGGATTGTGGGCGCATCGCCTCTTTGGGCGATAGTGAAGGCGGCGCCAGAGGAATTGTAAGTTAAGGCGCCGGCAGTGGTGTTCCAGAGGGAAGATTCGAAGGACGAGGTAGAATTCAGAGTGAAAGAGGCATTCGATGTGCCAAGGGCTAGGTCAGGTGGGCAGTCGGTGCTGTTGAGGGGGTTGCAGGATGTCCAGGTCTGCGCGGCAGTTGGAATCAAAAGGTAGGGGAGGAGTGTGAGACAGGATACTAGAAGGAGCGACATTGTGAGACTTGCGAGACGTCTGTGACCGTGTGTGATCTTGTTGTGTGACCTTGTGTGACCTTGTGTGACCTTGTGTGACCTTGTATGACCCGTGTAAGGAGTGTGATGCCGAAGGGCCGTGGTTCTATGCAACGCTGTAAAGGAGTGACAGTGATGAGAAGAAGAAGAAGAAGAAGAAGAAGAAGAGAAGGTGGAGCTCTCCACAAACCCCCCCCCCCTCTTCCGCGCCTTTCCCCCTTCACATTCCTGGCGCTGATAGACCCAAATAGGGGTTGTCAGCTGCAGGGGCTGGTATGCGAAATTGAAGTCTGGAATGGATTGGCTGTCCATCCATGCCAAGACCAGGTGCTTCATTGCCAAGAGATAAGATCTCGCCTACATAATACGAGTACAAGTAATGTAATGTAAGAAGTGTGCATAAAGTTATGCACTAGAATATAAAATGGAACACGGCTAATGGTTTCTAAAAAAAGGTATCAGGCTACCAACATATCTTCAATCTGACCGGTGAGGCGGAGCAGCAGTGCAGAGATTGCGCTGACAGAATGGAGGACAATATCATAATGACCACGTCTTGTATCTGGAGCATTGAATGAGTCTTGCTGCCCCTCTTCGAAGCCGACATGTCAGATTTGACCTTCTGTTTTGGCTTCACAGGTGATTTCTACTTCTACTCCCCTGAGAGACCACTCTCCTCCATAATGTAAGTTCATGTCTGCTCGTTTTTGTAATTCCGTCTTCTCATATCTTCTCGGTTGTATAGTTGGGCGCGTGCAACCAAAGACTTTGCCAAGCTCACGGATGTCAACCGCCCCTTGTGTGTTGCTTTAGGGCCAAACCTTGACTGGTTCTTTGGGTACCAAGCCATAGATGGGCAGATGAAATGGACCAGAAGGCGAGAGCAAGGTCCAAATCTGAAACATGGTTCTTTCTATAAATCATGTCCGTTTCCCTCATTGTACCCAGTCACGCATCTCTCAAGTTCCGTTCTAGGAAAGGACCTAATATTAGAATCTTAGGGTCAGCAAGACAAGCCGCCTATGACAATTTAGAGTCATGGCTTCGACTTCATGCATCAAAATCCTGGGATATGGCACAGACCAAAGTGTCGATTGGTCCTAAAGGCAGCTGTTTTGCTACATTCCCGGGTGCCCGTGCAACCTGGAGCTCGATACCTTCAAGTCTGGAGAGACTTATCGATTTAGAACAGCCAAGCCGTACGCCGACGTTGGTCACGTTAGGTGTTAAAGAGACGTGGTTTGCTCTATGGCGGGACGGAAATGGCAGCTGCAATTTGGATTCTGAGTATCAGAAGTTGGAAGAGCTGCTGAGAAGGCATGGCAAGTTGGGAGTCAATGTAAGTTTGCAATTCCAGCGTATTTTCAGGGTGCATAAGAGTCATTTGACTTGCTAACAGAACAGAGTATCGCCCTCTCACCCAGCCAATCAAACCAGTTCGCCGTCTCTTTCAGAGATGGCTCCTCTCATATTCGCGGGCCTGTCTCCGAAGGGAACCTTCGCCAGTTGAACGCCATCATGGTCACCGCCGCCCAATCTTCCCAACAACCACTTGCCATGCAAGTTCAAGTATGCGGCTTGCACACCTCCTCTCCACCAATAGAGTTACCCACTCAGCTATTGAACATGTCGAAAATTACATTTCCAGGTTCCCCTGGAGACAGGATTGGCAGGGAGTATGAACCCACTGCCAAGGGAGTGCAGAAGCGAGCGAAGGCCGCAACGTTTGTGGCAATCAACTCGTCAAATTGTATGATCATGTGATTTGTGTATCGTGGTTTGAATAGTAGCCTGAGCTGACAGCAAGGAAACCCCCGTGACTTCAATGCCGTGTGTCTAGCTAGCTGTCCTTTCCTTGTCACTACCCAAAAAGCCTCGCCATACAAGCAGAATTTTCATGCATCTAGGGTTTCTTCTCACCACAGCTGTCGAATGTATCCCGCGTAGAAGCAGCAATGCCATGATGTCAGGGCCTACTGCTCAAGACATCCGTCATACAACATACATGCACCAAATTGAACTACTTAATTGGCAGGCTGTCAAGGGCTTCAGTGTAGGTATTCAGGTCTGCTTTCTCTTACTACTTATGGGAATATGTTGGCTCAAGGGAATACTGCTATACCTAGCTCTGCGCCCCACCTCCCACCTCCCCTTTAGACTTTTTTTGGTGTAACGCTAGCTCAGCCACATGCGCATCATTGCTGTTTCCCTGATTTTGTCTCCAGCTCATTTTTGGAAATATCAACATTTCATCTCTTCAAAATTGTATATATCCAGACTTAGTTCGCCCAAAGACTATACATTCGAAAGTATATAAGACCCATTCATCAGCCATCATGGGGCTCCTAGACAAACTCAAGCGCAAAAATAAGGGCGACAGCAGCCAAGCAGGTAATTCTTCCCTTGAGTTTTCCTTCGCTTGAAAATGTGTTTTCGTCTGAACTTCTCCATCATAAAATACTGAAGGAATGGGATGGCACAGGAAGCTCTCAGCCATCGCAGTCTACCTACCGGCAACCTGCCCAGTCTACCACCAACCCAACGTCCGGCATCGCCTCCACTGGCACGTCATCTGCCTCTCCCGCCCCCGTTCCAGAGTTCTCAAACGTCTACTTCGACCTCACTGTGAACAATGGTAAATCTGCTTCCCACTTATGTCCCCTCAGCCAAACCGTCTCAGCTTTAACCTCTTGACCTGCACAGGCCCGCCGGCTAGAGTCGTCTTCAGGCTCTACAGCAAGGAAGTACCAATTACCGCAGAAAACTTCCGCGCTCTTTGCACGAATGAGAAGGGATTCGGCTATGCGGGTAGCAGCTTCCATCGGGTTATTCCCGGGTTCATGCTTCAGGGCGGGGATTTTACGAGGGGTGATGTATGTGCACTGCTCTGAGTTATGTCGGGTGAATCATCTGGCCAGTAGAGGTGGTGATGCTACTTGATGCCTCAGGATGCGTTGTGTGCACCAGCTTGCTAATGGCTGCTTGATTGCAATACAGGGCACGGGCGGCAAGTCCATCTACGGTGATAAGTTCAAAGATGAGAACTTTACTTTTAAGCATGATCGGCCTTATCTGCTTTCAATGGCAAATTCTGGGCCCAATACGTGCGTCAACCCCTAAGCCTTTTGAGTCTTACTTCCAGGTGCGAGTTCTGGGAATGCTGAGTCTGAAATACGTGTAGCAATGGATCGCAATTCTTCATCACCACTGTCCCGACGCCTCATCTCAACGGCAAGCACACCGTTTTCGGTGAGGTGATTGAGGGTCAAGAATTTGTGGCTGCTATCGAGGCTGTCGGATCGCCTGATGGGACACCGAGTTCGAAGATAGTGATTAAGGATTGTGGAAGTCTCTGAGAGGAAAGCGCACGAAGAGAAGAAAGAGGATGGATCGTGTATGGCATTGTATTATTCTAGTTGTTGCCTAAAATGTTGGAAGGAAACCACGAGCGTGAAGACTTGTGAGTCCTGGCATTACTACCGTATCCGTATATATCAATATTCCAATCTATTCAAGGAGACAGCTTTCAGCGGTTCCCAAAATAATTGGCGATTTTGCTCAGCGGATCAATGCCTCCTTCTTCGGAAACGGTCCTCGATGACGTTCATACCACGATTTTGCGCCTGCCCGGAAACTAAGGCATTTAGCCGCCGCTCCGGATATAAACAACAGCAGCGTCAGCGCCAAGAGGCCCTTCCATGTATACGGCAGTGACCTGAAATCGAATGTCAATTATGTGTCCAAAGCTTTCTGGCGATGGAGGTTGGGAGAAAATCATGTGTGAAGTAACACCGATGTTTATTCCAGACTTTACACCAGGTGAGAAACCCTTGTTTGGGGGGCGGGGGGTCTATTGGCATGCCCTTCTTCTTTTTCTTCATCAAAATTCTTCTGCTAACGAAGAATACTTTGAGATATGTGTTAATCCTCAACTGCATTGACTGCAAACGTAAGCTGTAAGATACTACCCACCGAGAGGTTTGATAGTTCCACTTCCACACGTCAGAAAACAGCTTATTGTAGAGCTAGTCTGGTTCCCAAAGAACCCATAAGCTGTGCTCACACATTTCGGGCCCTCAAGACCTAGCTGTGGGTGACGTATTTGCGGCTGCTTCAGCTGTCAGCAAAGCCAGAAGATCTAACCCCCGGGAGCTTGTGTTTACTAGTCTAACCTAAGAACGGAAGACGTCCTCTACATCATTCGCGCCCGTTCGAAATGAGCGCTGGTTGATTCGATTCGACTCGCCCTTCGACATGGGGCAAGATCTTGGGCACGCGATTCGAGATGGTGGAGTCTTCGATCATCCGCGACTGTCCGTTCTACGAAGATATACGAGTCCTCTATCGATTGCGACCGTCAGTACTATCTCCTACATTGCGCGAGTCGATTCGATCTATTCTAGATACCACGTCGTCGGCTTCTAGTTCTCCCGGCATGAGGTTTCCTAGGATTGCCGGGACGTCTCAACCCCCTTACCTGCAGTGTTTGAAAAATAAGATCGTTAAACTTCGCCATTTACGCGGTATGGACGTGCGTTAAGACCGGTTGGTACTTTTTATCTCACGGGGATCCAATAGAGCCTTAACATCGATTCATCGGACGCTACTGTCCTCCCACTCCCATGATGATCCTGACTAGGATCGATGAATGTGTGCTTGGAACAAATACGCTAGGCTTGCCATGAGGGTACTCAAGTCGATATATATGTATCTTAACTACATGCTAAGTACTCAATCCAATACAACCGTCTAATCGCCTGAAGGAAGGTCTAGGTGACCCCTACCCGAGGATTAAGGTTAAGCCCCCTTCTGAGTAGGAACACACACATGCATATTTCAACAAGAGTGGTCACTCATGCTGTGAGTCTATTCGTCTCTCATACCATACCCTAGCAGCGGGTGCCCCACGTACAATTTGACCAGTGTCTTCGAGCTTGGCAAAGATTGACTCTGCCTCTGAACCCGCACGCTTGTAAGGTCATCCTTTGCGGGCTAGCTAGACTGGCAAGACCGAATGCTAATTCGCCTGGCTTTCCAGGTGGTGGGGGGACACCTGTGAGTAGATCCGACTACTTCGATTCAAATGAGGTCGAAGGTCTGAGAGCTTGAATCAGCGCTCTTCTATCATGTCTACTGTCAAGATTGGTGACCGCGAGCCTGCAAGGAAAAGTGGCAATGCGAGCCCCGGGTTCCTTTTTTTGTACGTCGGTTTGGGGCACGAAACCTAAAATATATTACTTTTAATTATGGTTTTGCTAAGAAAAAAAAGTTCCAACGGCAAAGAATTCGCCACGATGGTGTTTTTGGTCAATTTCTCAAGGCCCCTGGCCTGACGAGCACTGTCCATGCTCATCGAATAAACTGATTGAAAAGTTCGTGTCCGGGTCCTTGCCCGTAGTGCTTGCAAAAAAATCGGTATTCTCGGCTCAAACTGTGAGCATCATCCAGAACCTCCAACCCAAGCGTTGTAGTTCGTCAAGCCATTGGGCGGACTGTTCGTAATAGCTGGGCCTACTTCGCTGACCACGACATCGCTGCCCCTCACAATGCTGACCGTCACGGCTCCAGTCCTCCCGTTGAATGGCACAGACGAATGAAACGCTCCAACCGCATTCGAAGAAAGAATATCTGTCTCGTTACCTCCAATCTGCACCGTCACTGTCGCAGGGCTTGTAAGGAGTGCGGTGAAGAAGACCTTGTCCTGGACAACGACATTGGGACTTGTGGATGGTTGCCAAGGCGCGTTCCCTGCAGTACCGTCGCTGGAGCCCGCGGCGGCGGGTGAAAGACGGTACCAAAAGTGAAGCTTCTCTTTCGTGATGCCAGGCTGCCCAGTTTTGTAGGCTTGGATGTAATAGGGGAGAAGATCGCGCCAGTGGTCATGGGGCATATTGTTCACGTAAGTTTGCGCCCCCTGGGGGATACCCTGTTCTTTGATGGGGCCAATATAGTGAGATTCACCATAATCATTCCAGGTAAGAATCTATCACGTCAATCTCCTTTTCAGTTCAGGCAGGTGAAGAGCTGCAACGAAATTCTGAGATGCTCACCTCTACAAATTGAGGCTGCACTTGGAGCACCTGCTGCCAGCGATTGTGCCACATGTCGTCTCCTCGCCAGACCCAATTCTTGTCGTACTTTGGCAGGTTGGTATAGAACCACGGAGACACTGGCATCATGTAGGCCTTGGGAGCCGCGGCTGACTGCCAAGTTAAATCGGAGTCATCGGTTTTGTCAACGGCGCCCTGAGGCCATGCGTCCCAGCTGACTAGTGGGCAATTTAGTCTATGACACTGGGATACAGAGACGAGATGAGAGTCGAGGACTCACAGATACCATCGACATATTGCTCGTCAGATGACTTGAAGTCATCAGGCGCAATACTCGTCCACTCTGGAACGAGAAACAGTGGAGTCGATTGGCGAATTGTGGCCCAATCGCTGGCCTTCGCTGTCCCTTCGAATGTGGATACAAGTGGCAACCCATTCACCGTAAATTGAGCTGGGCTGTTGGCGTAAGTACGGATAGTGTTGACGACAGCCTGGGACGACCAAGGTCCCTGGGCTGCGTAGTCAAAGGACAGGAAGACTTTGAAACCGATTTGTGCGGCCGCACCGTATGCTTGCGGTACTTGAGTCGTGGTTGTTTGGTCGGTGGCTCCGACGTTGAGGGCAAATGCGTCGATACCGGCGGCTTGCGCCAATTGCATGTCGCCCACCCAGTCGCTTTGGCCGTAGGCGCTAGCATTGCCAACCTTGAGCAGGTCAGTAAGGCGTCTTCAATCATCTTGGCGTCCGCATGGCTTACAATGAAATGCGCGAATACAGACTTTGGGCCCGCCATCTTTCTAGGATGTCAAGAATTGTTCGCAGTCCCAAGTTCTCCAGTGTAAAACGTGGAAATCGATTAGCAGGAAGGCTTGATGATTTTATATGCTCATAAAGTTCTACATGAAAAATTCATACGTGTCCACGTTGCACGTCCTTCAAAGCTTTTTAAGGAAAGCTGAAATCCACAAGTATGAAACGCTGGGGCGGTGCAAAATCCCAAAGGATTCGTACAGCCCAGTATACTATTTTCACCACATGAATCCAGTGGCAATGCCCTCATCAGGCATACGAATGGGGTATGAGCGCGAGTAATCACATCGTCCCCCATGACAAAGCTTCAACGCCCTCTCGGGCCCTTCATCTCGTGCAGCCGTGAGTGGTCGATGATTCATCCTTCGTTGGTGGCCCAAGCAAGGCATCGATTCCCGTGCATGATTTACCAGGCTGGATATGAGAGCCTTAGTGCCAGGTTTCCATGGAGCGCACGGATTATCTGAAGCCATCGAGAGCTGAGCAGAGCACATGCCCAAGTTGACAGTAATGACGCCAGATGTACGCTAGTGGACCGAAAGCTTAGTAACGCGATGAGCTAATAAGCGCGCAGTAAATCAATTCCCCTCCTATTTCATTATTCTTTCTTTTCCTTCAGCTTTTGACCCGGTCTACATAACGACTCGTCGCTCATGCATCTGACTTACTCAAAACACTTTACAGTCCATGGGCTCGATCTCATTCCTATTGGGGAAACCAATTCAGGGCGTGGAAGGACGCCTATGATCAGACCTGCAGACGGGCACCACCAATTTCTATTGAATCGGGTAGCTTGCGAAAAAGATTAAAGATTTGAGACGAAATGATGCTGCTTCGTTCTGTCGCAGTCAGCTGCTGAGACTCAAAGCCCTCGCTTCCGTTGCCTCACCAGACAAATTTTGTCTGCGTCATGCGGAGAAACAATCCCGTTCACAGCTCCTGCTGGAGTCATGAAGGCGTAAAGCACCAGACCAAATGGCATATGATCAAAGTCTGCGTATACTGGACGCCATCGGAGATGCATCATGCATGTCGGTCTACGGTCAGCAGGCGACCAAAACGTTTTTCTCGCCCTCGGCAAGCATCGGCAATGAAATTTGGTAAGGTTCCAAGGCCGATGAAGTCCATTAGCTTTGACCCGCAAAGAAATATTGAGCCTTGGCGTTCTCCTTAAGTCGTCTCATTCTCGCTGCTGCAAAGTCCATACCCAAAGGTACGAAGATCACGTGAAATCACTATCATTGGCCTTCTATATTTCTACAAAAACTGAACACTTCGTATTGGGATGGCAAGTTACCAGACCTTCGTGTCTGCTCTGGTTTTCCGAGCATGTCTCCAGCATGTCCAGGCAGGTATCATGGGGCCTCCAAATTTCTTGGAGCAGCCACGAGAGCTCAGCTCCTACACCTGCAGAGCGGAGTGAATCATCTTCAGTGCCTGTTCTGGTGCAGGAAAGCAACTGATATGAATTGACAGATGCTCGCAGAGTTCAACGGGGCAGGCAATACTCGGCCATCCAGGCACGTCCTTTTGCCCCTATGTTTGCGAGAACGGTGTTCAAAGCCTTCGTCTCAAAACTGAAATGATACAACCTGTTTCCTCCCACGATCCTTATTTTAGCAGTCGCAAAGGCAACTTTCAGTCCAAGCACACGTCATACGAGCACATTCTTGCGACTGGTGGCCAGGTCTCTAACGGAGCAATTGCCGTCTCTTCAATCAACAACACGGATGGTGTGGGAGCGGGTAAGGACAGCTACACCCAATACTGCGGCGATGGCTCCAAGTTTCCCACTCGTTCTGCGTGGGTATCGTTTGAGAATATGTACGAACGCCTTCTAGAACGTCTTGATGTGGCCGAGACTATTGGCTGAACAAGGAGACCACTGACTGACAACGATCTGCCCAGGTTCAATGACAACAAGCAAATCATGTTCTCCTCTTGCTCTCAGTATTCACAAGCCAATGACGATGGACCCGAGGTTGGATCCATCTACAACGCAATCCAACAAGTTGCTGTTGAGACCAAAGTTGACCATCGCTTCATCCTCGCCATCATCATGCAAGAGTCGGGCGGCTGCGTTCGCGTACCCACATCAAATTATGGCGTTCGCAACCCTGGCCTCATGCAGGACCACAACGGCAATGCTACCTGTAACAGCGATATTACTGGTGTAGTGCAAAATCCTTGTCCCCAAGATGTCGTGACTCGCATGGTTCGCGAGGGCTCCGCTGGTACAAACGACGGCGATGGCCTGGCTCAGTGCATCAACGAATCCGGCAAAGATGATGTCACGGCATTTTACATTGCGGCGAGACTCTACAACTCAGGCGCGGTCGACGGCTCCGGCGACCTCTGCAAGGGCATTGCGACACACTGCTACAGCTCAGACATCGCCAACCGCCTCACTGGCTGGGTTGAAGCACCTCATGGCTGCTCCCTAGATGGCTGAATTGAGGTCTATTGGCAATTTGTCATTAGCAATGGTCTCAAGCAAGAGACAAGGCGAAGTTCAGATAGTACTATTTTTTAGACACGTGAAGCTGGAAAAGGCGGCGGAGAGAAGTGTGAATGTTGATCAACTATCTTTACTTCGAAAACCATTATTGTATTCTCGCCCAATCTTACTTGAAGCAGTATAATATACCAACAGCCACTGAAGCTATCCCTCTTAGACAAAGGCCATGCGATTCTTCTTGCGAAACGCTTATACTAGTTACGAGACTGACAATGTATTATGCGCAACGCAGCACCTGCTGAAAACGCCTTCGCTTTCTCGCGTTTCCTCGGTGGCTCACTAGATGCGTTCTTCATGCATTCCATGACGCTTCTGCTGTAGGTAAGCTAGTAATCGATTCGGCGAGCTTCTCCACGCTGACTCCACTCTCTTCCTGAATCTCAAAAAAAGGCCACTGCCCATAAACGTGAGGATGCAGGGCGCAGCTGAGTGAGAGGATCGAACCGCCGTGACGGAAGGATGCTTCGCCAATCCTTCGCTGCGGCTGGGGTTCAGCTTCATCCCAGTCTTACTACCCGAGCGAGGCCGAGCGGCAGCGGTCTGGAAGCAAAGACTTCAAAAGCGCTCTCAAAAACATACAAATAGACATGCTCACAATGCATGAATGTTGGAATCAAGTTGCGAGTTTCTCTGCGCTCGGATTTGATTGCCCCTTGGAAAGTTGGGCCCAATTGGGAAAGCTGTCGGTACTCAACGATCAAGCTTGAAAGCGCCGCTCATTTGAGCAGTGCATGTGAGCGTCATGTTTTCTCTCGACCTCGGCTCATCATCTCTTGTCCCTCAATGCTCTAATCGTCCAGAATCATTCTCATTCTTCTACCAAACGCTCCGCAATGCCTAGCTTTCCCAACTCTTCATGGCGCATGACGACGCTCATCGTTGCCGGCACTGTAGCTGCCACCGTCCAGGCCTCACCCAGCAAGCCTTAGTTCCTAGCGAGGAAGGATAGTCCTCTTGATCAAGCTGTGCTTCAGCCCGCTTCTCCCATCGAAGTAGCGTCCTGCAGCGGGCCTGTCAGTAGCAATCCAACAGACTATTGGCTAGCTTCAACAAGATCATACCGGAGCTGCCAGAGTCTACGCTCCATTCCTTCCTGGTGACTTCCCCTATGCCGTTTACCGTAACGTGAAGTCGTACAACGCAGTCGGGGACGGCAACGCAGACGACACTCGAAACTTGCAAAACGCCATCAACGATGACGGGAACGGCGGGAGTCGCTACAACGACGAAGTAACCACTCGTCCAGCGGAGGTGTTTGTCCCGGGCGGGACCTATAAACTCACCAAACAGCTGGACCGGCGACTGAATACCATCCTCGTCGGAGACTTCAACAATATGCCGACGTTCAAAGCATTGTCCGATTTCAATGGAGGCACTGTAGTGAACGGTTACGACTATGCGACTCATGACTCGTCAGAGACCACAGCCTTCTTCATTGCAATGAAGAACATCATTATTGACACCACGAGTATTGCACCCGATACTATTGTTCTTGCTCTGCAATGGGAATCGCTCAAGCGTGCCAGCTTACCAATATCAAAATCAACATGCCGACCAACTCCAAAGGTCATACTGGCATTGCATTGGACCAAGGTTCCACCACGGCTGTCACGGATGTTGTAAGTCAACCCGGGCTGAGGATTCATTGGGTCGTTGCTAATTGCTACAGACTATCGTTGGAGGCGCCGTGGGTATCCGCAATTGGAATCAGCAAGTCAATTTCAAATCCATCTCCTTCTCAAAGTGCACTACACGGATTTTCCTCACGGGCGGATTCGTCGCAGTCATTCAGAATGCCACATTCGACACCTGCGGCCTTGGTATAGATGGCGGTAGTGGGGGACCACCAGGCTCAATTATCATCCTCGACTCAACATCGATGGATTCGGGCCCGGTGATCAAATATCATGATTCGTCCAACGATAGTGGCGATCGCAATAACCAGATCGTTATTGAGAACCTGTCTCATGACGGCGGCAACCCGATTGCTGTAGATTCAAACGGTGATACGAAATTAGGCAGCGACCAGACGGTGGCTCCGACCTCTTTCTCTACGGTGCGGCCTTCTGGACCTTCTTCCACGGCGAGGTCAGCACGTGCTACGACTGCGCCGCCACGATCTGTGGAGCGGACTGCATCACGAATCAAGCGAGGGTGACGAACAGTCCGCAGGAGTACGGTCCGGGAGGGTGGGATTGTGGGATTGGGTGTCCCGGGGGGGGTTATTGCGGGATATCTGCCTTTTTCTGGGACGTAAGTGAAGGAGTTGTAGTTAGTCAAGTGGGACTAAAAAGTGTTTGGTACGTTTATCTTGTTTCAGCCTTTGAGGCTGGTGACACTGTGGCAGACTCGTATATGAATTGCTTGGTCGGAGATAGAACGCAGTGGTATCTGAGGGAAGTAAACATTTCTTAACGAGATAGAGGTGCGATTATCAGTTTTCGGACGGACCCAGTAGATACGCTTCCTCTTCTTTCCTGCGCTGGTCAGTTTGTCGAGTATTTTGGGAATCGGACCAGTGCGCTTTCTAGAATGCAATGGTAAGACTTTCGGAAATTCCGGGAGTCCGATCAGCAAAATGAGCGCTATGTTCTAAGCCTCGATACCATACGTTCACTTTCGTGTGCTAGCATGTGTTTTGCAGGGGGACCGAGGGATTCAAGCTAGGACCTGGGTCAGCGCTCCACAACGTTCAGATGATAATCGTCGAGAGCGAGGAATACCATGCGACCGTGATGATTAAACTTCAGTCCCAAATCATCACGAGTGAGGACCACGATACAGGAGGAAATCAAGACGAATGGTCATTTAAACCAACGCCCACAGGTCCATTACAGACTGGTAAGCCCTGCGAATTCATTTTTGGGTATAGAGGTAGAACCGCCCAGCCCACGCATTCAAGATCGTGCGCGCGGAGAGGAGAGGGGCGTGGGCAAGCTGAAGCTTCGAGTTTTGCTACCAGACGAAACCGAGAATTTATTTTTAGTCCGCGGCGATCACTTTTGAAAAATTGCAATTCCATGGCTCCTCCACGTCGATACCCTGTAGGCTTCAGCCTGAGCAAGTTGAGCAGATTTGGCAGATCATATTTTTAATTCAGCACTACTGCACCTTCACGGACGAAGGAGGCACCCACACGAAGGAGGCACCCACACGGATGAGCCGAACCTAAGCGAAACGTTTTCTCCGTCACCCTTGCGCATCCGTGCAGCAAATAAGCCAGGTATACGACATAGTGTTTCGACACACAATCCTGCATCAAAGCTCCGTAAAATTCAGAACGGAGATATGAAGGGAGGCAGGCACGGTGATGCTGGCCTGCTGCTGTGTGTGCGCGGAACGGAACGTCTTTTGCAATCTGCCTTCCTGCCATCTGTTCTCCTCTCCTGATTCTGCTGGACGTGCCCATCATTTCTTGTCATCTTCGACACCTTGAACAACCCTATTTCTCTTAGTGATTCTCCTTCGCCATAATATGCATTCTCTACTACCTCTACTTGCCCTCCTAACCTGGCTTCCCGTCGCCTTCATTGGTGCGACTCCCCTCGTCATACCCTGGAACACAACGCACTCTTACGGTCCAGACGGTCCTTGGCCCGTGATAACTGTCCAAGTCGGCAGCAACGACGCTGCAGGCACCCAGCCCGAGTCAACCGTCGACCTCCATCCCGGTGGAGTATGGGAATCCATGATACTCAGGGAATATTTTTGCAATAGCAACGGCACAAACTTCGGCGATGGCACAAGTCAATGCTTAGCAGAAAAAGCTGGTTTGTACCAGTGTGACGCTTCGAAGACCGCGCAGCACAATATCACAGATGAAGTGGGCCTGGTTTGGCAGTGGAGCAGTAATGTCGTGGATAATGTTGGTGGCGAGGCGGTGAACGTGTTGGATACGATGATGATTCCAACGCTGCAGGGTGCCTTTGCTGTTCACAACAGTACCATCTCCGCCGTGAGTGCTTGGCAGATCGAAATGCCGGATGGGACATACTATTCAGCACAAGTGGGAACCCTTTCATTGGGGTCGCCAGGCACGGGCATTCAGTCATTCAGTGCCACTGCAAGCGGGCAGACGGTCCCAGGGTCCGCCTATGCACAGGGTGCGGTTGCTAGTAACTCCTGGGGACTGCATTATGGATCAGCGTCGCTCAGCCAGCAAGGCTCATTGGTATTCGGTGGGTACGACCAAAGCAGGGCCTTAGGGGATATAGGAAAATTTGAGTTGGCTGCGAATTCAGCAATGATGGCGAATTTGCTTGATGTTCAAATTGGTGTTGAGAATGGATCGTCGCCGTTCAGTGAGGGCTCCTACACCGGCTTGCTGAGGCTGAACGCAAGTTTCAACGGGGTGCAGCCGGCCGTTATCAACCCAATCGTACCCTACTTGTTCATGTCCCCGGAGACGTGCACTGCGGTCACTGAGAACCTGCCTGTAATGTTCAATTCGCAAGTTGGACTCTATATCTGGAACACGACGGACCCACAGTACGAGAAAATCGTAAAGTCACCCGCATACCTTGCATTCGTTTTCCAGAACGCAGGAAACGGCAATCTCACCATCAAAGTACCCTTCCAATTGCTAAATCTCACACTGGAGGCGCCGATAGTGACTCCGACTCAGCGATACTTTCCATGCCGGCCATTCTATGCCAATGATCACTCCGGCAATTACTTCCTGGGTAAGGCGTTTCTGCAGGCTGCCTTCATAGGCATCAATTGGCAAGTGGAGAAGTTTTTCTTGGCACAAGCTCCCGGACCGGGAGTTGGAGCGTCTAGAATCATACCTATCGGCCCGAACGACACGCCGATCAGTACTGATCCTATCGAAAATTTTGCTGCAACCTGGGCAAGAGACTGGACGGCACTTTCCGATATCGACAATAATAGGACTACCACAACACTGCCGACTGGTGCCACTAACGGACAAAAAGGCACTCCGGGTACCGGCAATAGCAAGAATCTCACAGAAACTCCCACTGATGCCACTAACGGACGAAAAGACATTTCGGGTTCCGGATTGCCGAGAAGAACCAGGGCTGGCATAGCTGTAGGACTTGTTGTAGGCGCGTTGGCCATTGCTGGTGCAGTATGGCTGTTCTGCGTGCGCAGGCGCGGGGCAGCTGTGCCGCCACCGGAGACATACGTGCCTCCGGTGCAAGGTATCTGGGTTCACGAGAAGGGTGGAAGGGTTCACGAGAAGGATGGAAGGGACGGAGGTCACGAAATTGGCGAAGGTCTCTCCCATGAGCTTGATGCGAATCACGAGATCCATGAGCTTGATGCGAATCACGAGATCCATGAGCTAGACGTTCGAGGAGGAATGTAGAGCGATTACAGATTAAGTAAAGACGCCAGTCATGTATCAACCAACCAGTCCTTGTAAGAACTGGCTGGCAATATGTTGGGGGTCACCAGGGTATGGCTGTGTTCTTTATCAAGCACAATCCGCCAAAGCGTAGCGTCTGTGTGCTTCATGTCCTTGCATCTTGAAGCATGTCCCTCGTCCAGTCCACTGAATTGAGCCATTCCAGGAAGTCGGGCTCGTCTTGTGGACCCAAGATCGAAGATATAGCAAGATCAGGCGGTGCAGGGTCATGGAAAGCGTTTTTATCTGGATTACACGAGTTTGGTGGAGGCATATCCAGGACCTGATCCAAGATTCGCTTGATGACTTTACGCATGCGAATACCTTAGGATTTGTTAGCTAGGAGGTCAACTCGCGCCACAGAACGGACGAGCTGTGCATGCTGAACTCACAGAGCATGTAGTTGCCTTCCGAAGGGCGTACCCACTCTAAAGCGCCAATGAAGATACTCAGGTTCTGGATGATCTCTGAGCGTGGCAGAGATACTCGCAAATCCTGAGGGAATTTAGACTGCTTCAATAGCTCAACGCTTAGTATCGCGGCTGATGGAGTACCATGGTAGACGATCTAGATGGCTTATTTAGCCTACACCGAGAAAACTCGGTATGGAGAACTCGCCAAACAGACAAATCCTATGGCATAGTTCGTAAGCTTATCCCTGTTGGCACACAGTACAAGGATTCCGTCAAGCATCTTTCTTGCGGTATCCACGAGATCTTGTTTAACGTTAAAAGCTCCCTCATCAGGCAAGCGGTCAATCAGAAACTTGTTCAAGTTATATTCTTGATAGAGTGCCATTTGCAGACTGAATTGAAGGGCTGACTTTGAGCGATGGCGTTCGTTATCATCAGGCTGCCATCGCAACTCGTGAGGCATCTGAGCGTATCTTTCCTCGCAGCGGCGCTTCAACTCTCTGCATTTCTCTCAGCAAGGTTATAGTTTTGGGCTTGAAGGGACTCACTTGCGGCGCATTTGGGTCTCATGAGCACCCAAAGGAGGTCCTAGAGATATTTCAAGAATCTCGTCTCTAATCAAGCTCATGAACATCCACGCTCGGCACACAGTACTAGGGTACATTTTGCCGGAAGTGCTCCAGTCATTTGGGTCGAGCTTACTCTTGATGGTTTCCAATTCCTCGCCTTCCGCCATAGTCTCGTCGTCGCTCAGATCTAGTGGTATCTGACAGGTAGTGTAGCGACGACTCAATTCAGGCGGCCTTCCCATAAACATTGCCAGCTGTTTGTCAGTAATGAATACATAGCAGAAAAGGGTCTTCGAAACTCTGACACCATGAAAGAAGGAGATATGTTGGTAGTTGAGGAATATGCCAAGTCGGCTTCACGATGTAAGCCGAGCGCTGTTACTGCACTGAATTTGGTGAGCTCTGCAGACCCTTTGATGGATTGGAGGTATCAATACCTAGCTAAGCCTCCATGTCTTCTCCAGAGTTGCTGGCCTGGTTTTCATTAGTATTTTCGCTGGAGATGAGAGTGGTGAGGCGTGTGGATGTTTTGGAGAAGGCTTACTGGTGTCTCCTTCGTAAAAGCTCTGCAGCGCATATGCCGCGGACATTAGAGCTGACACGAAATCGTTGACAGAATCAACATCATTGCACAGAGCCAAACAATCTTCGGCACACTCTCTTGAATTCTCTCCAGATTGTCTCTTGTTACACTCGTCTCCTTCTTTGTCACATGCAAACAGAGCATCCCAGTCTGCCACTGTCATAACGGAAAGCCCGAAGATGGTGAACAAGTTACCAACAATTTCCCACCGCATTTTGTGACCTGAAAATGATTCGGTCCATTCCTTCGTGCTAGATGAGGCAGGTAGAGGGTTCATGGCGTTTTTGCAGAGTTCTCTAGACATAATCGAGAGACGCTCGTTGGTCCTGGGCTCTCGCAAGTAGCTTCCATACGTTGACCAGATCGATTCATGACAGTAGCGAATGGTAGGTTCAGGGAGCATCACATCAGCCACAACGAAGTAACGACCAAGTAGTCGATCGCAGATGATTCGGTCTGGATACCTACGCAGTATCCTAATCCCCTGGTCGATATGGTGTTGATTCTCAAGATTACACTTCCCACGTTCGGAAGCCACCGGCTTAGCGATATCATACTTCTGCAAGACAGCGTTTGCTTGAGAAGAAAAATCCTCTTGAGTCTCACCAAGCTTATTCTCTCTAAATATTGCTGAGTAGCCTGACATTGATTGTTTAGATTTAGCGAGGCATTTTCGCAGTGGCTTCTCGTAGAGAGATGTGTAACAAAATTACTGACTTGTAGGTCCCGAGTATCCAGCAGGCTGATCACCAGCGGGTTTCCCCCGCATCAGCCGATGGACGATGAGTATGTACATTGGGCCCAATCCAGTCAAGAGGTCTTGTACCAACGGACGAGACTCTCTCGACAAGCGAGCTATGCCTCAAGTCTGACATTGACGCTTCTGTATCTCCTACAGTGTGCCTCGACATTGGAGCTGGATGGTAGATGCAGCGGTGTCCAAACCTTCTCTGGATGCATCGTCCACATGTCGGCAAGACATGTTCGCACTTGAGCTTCGACTTGCGACAAGGCTCACAGGACTGTGATTTCCAATTTCGACGCAGAACGGACTGACCACGAAGCGACATGATTGGCATACAATAGAAGAAGTGTAGAAATGTTGGCCCAGGAACAAAATTCGTGGGCGTGGGTAAGGCACTACTGTTGTAGAATATTCGTACGGTATCGCATTTGTAAGCAAGATTGATAGGGCTGCTAGCGTGTTGATTCCCAAAACATATGCCCAAGCCTACTCCCTACCTTAGTCTCTACAGGCCTGAAGCTTGAAAACCCAAGTATGGCGCCCCAAAGCAGAGGTCGAGCAGTCTCCTTGTCCCTTCAGAGCTTCGATCTGGCGCAACCCGTCACACCAGCCGAAGAGACACCTCGAGCCCTTGGAATGGACCACGCATTCGCGAGCTCTTCCTCATCAGCGTACGGAGACGAGGAGAAAGACGAAGAGGATGAAGAGGAGGAAGAAGATAGCGGCACCCAGTCCCAATACACGCTCGATGATGCGTCTTCAGATGAGTCGTCGGGCGCCGAGTCAGGCAATGGTGCAGGAGGCCCGGGACAGCCACCATTTCTCCACCACTCCAATTCTTCCTTCCTCATGTCTAATGCCTTTGCTCCGCCGTACTATAACAGACCGCCCACTCCCCTGCCTGCCTCGCCTTCTTTGACGTCACTTCTTCGGCCTCCCTTCTCTACAACGACCTCGCGCCCTACGACCCCAGACAGCTCGGAGAACGATACGCCCAATGACACGGAAGCGGCTGTTGCCAAGTCGGCTCGCATTGCTACAACGGTGCCTAGAGCAAGTCCAAAGGTTCCTACGTACGAATACTACGGCTTCGTGCTGTACCTGCTCTCTTCTCTTGCTTTCCGTAGGTCCACCAGTCTCACCCATGGACTACCCGCTTACTTCGCCAGTAATGTACCTGCTCTGGTCTTACCTACCCTCACCCTTCCTTCACCAACTTGGTATCTACTACTACCCGAACCGCTGGTGGTCTCTTGCCATACCCTCTTTCCTCGTCATGACTCTCGTCTACATTTACGTCGCATTAGCCTCCTACAACACTGGCTATCTGACTCTGCCCATGAGTAGTATAGAGAACATCGTCGACGAAGCGGCGCACGTTGCGGTACTAGACAGCCACGGGCTGATACAGAGGAAGGCTGGGCAGGCTGGAGCTGCGATAGGCATCAACGATGCGAAAGAGGTTGATTGGGGAACACTATGGAATGAGGGTACGGACGCCGTCATGGATGTGCCTGTTGGCGGGGTCTGTGAGATACTCTATGGGTAGGAGCAGACTGCCCATTTTTACTACTCCTATATGGGGAACGTCAACTTCGTGTTGCCGCGGTCTTTCAAACCAGCCCGTGCGTTGCGATACACCACTGTCGCAACAAACTCAGCATCAAAAAGGCGAGATTGAGTCGAGCGAAAGACCTTCAATACAACGATCCTACACTGGTGGCTCCTAAAGTTTCCCTTCGACAGCTTTAGGTCACTAGACGAAGAGCTAGGGATATTGCCTTTGTTTGCGGTTATGCATGCTGGCTTGATCCGCAAGCAATATGACAAAGTTTTCGGATTTCGTAGCGGCAGGAGACCAGTGGCTTGGCAGGTAGGCCTTACATTGCACAACGCACTTAAGTTTAGACCAAACCAGGGTTCTTCTGACCACGCGCCGGATTGCCAACATCCGCTTCTTGGAGAAACCATGTGGGATGTCTTGTGGGACTAGTCGACCAATCCTCGGCATGGTGTACCTGCTCACATGTTCAGGTAGTCGAGTTTCCAAAGGGAATTCAACCGGAACGACAGAGATTCTCCTGTCTTGCTACACGATAAGAACATTTGGTCCGTTGACCCAACATTATTGCGGATCAGGATGCTTTCTGTTGACGCACTTGCTCGATGGATGAGATGAGGATGGTAAGGTACACTTGTATCCTTAAATCTATGTTGCGAAACTATCGATCTATAGTGCCAACCAAAGTTATGCCCGATGGCATACCTGGCCCTCTCTTATTATTATTATTAAACATATGAATCTTCTCTGCTCACTTGAGGTCTTGGGAAACCATAGTCCTCTCGCCCGGGAGACAATGCGCCGGAGGCTGGCGGAGTGTATGCCACACCAGCAAGATTCACAACATGCAGCCCTCCTTTCGTTCCCTGATTGTTCATTCGCTCAAAACGAAGGAGCTCCCGATTATCACTGGGTCTCCTCCCTTTCGACCACCTCGACGACCTTCGGCTGTGCGCGGGTGTGACCTCCATGAAAGTGTCGTTATCATTGATTCCGGAAGAATAGCGCTTGCCTCTGCTGAAAGTGTTCCGGAATTTGAGATGCATGCCAGCAAAGAGTGGCCGGTAGGTCGTCAGGCAAGCGCAGACGACAGCCATGGTTGGCTCCAGTTGACTCCACATGTACGGCGTCGTCAGAGAGTCTGCATGAAACATGTCAATTGGCGTACCCGAGGATAGAGTTTGGGGATCGTGAGCTCACACGTTAGATCGGCCCCTTTGATCAGGGTGACAGTTATGATACGCATCAGGCTAGCCACGCAAACCAAGCCGCCCAAAGCGAAGATGCCCGACAGCATGAGTTTCTGACTTGCTTCGAGCTTCAACCTCCAGACCATATATAACGGCATGAATAGAATCACAACATCGAGCGCCATGTTCGAGGATGCAACTGCCCTGTAGTACGCCTGCAGATTTATGCACTTGTTGGTGAAAGTATCCTCAGGGTTCCACATTCCGGACATAGGGTGGCATTGAAACACGAGGCAGAGGATTGCAGCTATAGCCCATGCAACGCATGCCGTGCCGACAACCCACGTGGCTTTCTTGAATGCCTCGGTGTCGAAGATGCGGCGATACATCAAGAGGATGGAGATTTTGACCATGAGGATTGTGCAGGCGTAAGCAATTAGGGCGGCACTGACAGTCTGACCAGTCTATTAGCAGAGCTTCGAGAGCATCGGGTTGCACATATAATGACTTGCCTTCAGGAAGGTTTCGATCTGGTACAAGTCCAACGTTGCAGCATGCCGACCACCGCCCCCGATGGTGACCATAAGACAGCCCACCGCCAGCATGGCATACGAAGGTATCAAGGTCGCCACAATCCACCAATCATCAGCGGCGAAAGCTGCTTTGCTTCTCCATCGAGCGAGGAGTCGTAAGAAGACAGCAAGCGTTTCGAGGATACCGCAGGCAATGGTGACTTTGATCACAAGATCTCCTCTTGGATTTCCGTCCAGCATCTTAGCAATTGGCCCAGAGTGTTGAATGAAAGATGGTAAGGAAAGAAAAGAAAGAAACAGAGAGGAGCACGTCGCGTCAAGCAATCAAAAGGCAGAAATTGGGGAAGTGGTCATTTTCATTGGAAACCCAAGTGGAAAATCAATGCGCTGTCACCTCAGAGTGTACCCACGCACGAGATCTCAGATCTGCCAGGCATCGTACGGGTACCTGGTCACTCGCGAGAGCCGCACAGACTTTGCAAGTACTGGTTCAACGCACGTTTTACGCATGCCAATGCCAATCTACCCAGATCCATGCACGTCAATGCATCCTGACGCTATCCGCAGCCAAAGAGGGAAGTCCCTAGAATCCTTCCAGAACTTAAATATGCTGCCGCTCCAGTGACACATGAACCTGTTTTTCCTCTTGCAGAAGCCCTAGCGCGAATTCGATTGCGCTGTAGCCGCTGCAATCGTTATCAGTGAGCTTTCATTCAGAGTTTTTGGAACAATATTCGCTCGTGTTCCAGACATCGTGGTTCTGCAAGAGGTACAGCTGATTATGCCGACGATTTGTATTTCCCACAGATGGTGAATACGTCGCAGCCCGTCGACTTGATGGTAGGATGATTGGGTGTTTTTGTGAAGAAAAAGTCGGAAGATAAAGAATCAGCAGAGAAATATTTTTTGGCCTTGGGGCCGTTGGTGCAACGGCGAATGCGGGACGAGACGGCCGCCTTGCTAGCTTACTAACTAGTACTAGCTCCCGAAGCCTTCCCCTCCAGATTGTTTCTGAATCTTATTACGTATGTATGTCATTCCACTCTACTCATTCGTTCGTCTAATCCTTCATCAATCAATCAATCAATCAATCAATCAATCAATCAATTGATTTATTTGCTGATTTATTAAAGCAAAGCTTACACCCTTGTGAGTGAGTATTCAACAACATCTACCAGTCTAAGCGTCGACGAGCACTCCAAAGGTCTTTAAGCGGTTCACATAATTCAAGCTACCCTTCCCACCTTGTTGATTCGGCTCCTATCGCAATCAATAATTATTCTGTATCATAGTTAATAGCTTCCAAACCTAAATCAAAATCAACAAACCTCTGTTTCCCAAATACTCCCTTGCATTTCTGCGGCCATGCTCGGTGTCCGAGTTTGCAGAATACGAAACCAGTGACGTCGCGTTGCAGTAGCCTTGCCTCGTCTTGTATCCGCTACCGCTTGCTGCTTGGGGCTTAGACAGTGCATACCAAAAGAGTCGTTGCATATTTTGCCAAGAAGTCTTTATAGGAGGATCTTCCACCCTCGTCACTGTGGGGGATTCCGAGTTGGGGAAGAATTTCAGCAC